GAGCAACTTCGGCCGTGTTTCACAAGACAGTATGAACACCCCACCATTCTCGACAGTGTCACCAGCAACTCACCGACCTCCCATTCTGGCATCTGCAGCTTTGGGTGCACCACCATCCTTGTCAACACCACCAGCCGTGGAACCAACAGCAGTTGAGAGTGACACTCAGTCTGTGGCTACTCAGGGAACTCGTGACAGTTACAGTGAGGATGAGGATGCATGAAGGTTTCATGTTACACTGACAGTTGTATTTTGTTGTGTTGGGATGTGGTGCATGGTGCTACAGTGACATTCCTTGAACTGATGTATTTTGTATTTTGTTTTTGCCATAGCATGGATTGCTAGCAGTGACTTTCTTTTATTTCACTTGTTATACACGTGATACGTGATAATAAAATTGTTGAACTGTTACTAATTGTTTTTCGTGAATAAATTGAACTTTGTGAAATGGTTTAAGAAATGAAATTAAAATTTGTCGAGTTTACGGCGTGATGAACGTCGGGGAAAAGTGCACTTATTTGTATAACGCACGCCGTAAACTCGACAAATTTAATTTCATTTCTTGTAATTACAACTCAACAAATTTCATTTGATTTTATCGATTTATAGCGAACAAAACTAGTAAAATTACTCCGTAGAAAAGTAGTCCGTTTGCAAAACCTTGTTCATCGCCCAATGAACTTGGATTGTATGTTGCATCTCAGTCAATCAGAAAATAGTATTTGCACCATGTGACTTAGAAGTTGTAATTATAATAAAATGAAAGTGGGAGAATATTGCAACAAAAATGTATTTCAAATGTCAAAAATAAAAGTTGAATAAATACTTTATGTAACTTCTTTTCTTTGTCATTTCAAATATTTTTATTCCAATAATCTTTCATTTTTATTTTATAACCATATTATTGAATGGCAACAAATGTAACAATACATTGAAAATAATAAATTTTAAAATTATTGCAATAAAATAAAATTACATCTCAAATGAAAAGAAATAAAAGTGAGTTTAGGACTAAAGGTCCTAAGCTTACTTTTATTTTTTTCAAATTTGAAATGTACTTTATTTTATTGCAGGATTTTTTTCATTTATTTTATTATATAATAGTTTTATCAAAGTTTTATTGCCACAAATGCTGCCCCCCCCCCCCAAACACATACTGCCACAATGCCCCCAAACACTATCATTTGTCCACACTGTCACTTCCACAAGAACTAGTCAAGGAGCATGTTGTCTTGCCATGCAACACTCCCAGCAGGGGATGAACACCATTCCATTATGAGATTCCTCTGAGCCTTGGCCAATTTGTAGTCTCTGTTGGTTCCTGGTAGGTTCTCAGGTCTTGTGTCATCCAGATTCTTTCCTCGACGCCATTCACCAGGCACCAGGGCTCCATCAGGGCGTTCAATGTCAACAAGTCTGTTTTGCATGACAGGATACCTCGTGCGCATCAGGTTGTGGAGGACCACACATGCCTTGACAATGAGCCTAACCGTGTCTGGTTGGTGCATCATTGTTGTTAGTAACACCTGGAATCTGTTGGCAAGAATGCCAAAGGCATTTTCCACCACCCGTCTTGCTCTTGACAATCTGTAGTTGAAGATTCTTTGTTTTCTTGATAGCTGTCTGTTCCCAAAGGGCTTCATCATAAAGCTTCTCAATCCAAATGCATCGTCACCCACCAGGAAGTAAGGTAGATCTTCTGTGTCCCCTGGGAGGGGAGTAGGCTGAGGGAATCCAAGAATGTCACCGTTCTGTAAGCCTTCTTTAAACTCACTGGCATTGTAGATATGCGCGTCTGATGAGGCCCCCTTGCCACTCACGTCCACCCATAAGAACTTGTAATCACTGGTCACCACAGCCAAGAGAATAATGCTGAAAAAACCCTTGTAATTGTAGAATTCAGAGCCAGAGTTGGGAGGGGCCTTGCATGCTATGTGTTTGCCGTCTATAGCTCCAATCACGTGAGGGAAATTCCACCTGTTCAGCCAATCGTCTGTAATTTGTTGCCACTGTTCGGGGGTTTCTGGAGGTGACAGCATCTCCTCACGATATACATGCACGATTGCCTCACAAACTTCACGAACAATGAGGCTTATGGTGTTGTGTGGGACACGCCAGCCATACTGCATCTCCCTGTATTTCGAGCCTGATGCAAGGTGCCTCAAGGTGATGGCCACCTTTAAGCCTGGGTCCAAGGGAGCTCGCCAATTGGTTGTCTCCTTCGTCAGTGTTGGTGTCAGCCTTTCCACCAGTTCATCATACATCACCGGAGGCATTCTCATAAAGTTCTTGAAGGCACGGGGGTCCTCGTTCCTCAGCTCCACCATCAGCCTGTCATACAGCCCCAGCTGTGGCCTGCGGTTGATCCATTGGCGCACCCATATGGCTCTGACTCTTCTTTGTCTTCTCCTCACTCTTCTTCTGACATCCAGGGCTTGCTGAACCTGAAGTAGCTGGTTCTGATGTTGCTGGAACAGCATAACCAAAGCATTACGATGCGCCGGATCCATGTTGCCTCTTCAACGTCTTGATCACAACTGATGAAAAATGGCCCACACGCGATCTTTTTATAGCAGAAATAACTAGTGGTACAAACGAGATTGGGTCGTGGACGACACGCGAATCAGTCGTGGTTCAATCGCGATTCAACGCGAAAACACGCGAATGGCCCGCGGATGACTCGTGACACAATCCCTGAGGAAGCCTTTTACACGTGGAGCACACGCTATCACAGGTGGTAGGAACGCTGTAGACACGCGGATCACAAGTGGATGACAAGTGCTACACACGCAGTCACACGAAGAAATTTTGCGTTTGCCCGCGAGTGACCACTTGTCGTCCACTTGTGATCCGCGAGTGTACCACGTGTTATCGCGTTTGGCCCGCGTTTGTACAGCGTTTACACCACGTGTGCGACACGCGGTGGCCGTTGCGCCTAATTTTTGTGCTGCTCAAAAATAAAATCGGACTCCGTGCGCGTGTAAAATTTTTCGCGCGTGTGCGCACTTGTTATTCGCGAGTCCACCACGTTTCATTCACGTGTCATTCACTTGTGACCGCGCGTTTGACAGTTCTTCCTCGCGATACACTCGTGATCAACTCGCGGAAGCCTGTGTGACCGGCCCTTGACTTTAAATTTATACACAGTGTTTAAGGTCATGAGACGAAGAAGCCTATTGATTTTCGTATATTCGTATATTGTCTTCGCCGCGGTCCGGCGTCCACAATTGCTTGTGAGCGCTCTAGAGGCTAAAGTTAATATCTGATTGACTTTAAATTTATACACAGTGTTTAAGGTCTTGAAACGAAGAAGCCTATTGATTTTCAGCAATTTCCGATAATTACTGCCAGAGTTATGGCCCTTGATCACTTCAAAAAATCTTGTGGATGCTCTAATGGCCAAAGTTAATATCCGATTGACTTTAAATTTATACGCAAGGTTTAAGGTCATGAGACGAAGAAACCTATTGATTTTCAACTATTTCCGATAATTACTGCCAGAGTTATGGCCCTTGATCACTTCAAAAAATCTTGTGGATGCTCTAGAGGCTAAAGTTAACATCCGATTGACATTAAATTTATACACAGTGTTTAAGGTCATAAGATGAAGCCTATTGGTTTTCAGCGATTTCTGATAATTACTGCCAGAGTTATGGCCCTTGATCACTCTGAAAAATCTTGTGGATGCTCTAGAAGCGAAAGTTAATATTCGATTGACTTTAAATTTATACACAGTAATTAAGGTCATGAGATGAAGAAGCCTATTGATTTTCAGCGATTTCCAATATTTGCTGCCAGAGTTATGGCCCTTGATCACTTTGAAAAATCTTCTGGATGCTCTAGAGGCCAAATTTAATATCCGATTGACTTTCAATTTATAGACAGTGTTTAAGGTCATGAGATGAAGAATCCTATGGATTTTCAGCGATTTCCGATAATTACTGCCAGATTTATGGCCCATGATCACTTCAAAAAATCTTGTTGATGCTCTAGAGGCTAAAGTTAATATCCGATTGAATTTAAATTTATACACAGTGTTTGAGGTCATGAGGCGAAGATTCCTATTTATTTTCAACGATTTCCGATAATTACTGCCAAAGTTATGGCCCTTAAGTTATCATCAGATTGACTTCAGATTGATACACAGAGTTTAAGATTTTGAGACAAACAAGTATATTGATTTTCAATGAATCCATGATATTAAAAGCTTTGCATACAAAACGTTAGCATGGGGCAGAACTTTATAAAAACCAAACAAATTCTAATAGTTTTCTGATAATTACTTCGTGAGTTGTTGATCTTAATCAGATTTTAGTGTATTATAAATGTTTCATTACCGAAAAAGTAAAAATATGCGACAACCCTTGTTGACTGCTCGGACGATTTAGTTGCTGTGGGCGTATGTTTCGTTGCCTGGCAACCTATCTTTGATTTTAAAATTATCTGACAATTTCTTTGGAAAAGTAATTAGTCACCATAAACAGATGTAAAATGTTACATTGATTTTGACACATTTATGTGAAGTTCACATATCTAGTAAAAAATTGGTTTTCTTTAGTATTTAAACAATAGTCTGGTAACTGCTGGTAGCTATTGCATCAACTGATCAAATTCCAAGATCATAGTTCTGTCTCATTTAAGGGCCTTAGTAAGGCACTGGCTTCCGTCATGGCTAGAATGTGCCAGGTTTGAATTCTGGCTTGGTCTGACAAGAATATTCATATCCAGTTTTCTCTTGGGATTTGCAATTTAACATGTCTCAAAATGGCCAAAGTATTATGTTGACAAGACTTTAAACCTCATAGCTTTGAGAAGTTGCCAGATGAATCTTTTGTTATTTTGTATTGAATTTGGCTGGGGACTGTGTCACTTTGGTGATGGCCATTTGTATTGATTAATGATTGTTCCAATGCTTTTTTTTTTGGTAGTGGGATTTTATATTGACATCTTTGTATAATTATTAGAAGAATATTAAACAATAAGATTTTCATTTCTTTCAGGTCCATTGGCTATGGGCTATCCATTGATGTCCATGTTGCCAGGTTAGCCATCTTGTATTTGATGTTTGAATAGATAGATTTTTTGTCCATTTATATCAAATACATTTCTTACTTCTATTGATCTATTGTGATTTTTGTAAGATTGTTGTTGTGTTTGTATGGTTATTTATTGTAACAACTTTCTGAACTAAATATTGCATTATCTTTCAGGTCAAGGTGCTGGCCCATCTACTAGTCGTGTACCAAGTGCTACACCCAGCCCTGCCCATAAGTCATCAACACCCACCCCAGGTTAGTATAAATACAAATTATAAGTCCACTTTATTTAAGTTGATACTTAATCTTCATAGATACATCATTTAAAATAAGGTTAAGCCCAATTGTGTACATATTATTTTATGTCTTACAAGTATTATGTTTTACTATTCTCTAAACAGATGCATCGGGCTGAGATAATTATGATAGGTAAATTATAGCATGTGTATATTATATGTAGCATATTATGTTGTGGAGATCAGTTTATCAATGCATGCCAAGCTTAGGTATTGTAGTAGTTATACGGGAGTATAGTAGTAGTTGTGCTAAATTTTATTAGACTTACATTTTGAAAAATTATGTATCCGGATTAAGGTTTTTCAACTGGATGTTTTTTTTGGATTTGACAGTCTGAATTGGAGATTTGAATCTGAGATGTGATTATCAAAGTTATATTGCCCTTGATACAGAAATATAATAAGCTTGCCTTCAAGCTTCAAGTCATTAACCTTTTATATCAAATGACTGCACTGTGGACTTGTTTCCCAAACTCTTATTTATACACATTTTGTCAGTAGCTTGGTGTTTACATTTATCGGTCATTAGTTTTATTGATATTTGTCAACTTGGTTTTATAGTTTTTTAGTAACTTCATCTTGTTGATAACTTGGCATTATGATACTTGTCAGCAACTTGGTATTATGATACCTGTTGGCAACTTTTTTTTTTATATTTGTTGGCAACTTGATATTATATTTGTCAGTAACTTGATATTCTTTATACTTGTTGGTAACTTGGTATTGTTACTTGTTGGCAACTTAGTATTGTGTTACCTGTTGGTAACTTGGTGTTGTGTTACCTGTTGGTAACTTGGTATTGTGATAGTTGTCAGTTGCATGGTATTGTGATACTGACAGTAGCTTGGATATTATATTTGCTTGTATTAATATTAAGTATTGTAGTAGTAGAAAATGGTTAATCAGATGTTCACAATTTTCTTCATAATATTTTATGTCAGACCTAACAATTGCAATTACACTGCATATTTGATGATAGAATCTTATGGTTTCAAATATGACCTTCATTTATGAAACATTTGTCATGGTCATTAAGTTGTATATGTTATGTACATCTAGTATTATTTGCATGCTAACTGAATGGCAGAAATGTAGATTAGTGAAATATTTCTATATCTGTTTCGAAATTGTCATGTTATTTTTCATTTGAAATAAGCTTACAGTTTGTATTTTTCGATTGGTTTCTGTAGGTTTGTTTTTTGTTTGGATGACAAAGAACTTTGATATCTGTACATTAATATTATGATGTTAAATATTAAAATTAAATGTATCAATAGTTTATACATGTTAAAACATGTCATTATTTTGTTATTATAAAAATTTTAAAAAGGAAATATCTGAACTTTAAAATTAATGAAAGACACCTCAACCTTGATCCTCGATAGTAGGACTTGTCAAATATACCAAGACAAGTGGCATATTACTTGATTTTGGATCTGGCTGATCTGCTAGATTAATATTCCATTTGGATAGAATTGATTAACTACAAAAATTTTATTTTTACAGAATCTGCAGGCGTTGAAGATCTAAGTAAGAAGTCGAGTTCTAAAAAAGAAGTCATTTGTTTAGATGAATAACTAAATCAACATTAATATATTGTATATATAGTAGTCATTAGAATATCATTATTTGTAAATATCATATAGACGTGAAATTTTTTTTTTTCACATAATGTTACACCATTCTTAGCTTTAAAAGTTTCTACTGGTACTTAATACAGTACTATAACAAAAAGAAACTATTCAACAGTCTGTTTTAAATAAAACAATAGTGTGCAAAATATGATTCTGTATATTGCTTAATCATTTGTGTTGAGACAAGACATTTCCCTTAGAAATCATAGTCTTCTAATTGGTTTAATGTAACACAATATTCCATTTATTATGAAAAGACCTCATGTTAACTGGTTTGGCCCCTTGATACAAGTTGTAAAAAATATACACTATTTAAAGTTTTAACACCATGTTTTATTCTAATATGGTTTAATAACCTGTTAATCAGAATAGCAATCATCCAATAATAATTACTAACAGGCTCTGAAATAATGTTTTTAGTTGTACCTGACCAATTAAACTTTGTGCCTGACAAAATGACGGGCACCAGAGGATAGTGTCCGACAATGCCTAAATTTGTGCCATTGCATTGTCTGTGACTGGTGGTTAATTTCCAGGCTTGACTAAATTGATTAATGTTAGCAATTTTTCATTTTCATTTTGTCCCACCCTTCTGAAGGGTTGATGTGTTCATACTATGATACTAAGCTAAAATGTACATGTATCACAAAACTTGGTAATAAATGATAATTAAAAATATTTACTAAGTTATGTAGTAATTTTTATTATGTACTATTATAAATTTTGTATAAATCCAAGTTTTATTCTTTTACAAGTGCTGTAATTTTACATATCAAATATAAATTTGTTTATGATTTATTGTGTAGCTTTGGTGTTAAATATATAATGTAAATGGCTGAAACCAGTATACAAAATGTCATTGAATAATAAATGTCATTCTAAACAGTTATTTTTACAGCTGAATCTCATTGAATGGTGTAAAACTTGGGTATAGGAAACGACATAGACGATAAACAAGTTACTAAAAATATAGTAAAAGAATATTCATTTGTTTAAAAAGAAAATAGACTTTAGATGCATAATAGCCTTTTAAATAGGCATATAAATAATATATAAATATAAAATGTGATTGTTTTGAAAATTAACACGGATGTGACCAGAGATTTATCTGTACAGCTTTGGTGTATAGTCTTCTCAAGGTACAAGATGTGAAATTTCTTACAACTGTTCTATATTTTGTTACCTTGTTTATCACCTATTGTATTGGTTGTCCAGTTTGCAGAATAAAGCACATGCTTCAAAAGCAAAAATAATCTTCATTAGTCTGGTTGGTGCTGAAAAGTAGAATGTTAAATCCCATTCATTCATTCCCAAAGCAAAAAAACCCCACACACTTTCTGTTCATCTGTTGCTCACCTCACCTCCTAAACCAAATATAGTAAGAGATAATATATTGGATTTCCTGCCAATTTTAGTGGCCATTTCGATTTAGAAAGTTTGTTAAATGGTAGGCTGAAAATGAAATGGGGTGTAATGTCCTACTTTTCTTCGACTGGGTTAATGAAGACGGGTGTACAGTGACTGTGCTATGAGCCAAGTTTGTCCCGACAGGGGTGCTACAGCCTACTCTTATATCAAATTCCACCTGTCAAGGGTTCTTTTATGTGGAACTAGACGTTGTCCTTGTCAGGCTCTCCATCCTGCATCACAGACTAGGGGGAACTTGCTCGGCCATCGGCATCTAAATTAAATGAAATGGGGTTTAACATGCTTATGTTCTACAGTTACTGGGCTAATGAAGAAGGGGATGTATACGCCAAACAGTGGGGGAAATTTTGCCGGAACAGTGACACTATGGCTCACTGTTATAACTAATTCCAACGGTCAGTGGTTCTTTTACATGCACGTTAATGTTTACAAGGGACTTCGGTTTTCTGTCCTGTCCGAACAACTATTAATTTTTCATTTTCCGGAAATTTTGCCGGAACAGTGACACTATGGCTCACTGTTATAACTAATTCCAACAGTCAGTGGTTCTTTTACATGCACGTTAATGTTTACAAGGGACTTCGGTTTTCTGTCCTGTCCGAACAACTATTAATTTTTCATTTTCCGACCTACTGTCTTTCACTGGGGGGAACCACCCCAGAAAATCCTAATGAACTTTCAGGGCTAACACCAGGATCAAACAGGGGACCTCCAGCTTACTCGACATCCAATCTATTTAAAACACAGATCCTATTTCAGTTCAAAATTTTGTTTTACTTGTCTTTACTACACTAAGATCTGGAAGAGTTGTTGTCATTGATGTGTTCTGGATGATGTGAGGCTTTAGGCAATGAAACAGTCTGTTATGGTACACGGAACTGTGGGTAATCTACTAGAAACTTCAATGCTGATTGGTTAATCAAATGTCTGACGTTATAGGGTCAAAAGCCACTCGTATGACCTGACGCGATCTATCACTACAACCGGTCAGATCTTCGTGTAGTGTAGAACATTGAAAGTATAAAAAAAAAAAAAAAAAATATAGATCTGTATTTTAATCAGATTGCTCGACATCCAGATCGGAACTAAATGAAGTGAAATGGGGTTTAACGTCCTATTCTGAACTAACTGGGCTAATGAAGAAGGGTATACGCCATACAGTGTACTATGAGGGACATTTTGCCTGGACTATGGCCTACTGTTATTTTGAATTCCAACAGTCAAGGGTTCTTTTACGTCGGGCCCGTAGCCAGATCATAAAATTTGGTGGGGCTATGGAATTTTTTGGAGGGGCTGAGAATGTGGCCGTCTAAGTACGTCCCTACAAAATCATTATTGTTGGCGAAATATTTGGAGGGGGGGGGGGGGCTAAGCTGTAGGCATACATGCCAGTGTGTACAATGAACTTTCTTGGCCAACACCTGGATCCAACACGGGACCTTGCAGTTTAGTGATCAAACCTCAGACCTGGTTATAGTGAACAAGTGCCTCACTCACTGAGCCTCCACAGCTCCTAAATGGTACAGAGGTGTGCATCCTGAGCCAAAGCAAAGCAACACAATTTATAATTTTGTCGACAACACACACCATTCAAAATTGAATTCTAATCTCTATCATACTATGGAAAAAGATTCATTTTTCCAGAGGGGTTGGCCAATTTATAGAGGACAATAAAATGTCAAAATTTCCATTCCACTATCGCATATATTTATTTACGTAATGGATATCTCTTGAGTGCATAAACATTCGGATATTGCGACACTTCTTTTCTCTGTGTAGGGGACCTTTAGATTAATAAGAATAAGAAGCGAGTTTATTCTAAATTTATATACGCCGTGCCAATCAAGATCGGCTGAACGACGATGTGAATCTAGTACAACTGCATGCGCGCGAAAACAAATGACAAGTAATGGCGACCGAGGGAAAGGGATTAGTCCAGAAACTACTAATTCGAGAGATTTCAGGGAAATGGAAGCAGCAAAAGAGGGATTTATCACTCTTACCATTTAACAGAATACCTGGCCGAATGTGCTATTTGCTCAAAAACCTGGTATCTCGATCTATATTAGAAGACGGACATGTTTTTCTTGGTTTCACAAAGTCCGGCAAGTTTGTTGTTTCATACTCACTTCAGATCGGAGGAGATCATACAAGTGAAACGGTATTTCCGACATATAACTATAAACTTCAGTGGTGGTTATTTATCCCTAAGAAACCACTCCATCTTGTGTCTGAAGTACGACTGTTTAGTGAAGGAGACATCTGCAAAGAACTGTTTATAGCATTTTGTGAATGGCCTGAAGATGAAGATAAAATATTTGTTTATGGTCATTCTATTCCAGGTGATGGTGATGATTCGTGTTTTTGTTATGTTACAATTACGGCTGTACCTTATATTGGTCTGTGTTTAGACTGTAAAAGTATGGACACAGAAAATATTGAAATTGAAGATCAAAGTGGTAATGGAAGTAGACAAATCAAAAAAGTGAAAAAGAAGTGTTTATTGCATAGTTTTTGTGTTCACAGTAAATATGACATGTCCCCACCATATCCTGCCTTCTCACCAAGTGTCCAGTTAAAACTGGATGGAATAGTTGTTTTAAATACAGGTGTGTCATTGGTGGCTTTTCAAGTTGAACCTAAAAACCTTGGAAAACCGAACTCTTTAGATGTTACTGGCAACAGAACTCTAATAGGATCTAGTCTTGCATTCAACAATAGTACAAAAGCCAATCTTCCTACAAATTCTACGCCATCTCCAAAAGAACTTGGTTTAGTCTTTAAAAATTTGTGCCCAGATTGTAAAAATTTACCATGTTTTTGCAATCCAGTTGATGAAATGTGTGAACTATCAGAAGAAAATGTTAGAAGTCCAAACCATGAAAAATCTAACAATGTCTCGCCTAGTCGTAACATGTCAAAGTGCTCAAAAATGTGTGAAATGTGTAATAGCCTTCCAGAAGATTGCAGATGTGATGTGGTAGTGCGTCAGCCGCTTCAAGCTAAAAATGATAGTAGTAATTCACTTAGTGTTGCATCTTCTACCTCCCCACAACGATCTTCAATTCATAAAACTTCTAAAAAACGCTCCTTTGAATTAATTAACTGTGGAGAAATTGGTGAATCAACATCTCATGCTACTACAACTCATTTAGACCAAGATAGTGTACCAACATGTACATTTTCTTCACCCAGCCCCAAAATTTGTTCAGAACGAACTTTTTTCTCACCAAGTAATAGCAATAGTAGTATGACATCTAGGAGTTCTGAAGGTGTTCATGTGCATACAAATATTGCAAGAACTGTAACATATTCATCTCGATTTTATGAGGTACATGAATGTGTTGTAGATTCACCAGTAACTTTAGAAGATGAATATGATCTGGCATATAGAAGTGTTTTACCTGTAGATGTTTGTTCTTACAGAAAAACATTATCAATTGCTAAAAATGTTTCTGCAACAATGCCAGTAATATCGGTTTTACAAATGACATTTGACATTGAACATTATATGATTGAAGTAGTTCACCAACAAGCTGTATGGGGGAAACGTTTTGTAGCCTTTTATAATTATGATCTCCAGATACTAGATGTTGAACTAGACGGTCAGGTACTTGGCACAGTTTATGCTTTAATACAGGCTAAAGATCAAAATACAAAGTCTTCAAAACCTTGTAAAATTCCAATCAAATTGTATCGAACACAGTTTACGTTTCATCTTAATTTATGTACGGGTATTTATTCTACATGGAATATAGGTGATCTTACAACTGTGGATGAACGTAATCCAAATGAATGTGAATGGAAATCAAGTACAAAGGAATGCAATCTGCTTCGTAGAAAAGCTTTAATACCTAAAGCATTTTATAGGAGTGTTCATATGTTATCTAATGAAGCTGGAATTAAAGGGCAGTCTAAGAAAATGTTAGTAGCACCACATCATAGTCACACCACTGCCATAATACTGTAGAATTAAAGATACATTATGGGAGATTAGATAAAGAGCTGGCAGTTCTCACTATAATAGTTAAAAACTAGATAATGTAGAGGGATTTGATGAAAATTTCAGTCAAATTGATCCACTATGAACCAAGATTTTAGCGATTAAATTTTCGGCCTAGCCTCAATCATCATTACTAAAGTCAGTACGATAAAAAACATAGTCTCGATTATCCATTTCATGATTAAATCAGAACCTAAATCAGAACCTAATCTAATAAACATCACAGGCTAGCGATGACATCGAGAGTTGATTATGGTCTGGATAAGTTAATGTCTAATAATAATTTAGATAACATTTCAGGCCTATAGAAAGACCTGCAGCAGGCAGATTTAGCTCTTGCATAATGTACATGTATGTTTAAAATTGAGTCTGTCATTTTTGATCATCGGAACTTTTATCCTTCGGATAATGTAGTTGTTACTTTTCATAAACCAATTTTGTAATCAACAAGTGTATTACAATTACAGTTAACAAGCAGTCTGAGCACAAGGTACTTACTGAGGGTTTCCCTATACTGGAAGATAATTAGTATTCCTAAAGTTAAAATGACCAGAAAAAATGAGGACTTCATGATGTCAGAAATGAATGAAATGTTTTGTAAATTTTGTTGTTGAATTTAGTTAAATATTACTTGAATAAAATATATTTTGAAGAAAAACTTTGCTCTATATGGTGGTTTCGCAATCTGATTAAAACACAGATCTTATTTTGTTTCGTTTTTTATTGTTCATAATTTCGTTTTACTTCCTTTACTGCATGAGGATCTGGAAGAGTTGTTATATAACCCCCATTCTGGTTGATGTGAGAGATTAGCCATGGAAATTGTCTGTTATGGTCAGTTCTTCGAGTGCGGTGCACAGAACTGTGAATAGACATTTTCGCAGCAAAGAGAAAAGCAAAAGTTGTATTTTCCAAATACCCACTCAATACATCAAAGCTGATTGGTTATCCAAATGTCTGATTTCATAAGGTCAAAAGCAGCTCATATGACCCCTTATGCGACATCCCACTATAACCGGTTTGATTTTCACATAGTGGAGACCATCAAAAGTTTAAAAAAAACGAAACGAAATATAGATCTGTAGTTTAATCAGATCAGTGGCTTCATAAATCTAATTTAATTTGAAAGCCAATGTATATTTCTTGGGAGTATAAAAGTAAATATATTATTTGATTGCAAATGACTACTGTTTACAATTGGTGTAATAATAGAGGTTGAAACAATTCAGAGCCCAACCTTCGGTGAGGCAAGCGCCCCTTAAATCTGCTTGCTGATATAATATTAGGCTTACCATAGTGATTTTTTACTTGATTGGTTGATGCTTTGGGACACCATAACTTTAGTTCTAATTAAGTGAGAGTGATGAAATGTGGTGTATAGTTTTATTACATAAATACCTTGACCTAAGTTTGGTAATGAGCATTTTCTGCCCAGGGTAAGCAGAGCGATAAGCAATTTGATTGGTCGAGACAATAACTCTCATTCACACTTGGCGTAGATGTTTGATTGGTCAAGACTTTGAAAAATAACAACTCTGCTTTTAATTGAGGTAGAATGGTTAAACTTGATGTAGATGTTCATTAGGTGAATGTCTTGATAACTTTGATTCTATCTGATAGAGATTGACGAAACTTAGTGTATAGTTGATAATCAGTTTGATTGCTTGATACTTTTGAAAAAAATAAATGTGCAATTAATTAATATTTTTTTATTTTGGGATTTCGGCGGGGGACATCAGCCTCACCGTTGCCTGTTTGACTTGCAACAAGCAACCATTAACTCCAATAAAAAGAGCATGAACTAAAATTCAGTCTTGTAGATGTTTGCAAGAATTGTGTTCAAACAGAAGACAGTGGTGCCTTTAACAATGATTGCAATGTGGAAGATTACATGCAAATTAAGTCAAACTTGTGTCAAACAGAAATGGAAAAGATCATTGGAGTTTTAAAATCTCGTCCAGTAGCGGATACAGTTATTTGTTTTGGGGGTGGGGTGGGGGCCTTCTCTGAGTAAGTTTGAAAAATCAGAGTGGTGGTGATTTTTGGCGCATATCCGGATTTGAATATAACATTCAATTTCAACAGCTACATCAGCCCAACCAAAAAAAGCTCAAAATTAAATGTTTTTATCCTGTTACTAGGAAGGACCCGGGCCACTGATCTCAATAACACACTTAATTTGCACATTTAGGTGCACAGAGAGACTGAGCATAGAGAATTTTTTGGGGGACAGAAATCAGATGGTACCATTGACATTCCTTGATCAGTGCTAGTTATTCTGGCGTGATTGAATTTATACATTGTCATCGTGCAAATAGAAGGGTCAGTCCAGAAAGTAGGAGAGTTTATTTCCCATTAATATCTAAGACTTTTGATAATCATATGGTGATAACTCTACCAGTATTTCATAATCAAAATTTTAAAGTAATATCATGTAGGGCACATCTTTTTTATGTAAAGAAAAAAAAACTATGGTGTTTCATCAAAATTGCGGGTTTGCATTTGTGCAGAAAAGTAGGACGTTAAATTTCGTTTTTATACGCCCACGTCGCTCCCGTCAGTCCGGTGTCCACAATTGCTTGTGGATGCTCTAGAGGCTAAAGTTAATTTATACACAGTGTTTAAGGTCATGAGATGAAGAAGCCTGTTGATTTTCAATGATTTCTGATAATTACTGCCAGAGTTATGGTCCTTGATCACTTTGAAATATCTTGTGGATGCTCTAGAGGCTTAAGTTAATATCCGATTGACCTTAAATTTATACACAGTGTTTATGGTCATCAGACGAAGAAACATATTCATTTTCAACGATTTCCGATAATTACTGCCCGAGTTATGGTTCTTGATCACTTTGAAAAATCTTGTGGATGCTTTAGAGACCATAGTTATCATCTGATTGATTTTATATTTATACACCATGTTTAAACCTATGCATAACCGTTTCGATTGATACACAGAGTTTACGGTCTTGAACAAGTATATTGATTTTCAATGATTTTTGGTAACTTGAACAGCTAAATCCATGGTATTAAATGTTTTGTAAACTAAACGTTAGCATGGGCCAAACAAATTCTAATGATTTTCTGATAATTACTTAATGAGTTGTTACTCTTGATCAGATTTTAGTGTATTATAAATGTTTCATTTCCAACAAAAGTAAAAATATGCGACAACGATTTAGCTGGTGTGTGCGTATGTTTCATTGCCTGGCAACCTATATATTATCAAAACTTATCAATGAGTTGCAATTTAACTGCAAAAAGTATGAAACAAGGGCAATGAAACCAGTCAACAGGGGTTGTCACATATTTAATCTTTTGCGGGTATTGGGGGGGGGGGTCATTTGCAAGAAAATTTCATACAGATCAGATTAATATTTTCGTGAACTGAAAATTGTAGAAATTCGACAGGCTTTTTGTTTACTAAATTAAATAATGCATATAAATTTCATACAGATCGAATGATGACTTTTGCCTTGAGCATCCGCAAGGTTCAACAAAGTGAAACAACTGCCATAACTCTTAGAAGTAATTAATGGAAATTGCTGAAATTCAATAAGATTCTTCGTTTTAATAATTCAAATTATGCATATATAAATTTCATACAGATTAGTCAGGTCACAACCCCCAGATCCGTGACCATTTATCGAGGAACAAGGTTTGGCGATGGTTTCTGATAGAAGGGACCCTAGTGAAGATATTTGTAGTTTGCTACCTTTGAAATCTATGGGCTAACTCCGGGAGAGACGAAAAACCAAGATGGCGGCCAATAATGGTCGGAAATTGACCATGAGACAAACATTGTTGGCAAAATGACCAGAGAGAGGGAGAGAGAAAAATGGGGTTTAACGTCCACTCGACACAAACTAGGTCATTACGGGACTAACATATGGTTAAGCTTTATTTCAATAATTCGCTTACGTGTAGCAACCGGTGAACCGGGTGAAAACCCAGGTTGGACAGCTGACCCTACTCCTTGTCACGTACAACCGGGGAATCAAAACCACGCCAGTTGACTCCATGAGAGACCTTATGATACCGCCTGCACGTGCTAACCATTTGGCCATCCAACCCCCTGACAAAATGACCAGTGAAATATATCATTTTATAGGTTTTGTCGGTCACCCGACTCATTTTGGACAGTTTCCGATTCATCTCACAAACGGTTGATCCAATATGACTGCCAAAATCCAAAATGGCGACAGAAATTGGCTCGAAAAGTATTCAGTCAATACCAATAGCAACATACACGTGTGAAATTTCGTTGCAGGGGTTGTGTGGGACGAGAAACATGAATATGTCATTTTCAAGCTGAAGGAAATAATTTGAAAGGAGATAGCATACAAAAATTAAGCATTTTCCCCGACTACAGACCTACATGTATAATAATAACATTTATTTTATGATCAGTAGTGGAATACGGTGTTTTATCAGTGAAATAAAAGTGTTATTCCACTGGCTAGCAGTAGTCCATGTTGTTTTTACCTAAAATGGTTGTAAAATCATAAAATAAATAGAACATTTGTTGTTTTGTCGTGAATAACATATTTTATTTCATCTCTAAGCAAGAAAACGTTTATATTTTCACTCATGCTACGCATTCGTGAAAATATAAGTTTTCTTGCTTCTCGATGAAATAAAATATGTTATTCACTCTAAAACGACAAATATCCTCTATATATTGTTCCAGACATCCATGAATCATTCATATATTACAGCTATGGCAATATATTATAATGCAATATTTAATAATGTATTCCGCAGTATGAATCTCAAATCTCAGAAAACATATGCAATGAGTCTGAGTATTTTGAGTTAGAATGACAAACACTTCTTATTCACTACTTTCCTGCCATTCCAAAGAGGCCGTGATTTATTCTGGAGTCTGTGATGCAACATAATGTAGGATCATAGTAAACTCTTTTGATCTTTTGCATGAAACTATTGCGATCTAGTGGCATACGCAATCTGATTAAAACACAGGTCCTATTTCGTTTCATTTATTATGGTTTAAATGTTCGTTTTACTTGTCTTTACTACACTAGGATCTGGAAGAGTTGATACATAACCGGCGTTCTGGATGATGCGAGAGATCAGCCAATGAAACTGTGTCACAGCAAGTTTTGGCGTGAGGTGCACGGAACTGTGGGTAACCCACTAGAAGAAACAGCAACACTGATTGGTTTGTCAAATGCCTGACACCATAGGGTCAAAAGCCACTTGTATGACCTTTGATGTAACCTTCCACTACAACCTGTCAGATCTTCATGTATTGTAGGCCATCGAAAGTATAAAAAACTGAAACGAAATATAGATCTGTATTTTAATCAGATTGTGGCATACACGTAGTACGCTTGTTTAAAGCGGATTCCATCCACGTGGGTGATTGCTCCATATCTCCCAAGAAGCAGGCTAAGAATCTTGGCTATGTGACCGATGAATTTATGTCCCCAGTTTCCCAAATCAATAGTATCTGACGCAAAATATATCTTCAAATAACAGCTATTTCGAGAATATATGCTAATCTTAATACTGATGGGGGGGGGGGGGGGGATGGTCGAATGGTTAGCGTGTGCATGTTCAATCATAAGGTCTGTCATTGAGTCCACTGGCGTGGTTTGCTTTCGATTAAGGTCTGTCATTGAGTCAACTGGCATGGTTTCGGTTCCCCGGTTGACATGACCCTAGGGGTCTCTAAGACTTCCTTACTAAAGTAACTACAAGAGCATTTACATGAAAAAAGGAGATCTTGGGCAATACCCCAAGAATTTACTATTGGAAATTGTTACAGTTTGATAAAATTCATCCTGGCACTAACATCACCAACTGGAAAATTATTATAAGGGCAATAACTCTGAAAGTAAATATCTGAATGTAGCCACATAAAAAAAATAACACTAGCAATAAAATGTTGTTATAAAAGTTTATTCAAACTGATCACAGAAAAGGCGTATATAATCTGTGTTCTGATAATTTGTTCTGACAGCAGACTTGAACACAAGAGGAATCTTATTGTGTTACACAAACGATTCCTTAAAGCAAATATCTAGATGATGTTACATTTAATACATTGGTATTTTTTTTACATACTATATCTATTTGGCTAAAAGTGAAACATTAGTTCACATTAAATTGTACGTATCTGAAAACAAATTGTTTGTTTTGATCATAATTTAAAAATATACAAAAGATATAAAATTACCATACATGATTAAAACAAATAATTGTTCTCAATTTTTATTAAAAAACATAATTGGGGTTTTTAATATATGGAACATTGTAAGATAAATCAGCCGTCTAAAAATCAAACTTTGACAGAATTTATGTACAGACTGATAAAATTTGCTATTCTCTTCAAAAGAAACAATTCATTTTCAGACATCTGGACACTAAAAACTCTACACATTCACGAAACAATAAAAGAAATATACAAATTACCATGTTTTATTATCATTATGCAATAAATATACAAAAAGGGGAAGCAGTTTGAATAATATGGCAAGTAGAAAATAAATTCTTATAAAATGCCAATTTAGCACCATTGTAAGAGTATTTATAAATGCTATTGGTGAATCACAATAAAAGATTCAAGAAGAAAATATATGTATAATATAAAATATATATAAATTTATAAGATACTGGACATGTACTATAAAAAAGATAATACTCATGACACAACTAAGTCATAAAAAAAAAATTGAAAGGATGTGAAAGGCAATCAATGTTAAGAGTAAAATCAATCCTTGATTCTGTGGAAATTATTCTTAAAATGTGGTTAACTGCCATTAAGTAAAAGAAGAATAATATACAAATTCTATTTTAAAAGGGTCGTGAATATAATAAACAAATTGCAATAGACAACAAATAATTACATCTAGACTATTTCTAAAAGTACAAGTTTTGAATAAAGAAGATTTTAAACTTAAGTTAGATAACTAAGAACTTGTATGTAAGAGGTACATACATTTACATGTGCATATCAATAATATTAACATAATGCATAAAATATCATGTCTGAGGCTTACTTTTGTAGGTAACTAACTTACAAAGTAAATTGTTAGGATAACTCAACTTTTCTTTCTTTCATTTTTTTAAAAACACAATGATAAAAGGTTAAACAATTGTTGACAAACAACAAGACTTAAAATATTCTTGTTTGATGACATTATGTTAATTAATAATTTTTACATATACATAGCTATTTCACATTTTACATTATAACATACATTTAAACTTCATGAAATGTACATGTTAACATTATGAGCAAGTTTTATTATGCACTTTGCCTCAGTCTAAGTAAAGTCTCTTTTAATTTATGCACATTTCCATCGAATTCAATCTATTCAATAATCTGTCTGTACACTTAGTTTAAACATGGACGGACATTGTATCCACCAATGGCATCTACAGATAAATCTAATGGCCCTTTGTTTAGTACTTTTATATCTTTGATACATCCGTTAAAATTAGACTTATAAGTATCACCTGTCATTTGATCTAAATTTGGTACACCACCTAAAACAATAGAAACAAACATTTCATTTATTTGCCTTTTCCAAAAGAAAATAGGAAATAGAACTAGAAATGAAGACAGTGTGATGGATATCATATTCAAAGATAGGTTGCCAGGCAACGAAACATACGCCCACAGCAGCTATATCATCCGGGCAGTCAACAAGAGTTGTCGCAATTTAATTTTTTCGGTAATGAAACATTTATAATACATTAAAATCTGATTAACCCGTTAAATTTGGAGGGGAAATATATCAGCAAGTGGTTGGCATCCCCATGGGCACCAACTGTGCACCTTTGCTTGCTGTTCTGTTTCTCTATTCGTACGAAGCCAATTACATACAGACGCTCGTAAAAACTAATAAACGATCAGTCAGACTTTTTAATTTCACTTATCGATATATCGATGACGTTTTATCACTTAATAATCCCAAATTTAGTGATTATGTAGAATTCATATATCCTGATGAGCTCGAAATTAAAAACACCACTGACAGTGACAATTACGCTTCCTACTTGGATCTGCGTCTCGATTTTGACAATTGCCATAAACTGAGTGTTAAATTGTACGATAAACGTGATGACTTTGACTTTCCGATTGTTAACTTTCCATTTATTAGTAGTAACATTCCAATATCACCAGCTTATGGAGTGTTTGTGTCTCAGCTAATTCGTTCCGCGAGAGCTTGTTCCTTTTATTCTGACTTTTTAAGTAGATCGAGGCATTTGTCATCTAAGCTTCAACTACAAGGATACTTGCGCACTAAACTTATTAAAACCTTTAAAAAGTTTTATGGCCGTCATATTGAATTGATTGGTAAATATAACGTGTCTCTCTCAGCTAATATTCTAAATATATTTAATTGACACGTATACTATTACTATCTCCCTGATAATGTCTAATACATCGTTAACACAGTTCATCGAGTGCATTTTGCATACCGATAGTTCATTGGCCAATCACGCTATTTTACCGACATTTCGCCTAATAGTTTGGATGCAGCTATGGCGGGTGTGGCGCCAGGCAGGGTAAGCTTACTCTTCCGGACACCTGTTACCACTGTTTGTCGTGTATTTTGTACACGAGGAGCAGTCCATTTGCTGATTACACTATTTTGCTTGAATACACTATTTTGCCTATAACGTTTTTAGGACTTCAAATTCTGTCTTATGGTTTGGATTGTTCGTACTTGGTTTTATTTTATATATATTTACGTTATATAACGTCCTGGACAACTGCCACTCACCGTGTGTAGGGCGTAATATAACGCCTAAGAGGTATTTTCCACAACCTATTCTTCAAACATACGATCGCAGCATGTGTAGGACGTTATATTACGCCTGGTCGAGGAAATCTAATTGAAGGGAGACAACTCTATTTACCTTTAGTTTTAATATGGTTTCAGACTACTATCATTTTTTTTTCAGGAATAAAAAGGTCCAAAAATGACGTTTTTCGTCAAATTAATTACACAATAGGGGGTAGTTAACGTTTTAAAAACTACACAGTTAACGGGTTAAGAGTAACAACTCATTAAGTAATTATCAGAAAACCATTCGAATTTGTTTGGTTTTTATAAAGTTCTGCCCCATGCTAACATTTAGTATACGAAACTTTTTACATCAAGGATTTAGCTGTTCGAGTCAAAAAGATTCATTGAAAATCAAAAAACTTGTTCGTCTCAAGAACTTAAAGTCTGTGTATCAATCTGAAGTCAATCGGATGATAACTTTAGCCTCTAGAGAGTCCACAAGATTTTTTGAAGTGATCAAGGGCCATAACTCTGGCAGTAATTATCCGAAATCGCTGAAAATCAATAGGATTCTTCGTCTCATGACCTTAAACACTGTCTATAAATTTAAAGTCAATTGGATATTAACTTTAGCCTCTAGAGCGTCCACAAGATTTTTCAGATTGATCAAGGGACATAACTCTGGCAGTAATTATCGGAAATCGCTGAAAAATCAATAGGCTTCTTCGTCTCATGACCTTAAACAATGTGAATAAATTTAAAGTCAATCGGCTATTAACTTTGACCTCTAGAGCGTCCACAAGATTTTTTGAAGTGATCAAGGGCCATAACTCTGGCAGTAATTATCAAAAATCGCTGAAAATCAATAGGCTTCTTCGCCTCATGACCTTAAACACTGTGTATAAATTTAAAGTCAATCGGATATTAACTTTAGCCTATAGAGCGTCCACAAGCAATTGTGGATGCCGGACGGACGGACTGACGGGAGCGACGACAATTTACGACCACATTTCAATGTGGGCGTATAAAAACTGGTATTAAATGTAAATGAAAGAAAGGTTGCCATGTAATGAAAGATCATACTCTAACTTTGTCTTTTCATTGCTGTGTATGTTTTCATATTTACATCTAGTTGTATAAATACTGTAAGGTTCCTTCAAAGGATTTATGTCACCTTTTTTCATAAATGAACAAAATCTGACTGTGTTAATATATGCAATCACAGCTCTCAATGGATGGCTCTGTAAATTTGGGGAATATTAGGAAGTTTCTTACCTAAGTACACATTACCCTGTACATTGAGTACTTGTAGTCGACCTGGTGATGCTCCAGTAATTGATGGTTGATCATCTATTGTTAAATTACCTGTACGTCCCAACCTGTAGATAAATAATATAATATTTCAATAACTGTAAACTGTCAGACAATACTACTTGTTATAATCAAAATCAACATCTTTGAGTAATAAAAACAACAATGTGAGTTTGCAAGATGATTTTAGCCACCCAACAGCAGCAATGTCTTCCTAGCTATGCATAAAAACTTGAACAAAATTTAATTATGACCCAATAAATAATTCCCTCAAGACTTAACCAAATTCCACTAATGAAGCAGTATCATGTTCATACTATTGTGGTCAAAAGTGTTGAAACCTAAAATGTATAAGATACCGTAACATCAAGATAATCTACATCATTGAAAGGATATTTACAATTCAAGTAGTGATTATCCTACCTTTGTACGTGAATCTTGTGTGGATAACCATCATTCACAGGTGAAGCTGAACGTATGAGACCTGCTCCACTGCCTAATTCATATCTGAAATAGATTTGAAAACCAAATTAAATACAATACTTACATATGGTTCTATGAACACTTTAGAATCTATATCTTATAACAGCTCAATAAAAATAATTTTGCTTATAAAAAACTTTTTGGTGAACAATAAATCCATGAATGTGACAAGTTATGAAGTGAATTTCTTACTTATAATCAATGTATCCATCACTTAAAGCTATTGCTAGGTAATCTGCTCCTCGAAGTGGTGAACTTGCGTCTTGTCCTTGCCAGAAAATAAGACCTTCTGGTTCTCTTGTAGTAATAGTAAAGGAAATGTATTCCCCTGCTTGTCTAACACGGTGGGGTAATAATGCTTTGCTGAATTTAACATAGCCATCCCCAGCAAATTCGGCTGTAGTACCTAATGTAACCTCTGAAATAATACATTAATATATAAATAATAATTATAAAATCATCTATTTCAAATCATCTGGACAAGTAAGACACCAGGCATAACTTATTTTTATTTATCTTTTGCTGATTTCATAATCAATGTATATTGTATCAATGTTTTGAAAATGGATTTCCTGGTGAGAGTGATCTCTGGTAATGCTTCAATGTGGATATTTTGTTTGATGTATTTCAACATTACATCTATGCATTGTTGTCATTTGTCTTATTGCATGAATTTATAGCATACATTATGTTATGTTACATGGTAATAAAACAAACCTGAATCACAGTCAGTTCCCATATATCCTAATGGACAATCACATCTATATCCTTCTGAATTTATACGGCATATTCCACCATTACGGCATGGTCTTGATGTTATACAAATATTCATCTCTATTTCACAATTAACTCCTGTAACATATGAAATTTTGTTTAATAAAGTGGATGTATGTAAGGGAAGTTCTGGTGACAAACCACATCCAAGTGGTCAGAAATTAAATAAGGGATGCTATGTTTAAAACATATATTTTCAAATAATGTGTTAATGATTCAATTTTGTTTTTCAAGTACAATATCTCAAATGTACAGGGATACCTACTCTACACACGTTTTTTGGACTGAAAATTAAACCGAAATTGTTTTCCCTGTAAATTAAAAGGGTTAATTTTCATAAATAATAGTTTCATCTAAATCAATATTTTTTAAATACTAAACCAGAAAAATTTAATGCTATAACAAAATAAATGAATTATTCATTTATATAATTTTAATGAAAGGGAAAAATATATTCTTGTCCACATACCTGTATATTGAGGTGGGCATGTACAGTAGTAATCTGATGAACCTCTATCTGAGCAAGCTCCACCATTTAAACATGGTTTACGATCACATAAACTACGATCACCACAATCTCTAACATATGAACTCTCAATAGCATCTTTTATAAGATCAACATCTTCGTTGTTTATTTTCAGCTTTAATATAAAAAATAAGTGAATTAAATATTAAAACATTTAAATGGGAAATCAATCAATAGTTCAACTCCTCAAGTGAAGGGTTAAAGTTACCACACTAACATTTGTTAGCACTACCATGTCCTTCTTTATTAGGTTGAGTCACATTTAACAAACTTTGTTCATAATATTTGACATTTACCAGAGTTTTTTGTCTTGTAGGCTTTCATTGGCTGGCACACTATACGCACCATTGTCTTCATTAGCCAGGTGCAAGAAAGTAGGACATTAAACTCGTTCTATACTCGCCAATTTCCAAATTAAAAGTAGGACACACTTACACACTTATAACAGATGAAATAAGAATAAATACCTCTGCAATACAGCCAACAAATCCAGCGACAGTACCAACACCAGTTGCTATAGAATCTTGTGGATCGACGCCACCCAGATATAAAGGTCGTTTCAAATTCAAACCAATGGTCTTACCACTTCCGCTAACTAGATGAATAAGATGAGATAATTAATAAACAACTTAAAATACCTATAATACAGATTCTATAATTTAAATATAAGTACACTATTTGACTATAAGGAAAAATAGACTAATGTGAAATGGTGAAATAAACTATGGGGAACTTAGACTATCTACAAAAATATTAAGTTTTCTAAACAAAAATAGAGAAAGAGATTTTAAAATATAAGACCTTCTATATTAACTACATGAACGGGTAACTGATTCTATAAAGTAAGCTCACTTATCTATTAAATATCAATTAAATATATGCATAGGCAGAAAGTTGAAATATTACATTTTTAAATAATAAATTAGTCATTTCAAACCTGAATTCTTTCTCAATGATTTTGACATTTTTATCAAAAATATCAAGAGAGTAAGAATTCAACATTTAAATCATTAAAGGTTTTCCTGAAACAAATCTTTGGTTGAAGATGTTAATATTAATAAAATAAAACATTAATAAGCAACCATGCTTTATTAGTGATGACAGCTGAAAAGGAATTACAAACTTACAAGATTAATTTACCACATAACTATGACAATAGGACAATTAGTTAATCCAAATTGACAAAAGTACAGTTAGAACATGTACATGCTGCATGACCCATAAAAAGACACAACTTTTACATAATATAGAGACATAAAACATAGCTTAACATATTGTAATGTGTAATCTAATCACAACCATTGAAAAATTATTTTAGTCACGATACTGAATATTAATTATGTTTTAATATTTCATATATTATTTCTGATTAAATAGCAATTATGTTTTAATACCACATACATTACGGTAATTCAGATTTACTATTAAAGGTACTGTCATTTTAACGCTATTAATGGGGAGTTATTAAGCTTTATATAATGTTAATAAAATGTACCGCATCACTGTCAACAGTCTAAACATACGTCTTTGCTAAGTTAAAAAAATTTCTGCTGGGTACCAAACTTAGAAATTAATGTCTATCTCATTTTGATACAATTGTTTACTGGACAGTGACAGGTACAGATAAGTTAACTGCACTTTATATGACCAAGGATTACTTTGTATTAAAACCGTATTACAGTATGTTATTTTTAAATAATATTAAAATTTCCTACATCAATATTAGGATTAAAATAGTTATATTTGATAAAAGATTTTAAATGGAACTATCATCTTGTTGATAACTGTAAATAAATATTACACAAGAAATGACTAAAGAACTGCGTTAATCAGTCCAAAGTACAAATTTTAAACACATACATCTGGTGGATAGAATTTACAATGAACAAAATGTATATTTATTATGTATAATTAAAAATCTACACAAATAATAAAAAAAATGTAAGTATGTGCAAATAAATATACAAATGGTGTCTGCGTGAAAGCATGGTGACATTGATTTGTGTTTCCAAAGGAATGTGAGGCCTATATGTAGAATCTTTTTTTTAATACAAACTTTCAAAATTCAATCAGAATTGGGACAAAACAATCCATTAGATTTTAATGAACTTGTATTACACTAAGTGTGGCAACGATAAATACTCCATTGGAGAGAGATGTTTCATCATCTTTGTAACTGAATTTGTTGCCGTTTGTATTACAAAAAAAAAACGTTCTGTCTAACACAATAAACAAGCACTGAATTAATAAATTAATTGTTGAAACACAAAATACAGATACATCAAGCAGCCAAAAAATAATGTAAACAAAGGATAATTTATTGGAAACAAAATTTAATAGAAGAAACGAAACAATAAAAACAGAAATTTTGACAAAAAGCTTGGCTGACAGGAAAAGAAAAAGCAGCTTTTAAAAAAATAAAACGCAAAAAATAAACGTAGCTGTGAATACTTTATTGTACCTCTGTTATAGATATCACCTCGATCCCTTCTCGAGTAGAAATAGTCGTAGTTAATCTGTTGGCGTTCTAGGTCGAGAAGAAAAATCAAGGCCACAATCAATTAAGTTTTAAGAAATTCAAAAACAAATCCCTAAACATTTTTAGCACCAGAATATATGAAGCTAATTGAAAACAAATATGGATGTTTTCTATTTGTAATGTTCGTCTGATCATATAGTGTAAGACTAGATATTTAGGCTCATTCATTCATGTGCATCTACAAGCAAATACACGTAGGCATACTTTATTTTTGCACTCTCAAGATACCAGTTTTTGTGATATTGATAAGGTAGAAGAAAACTACATAAACTGTCAGCTGCATTAAATTATATTTGCCTATATCTGTTCTATTTGAAATAGCTGCTTCTCAAAGGTCATAGCACAAGAACTGTTTCAATTCGCCAACTCTAATATTTAGGAACAATTTCTTTTTAAGCAACCAGTATATTACATTCCGATTTTCAGTTTTCCTATTGACTCATACTGTCTGATAAATAACTTGTGAATTGAAAATTACCTTTGGTTAAAATGTAATTATAAGAATAACTCTTTAAAATTACTGTATGGAATTGTATCACACTGTTTCAATTGATTTGAATTACCAAAACATGCATGTTTACAGTATCAATTTTAATTTATACATAAAAATTCTGCATTTTTAACCTAAAACGCAATATTGAAATGGAAATTTTGAATGTGAAACCAAAAACAGAACTAGCTTAATGTTTCCATGACAACTGTATAAGACTCAGTACCTGTGCTATGTACTAAAGTATAGTTACTGATGGATGGGTATAGGAAATCAGACAACACACAAATGAACAGGTTACTCCTATTCATTCGCTATAAAACAAGTTTTGGAAACAGAGAGAGAGCCATCAACAGTGGGCCATTGTTAATAATAACAATTTTAATTGAATGACAAAGAAGTAACGGAAGGGTTGTACAAATATGTATACATGCAGATCAACTTTCAAGGGCAAGATGCTTGAATTCTTCAGTCTATAATAGAATTGATGTTCCGTAGATAGGCCTACATTAGATTTGCTGGCATGTATTGATTTATCACGTGTACAACCCTCCTATTACAATTTTCAATACTCTTTTCTTTCTACATTAAGCAAAATTCTACTATGGGCTATGACTATAATTATTATAGAATAAAGCTGGCAGCCACCTTTAAACACAATTCTAAATCCAAGATATCATGCAGAAAAAAAGGCACAGATGTGTACTTTTTATCCTGCTTTTAAAAGATCAAGTTCATTTCGTGTAAGGAGGCAGTAGCATCTTTAGTTTTTGTTGCTTTTGATAGAAAGATCACTGTTATGCACAAAATTTGAGGGGTTTATGTGAATTTATCTTGAAGTAAAAGACCACTACTATCATCTATAATGATATTCTAGTAGAAAACATAAACTCATCAGCAAGTATGTACCTATTATAAGCAAGACCATTTGGATTTGGAATACAATGTTAGATCTTAAATTTATTGGTTTAAGTTGTATAGTTAACACGATTTTATAAAAACCTGCTGTATTCAAAAGTATAAGTTTATTAAATACACGATTTCTCTGAAAATCTGATTTGTTGCATCTCCTGATCTCCCAATACTAGAATGTTTTGTTTGTCAACAATGGCACCAATGAATATGGATCAATACATGATGTGGTTGATGCTTTCACAAATTTATATATATATATATATATATAGATAGAACAATTTTCACAAGCTTTCTAATCTACTGTCTAATAATAAACTTTCAAATTGATAAATAAACAATTGTAGAAAAAAGGATATAATGCCTGGAAGTATTTAAGTTCGATGATTAAAAAATTATAATAACATAATTGAATTTCAGTTTTTGTAACATTTCTTTTCTTTTCTACTTTCCCATCCTTTCCAATGATCAGGTTTGCATTTTTCTCAGTTTCAACAAAATTGATCATAACAAAACATTTTATATACTTTTTTTAAATACTGATTTGGTACTAGATGCTTCCAGTGCTTTATTTTTTCCTTTCTTCAAAAATCCAACAGTAGATCTATGCCAGAACTGAACTCATTCCAATTTAAAAGAACAACTTAATGGATAAAACACATACCATTAACAGGTGCCTCATTATTTACCACCAGCATACCATCTCTTCCACTTCTTTCTGCTACAACACTTGTCCATTCATCGAACTGTAATGGTTGACGACTTCTCAGAACAGCAGTACCTAAAATCATTCACAGGACATTAAACCCCATTTCATTTCATTTAATTATGTTTCTGTTTGCTTCATAATACAAAGCAAGACAACTTTACATACATGACTAAAATGCAAATGATGGTTGCACAGTGTATTTTCATGGCAGTTTTTGTTCATGCTACTCCTTATGTCAAAATGGTTGTCACCTTTGGTTATGAATTTTGATTTATCTTATCTTATCCTAACATATTTATCCTTAACATGTTTATGGACATCATTTTTGTCTTCAGATAAATAACAAATTATTTTGATAAACATGTTAAGACATTCTGTAGGTAATAAACATGTTAAGACATTCTGTAGGTACACTTCCATTTGTTTTGATGTAAAAACTACTGAGACCATATTATCTATGATATTATCGGTGAAACAAATGTGTTTAGGCTGTTAATTAATTATGGTTATGGCTGATCGCAATAACTTCATAGCATATGCATATCGCTATACGGTCAATCACAATAATTTCATGTTACTTAGTTTACTTGCTTTACAGTATAATCTTGGCAAGAACTTCATTTTCTTCAAATGTGTCTACCGCATTTTTCTTTCCATCTCCATGAATGAGACTGCGGTGCATAAGCATGTAATATCAGACAATCAAAGAACAATGGCAAATAATCTTGGATAGTATATAAACACTCTCAGGATTACATAGTCCAGGAAAATCACAGAGGCCAATCTGGACAATGTGTAAAAAAAACACCAAAAAAACATTGATCAAAAATCTATATATATCAAACTTCATTGTACAACTTTCTAATGAATATCACCAACCTGATCCAGTGTCAAATCTGAATTCTAAGTAACCATCCTTAATAACAACAGCCACAAAATCTCCACGTCCATCTTGTTGTTGAGCATTATATAATACAATGCCATCTTCTAAAGACTGTGGTTTAAACATAATTTTGACGTTCATTTGTAATAAACCATTCTTAATTGTTGGGTAGGAAATAAATGATGTGCGGTTGAATGCTGGATCAATGATAGTGACTGCTGTGAATAAAAGACCAATACATCAATTACAATAAACAGGTTAAAAATAAGAAAAGGTTGATTTTTTTTTTTTATTTCGAATCAACATATATTTCTTTATCTTTCCTAAATAAATATTCAATATCATACCTTGTCGACATCCAACACCTGTTTGTCCAATGGGACAGACACACTGGAATCCACCAGTGGCTAAATCAACACACCGACCTTCATTACCACAAGCTCCTAATGAAATCAAAATACATCAATAGTTATAATCATATCATTTAAGCTATTCATTTATTTAAATGTTTCAATTAGGCTGATGACTCCAAACATCAATCCCAAAATATGTAGATAACACACATTAAATATGGATATGAATACGTTTTGTAACAGATGATTCAAAAATGGATAATCAAAACTTTGTATATTATCGTAACAATGGTAGTAATGACGATCTAGGCTAGCCTAAAATTGAATTGCTAATATCTTGGTTGAGAGTAAAGCAATTTGACTGAAATTTTCAGCATATTCTGTTTTCGTTATCTGGGTTTTTTTTTAAATATTATAGCGAGAACTGTCAGCTCATTATCTAATCTTACCTAATTCCCCTTTAATAAAGCATTGAGCAATCAAACTGCTTAACCTGAGCAGAAATTGTTCATTATCAAACTTAGCCAAGGAGAAGATTAATGAAACTATAAAAGAAGTTTCATCACTCTCCTTCCATTTGATCTTAGTCATGGAATTGATGTAGTGAAACTAGACACCAAGTCCCATCATTCTCATTCAATTAAAATCAAAGTTTGAAAATTTACTAATTTAAATATACTGATTTCAAGATAAAAAGACCTTACCAACATAACAACTTTCTCCTGAAACTTCACATCTTACACCAGCATAACCTTGAGGACAGACACAACGGTAACCATATTTATTATTAGCTGGCTGACATTGTCCTCTGTTAATACATGGTCTATCTTGACAAACATTGTACTGATCAATACCATAGATTTCAATAGCATCAGCACCAAGATTCAGTGGTAATCCTTGTAACTGTACTTCACTTACAGCACCTGTTTTAAACAAATCACATTAGATAAAAATATGGAACTTTTGTACACATGTGTTCACCTTGTTATGTCGTGTCAAAAGTCTCAATCAAGTCTTTCCTTTGATAACTTTAGCCCTTAAAGCAATTACAAGATTTTTCATGAAAATCAAAAGCTTCATGTCATGAACAACATAAACATTACATACGACTTTCAAGCAAATATAATCTTTTTAGCGGTTAAAACATCCAGTTGATTTTTCAAAGTGATCAAGTGCAATATTTATCGGAAATTGTTGAAAATTAAAACACTTCTTCACATGGAAATAAATACTGTGTATAATTAATAGCCAGAGCATCCCAAATTCTTCATAAGGCCATAAATATGTGTATAAATATACACATATTTAGTCCATCGGATGATAAATGTATCCCTCTATATTGTCCACAAGGAATTGCTAATAAACAGAACAAGGTGATGACAGTAAACATACATATTTCAATGCAATAACATGATTCGAGGATTTTAAATTAAATGACTTAATTAGAGATAAACATATCTTTTAGATGTCATCAATTGAGAAACAACAACTCAAACGACAACTTATTATTTTCAGATTATAAATTCAATCCGATTAAACATATAAATGAAGATCTTGAAACCATCATAATCATGAAATTTAGCCTTAAAATAATTTAAGCCTTAAAATAATTTAAGGCTTAATATAATTTAAGCCTTAAAATAATTTAAGCATTAAAATATATAAGACAAAGAAGGTCAAAACAAATTTGAAGATTGCAGTAATGCAGTTGTGTAAATACTCACCAACAAAACCATTAGCATATCCTGATGATGGAGAAATAGCTTGATAGTTAGGTACACCACCTAAGTACATGTTTTCCAAGAGATCAAGGCCCTGGAAACGACCAGGAGCAACTGTATTGTAAGCTGGTTGATCATTAACTATTAAAGTACCTGTATAGATAGAAGATGACAATAATCATGTAAGGTACGTCTAAAATTAATAAATGTCTTAGAATTGATCCATGCAAAATCAAATATCATTTAAAGATATTAATATTTCTCTTATTCATTATTACTTTTCAGGATGACAATAAAGGAACTTTAGGTGTGTTGAGCTGAAAATGAGGAAGGAAACTGATATATTACCATTCTTTCTATCTCTCTTCAGTTGTACTGTGTGCCATTTGTTCATCTCAAGTGGTTGTTGTCCTCTGATCACAGCTGGTCCTGAACCAATATCAAACTTGAATTCAGGATAAGCTCCGTTCAATCCAAAGCATATAAAATCTCCATTACCATCTTTATATTGACCATTATACAACAGGAGTCCATCTGTCGACTCAGGGCGGAATGACAAGACTACATCAAAATCAAGATAGGCATTCTGCAATGGGGCATAGCTCATGTAAGAGTTAGGGTTTTGCCTAAAGTAGGGAACCATTGCTGAAAAATTAAATAAGTAAATCAATATAATATTCTAATATAATGCCAAGACCAGATTACCAATTAAAGAGCCTGAAAATAATGATTTCAGTTCTATCCAACAAAATGTCAGACACATTTGAACTAGTACCTGACACTTTGAACTTTGTGCCAGACATTCTAAATATAATTTTAAAAAATACATAAAAAGTCAGTGTTGGACAAAATGACAGACATGGGGGAAATTGTGCCTGACAATGTATGTGACAGGTGTCTTATTTCCAGACTTGCAAATAAACATGAGGTAAAAGTTAATTCATATAAATACATTACAACCGACTTACCTCCCACAATAAGTCTAATTGGTAATCTAACAGAACCATATCGATTAGCAGCATTACAGAAATAGGTTCCTGAATCTTCTTCTCGAACTCTTTCTATTTCTAGATTATTGTCAACTATGCGATGCTCACTGGAAAAAAAACCCAACCCAGCATTAAATCCTGTATATTTTATTTCAAATATTTTTTGATTGTCAAATTCTATTAGATATTTCCTTAACTATTTCTAATTTCTACAAAATATATTACAATATCAGAGAAGATATAAACTGAATATGTTTACTACCTTGGTAAATCTCCATTTTGTTTTGACCATGTTACAACTGGTTCTGGATAACCTCTTGTTTCACATGATAGAGTTGTACTACTTCCTAATGCTGCTGTATTCATATCTCTGGATGGTAGGAAAGTAGGTTGGGCTAAAAAGAGAAAAAGATAGGTTGCCAGACAATGAAACATGCCCACAGCAGTTAAATCGTCCGAGCGGTCGACAAGGGTTGTTGCATTCTTTTGTAGGTAATTGGGGGCATTTACAAGACAATTTCATACAGATCAGATTATAACTTTTGTCGTTTGAGGGTTTACTAATTTAAATAATGCATATAACTTTCATCATTTGAGCATTAACAAGGTTGAAGAAAGTGAAACAAGGGCCATAACTCTAGAAGTAATCATTATAAATTGCTAAAATTCAATAGGCTTCGTGATTTCACTAATATCAATGATGCATAGGCTATAAATTTCATACAGATCAGATGATAACTTTTGGCGTTAGAGTGTTCACAAGGTTTAAAAAGTGGAACAAGGGCCATAATCCAAGACGTGATAAACGGAAATGTTGAAATACAATAGGATTCTTAGTTTTACGAATTTAAATAATGCAAATATTGGCGTTGGAGCGTTCACAAGGTTCAAAAAAGCAAATCAAGGGCCATAACTCTAGATGTAATAAACAGAAATTATTGAAACTAAATAGGCTTCTTTATTTCAATATACAACCACATTTCCATGTGGGCGTATAAAAAGAATGAAAGTTAACAGTTGTGGATAATGAATGGAATGGGGTTTAAGCAATATGTTTGGTCATGTTTAATTTATGGGAGATGAATTTACATAAGCTATGATTTGTTTTCAAATCCCATAATTATATATTGTACTTTATAATATGTAAATATTTATTGAATAAATAGTGTTAGAAAAAAAAAGTTAATTTCTATGGCTGCGGGTCCAATGAGAGAGGGAGATTTTTGCACAAATTTGTACCATTCGAAAGACTACGCATAACTTCCTTACCCGCCCAGCACTGACAAGTGCGAACTGGGCTTAAAAAATCCTGAAGGTTCTTCTCAGTCCACACTTAAAATCGAAATGGGGATATTCTAGTCGAGCTGCCAGTGCAATATCAGTCAACTACGTGTGGCCTCCTCTTCCATGGATAATGAACATTGCAGCCAATGTAGATCAAACAGGCATAAAAGATTGGGTTGAATAAGAAGATTAGATTTTGTTAAATGGGTTTTACCTCTAACAAAGAGTTGTACTTGTGATTTAACCGAACCAGCCTGGTTTGTTGCAGTACATCTGTAAGTACCAGCATCTTCTTCTTTAACTTGAGATATAGTTAGAATACCTTCTCCAATCTCGGCTGTTGCTGGGAGTGGCCCTTCAAGTTTAGACCAAGTAACAGTTGGTGGTGGTGTACCTGTTCAAAACAATAACAACATTGCTAAATATGTAAGAAAGAGGTTTAAATGGCCACTTGACACTATATAGGTCACATAGGGACTAATCCCTCACCTCCCCGTCTCCCATACAAATATACTTCTCTGAGTATCCCTTGCATAATAGGATATAATTGTTTGTAAAAAAATTGTCAAGACAAATTAAATAAAGCAGTTTGAAAAACTGGGGCGTAAAAATGGAAATTAGAAATGAATAGAATAAAATTCAACATCATAAATGCAATACGTATCATTTCTGTGATCAAGTGTGCACAGGGAGGAGAATTACGACTGTCAAGAGTTCTTTTATATATGTGAAAGGGATATCTTAGTTAAGTCCAGTCAACAAATGCTTGACTAACATAATTCAAACAAGTTATCATTGTACTAACCCCAAATTTAGATGTCAAATTACAAAAACTTTTTTTTTCATATGGCAAATTCAAATTAAGATAAATATATTTTACCTGTAACAATACATTCAAACTCTACTCTATCTCCAACATCAACAGTCTGAACACCTCTGTTTAGAGGGGTGCCAATGTCTGGCAGATCTGAAAAACATAAAATATTTTAAATAACCATATAAAAACATACAATAGCAACAAATTCAATGGAAATAATATTTATAAACAAAACAAATTTAAGATACATTCAATGAGTTTAATCCTGAAATTGTTTACTTAAACAGGGTAGGCCCTCTGAGCTGTTTTGTCTTCAAAATGACATTTTTTGTAAACAACATCATGGTGAATCTCATCAGATTTCAGTAAGAATATCTAAGCTTGACAACATTTTCTACTGACCTGTAACTCTGACATAGACAAAATCTCTTGTAGAACCTCCCTCATTGAATGCTGTACAAATATATCTACCCTGATCAGCAGCCTGAATATTATAGATTCTACAAATAATAAAATAATCTATTAATAATATTTAGCATAAATTCAAGTAGGCCTATATATGAGGGCCTATTTTAAGGTTTTATTGGCGAAGCAAAGTTTCCGATGTTTTGGGGTTCTGTGAAAATTTCCCACAACAAGATATCATGCTTACATTTGTATAACCAAAATATAACAGGATTAACATATTTATATCTATACCGTGTTTTAGTATCATTAACAGTCCAAATAAACATCCAAAGTCAATGCAAAGGCAAACAAACCTTATGGTCGATGATCATAATGATAGTTCAGTTTCTGGAGTTTCCCCATACAATCTTCTCAGATTCACAAGGCTACATAACATTTTTTCAAAGCACAGATTTCAGATTTTCAAAGCACAGATTTTTTATCCAGAGGTACTGCTATATATGCAAATAGTATAGGGAATGTTATTGCTGAAGAAGGCCTACATCTTTTTTTTTTCTTCAGCCAATCATTAGACAGCACAATATAGTCTTGAACAACCTGACTAAACTATTTTCTTTTAATGTCTGGTTGACTGAGACAATTTTTTGTAGCAAAAGCAGACGGCGTGTAGTCTCAGCCATTCAGAACCCCAACTGGTGTGCCTACTAGAGGACCATTTTCTGGTCAAGTGAGTCAAACAAAGTTTTAGGTATCTCACTGAATTTCATGGTGGAAAAAAATCAACAGGTAATTGGAAATAAAGGTTTTAAAATGTATTTCATGACATTGTTAATAAATGCAATTGTTTTTATTTATTTTACTGAATTTCTGGCTGAATCATCAAAACAAAGTTTCATGTGTGTAGCAGATATTTATGCTGGAAAAAATCCAGACTTGCAATAGATCTAATGTTTGTAAAATGCATTTAATTAAATGAAATTAATAGTTGTCAATACATGTTCTTTTCTACTTTCTTCCAAATAAAAACAAGTCTTCATTTGTCATTTTTGTGCAGAAAAGTAGGATGTTAAACCCCATGTCATTCATTCATTCATTCATTTCAAATGAAAGTATTCTACCTATTCATACTTAAATGAAAACTTCTTTTTTAGAAATATAAATTGAGATTTGAAATTATTTGAAACGACTACAGAAAAATATCTAAGCCTACTTACGTAAGTACACCATTTCTAACTTCATGTTGTAATGGAAGTTCACCACCCTCTTTCATCCAGCGTATTTCGGGTGGTGGGCTACCAGTAGCAGTACAACGTAATTCTAATGTCTGTCCAGCTCTCTGTGTAACATCTCTATTGTCTACAGCAACAGTTGGTCTGACTATAATATATGAAAACAGAATTTAAATTATCTGCGTTGCCCTTGATGAAATTTGGGTCTGGCAAATTAAACAAATTCCGTTTCTGGTTCAATACTGTGCTGAGGGCTGTGGCTGTTTTTAACTTATTATTTATATGCTACTGTTTGACTAATGCTGTAAACAGCTCTTCAAATACTAGCAACACACCAGAGTTATTTTGCATATTTGTATCGGAGTGGATATTTAACCGTATACGGCAAAGTATCTACTTCCGCTATTTTACCATAAATCGTTTCTGATTGGCTGGAATATAGTGACGTCATCAAGTGTCAGTTCCTGGATTATTTGATCGTACATGAGATGAATTTAACCGTATACGGCTATCTTAAAAATCAGTATTAATCCCAAAATTTGAAAATAAATTAAGAACACACTATTGTAATTATTTCAATTTAATTTCCCATTTTGATGGATTAGAAAAATGGGTTAGGGTTAGGGTTCAAATTTATCTCCTATTTTCAGAACATCTGTACTTTCCGCCATTTTGAATAAGGTATCACATCATCATACAAATTAGCCAATCAGAAACGATGTACGGTAAAATAGCGGAAGTAGATACTTTGCCATATACGGTTAAATATCCACTGCCTATTTGTATCCAATAATCAGTTACATTTTCTATGCAGTCAACCTAAGTTTAACTTTTACAGTCTATATATGTAGTGGCTAGCATTGTGCTTTAGGCAGCATGTGCGTTCTTTTTCTAGAACACAAGATACTACTTTAGTACTTTGCTATTTGTGAACCTCCATAGATTTGATACATTCCAGTGGTAAAATACACATAACATCACATGCATATAATTAACTTTAAATACAAATAAAAGGCAGTAAGAGCTCAAAAACTAAAAACACAGTGTGTTAATTAACAAGGGTAAGATAATGACTGAAACATGGGTTAAATATCGCCAGAGGTAAGAAACAGTGTGACTGCATTTTCTGTACACTCTTTGATGAACCGAGCTCAAAAATGAATGACAAAGTGTGTATTCTTCATTTGCTGAGTTTTCCCCAATCTAATTAAAATATAGATCTATATTTCGTTTCGTTTTTTTTATACTTTCGATGGCCTACACTACATGTAGATCTAACAAGTTATGGTGGGAGTTCACGTTCTATGACGTCAGGTACCAAGCAAGGGACATTTGACCCGATTACGTCAGTCATTCGATTAACCAATTAGCGTCCGCCATGTATTTTTTATCTACTTTTGCTTTGTTTTGATTTCTATTGCTGCTAATGTCTACCCACAGTTCCGCGCAAAAAAAGGTCAAACGCTCGATTCGACAGACTATTTGATTGGCTGACCCCTCATTTCAAGCACAACACAAGTTAAATAACAACGCTTCCAGATCAAAGTGTAGTAAAGACCAGTAAAATCGAATTTTTGAACTATAAAAACGAAACAAAATTGGATCTGTGTTTTAATCAGATTGAGTTTTCCCGACAGGATGTTGTAATCAAGAACCAGCAGGCTTTAGCTGACACAAGGATATTAAATCCGAGTTTGGGTACCAAATGTTTTGGAAAAATCAATCTCTATATAATGATTTACACAAGCTATAGTTATTCATAGTCATTGTTCTTTGTGTGCATGTTTTACATATTATCCTACATATCATCACATAACTTATATCAAGTTGCATAAATTTTAATGCAGACCATAATCTATTGTATGCATAAAGGCAAATGCAAATGCAACATCAATATCCCGTTATACCCACATCTGAATATTTCTAGATTCATATGGATAAGTCAAATTTACAGTATTTAATGTCACCGTATTCTCTGTAATTTTAGGGGTAAAAAATTACACAAATTAATATTTTCAAACACGTTTGCCAGAATTTCTTTCATCTTTAAAAATATTAAATACAATGTTTAAACTTACTTGATAGAGAAACATCTGAATAGCCTTCTGTACTACCAGCACTGCTTGTAGCAATACACCTATATCTACCAGCATCAGCAGCTGTTACTTGTCTTATTTCTAAAACACCATCTCTTTCTACAGCAGTAGGAGATATGATACCATTCACCTTCTGCCACTCATAAGTAAATGGACCAGCACCTTGTCCTCTACATCTTAAGAATACTTCATCTCCAGGTAGGACCTTGATGTTGCTTGGAGTAACACTGAGTCGAGGAAGAACTATAATAAACCCATAAATGAAAATACTTAGGGAGCACATAAACCGGCCCAAAAAATTTTTATGTACTCATACCCAGTTGTTACAAAATACACTTTACACACCAATCTGATTAAAATTAATAGAGCCATCTGCACACAAAGTTGCAAATATAGACCTCCCATAAAAACTGCAGTGCCAATTATCGAAAACACACTTCGTCCCCATAAACGTTAGTGACGTCACAGTGACCGAATGCATATTAGAAATGTTAATTCCTTAATTACCATATCTGACTGATTCCTTAATCTGCTAATAAAATAAAACAATTAACTATGGAATAATTTGTTTATATATTAAATGAGCAAGACAAATTAGCATAGCAACTTGCCAATCATACATTATCTATACTAGATGAAATATTGGACTCGCGTGACATATTTCATTGAAAAGCTTGTGCAGGATAGTGTCTGTATTTTAAGTTGTTTAATGGTCTCGAGCTAAAGATATTGCGTAATATATTGAAACAACACTTGGCTAACGCCTCGTGCAGTATCAATATATTACTTAATGTCTCGCTCTCGACCATTAAACCATACAAAATTAGACTTCTTACCAGACACAATAATGAAGACACTGTCTGTATATTCTCCACGTTCAGTCTGCACAACACAAACATATTCTCCATCCGAATCAGATGTAATTCTTGGGATATATAAAACTCCACCACGTACTGAATGACCAGCTGGTAACTGAGAACCAAGAGGTCTTCTCCACTTAATAATTGTACTACGGAAACCTGAAAAGTAGGGTCTCGTCAATATCATAGTCAAAATTTCAATTGAGTATATCAAATCCACAAATTTGCAACAATAACCACATCAAAAAAAATATATAAATCAATGAAATTGTATAATCTTAAATTTTAAAATGAAAGCAATATATAATAATTAGGCCTATTCTTAATATTTTAATGATGCTTATATTTTGGAGAATAAAACTGCTTAATTTTGTGTTAAAAGTCCTTAAAATGCTCTACCTTATGGCAGAGCAACTAACTCAATATACGTGATACGTTTTCAAAAAACTTAAACCTGTCATTCATCTGGACATGGGAACTGGGTTCCCGAGCTGTATCATATGGTGTCTGGATAAAACCAGACTTTATTGTACAAAAATAACATGTAGTTGAATTTGACCTTTCGTTATCAAGTACAGCACGTGGGTCATGCACTGTATAGACCTCTAAAGGTAGTCAATAGATTATTAGCTCACCCAACGAAAAAATTGACCCGAAATCTTAAAAGGGTTGCATGTCAGATAAGCGATTTTGATGTTTACGCCTAAACGACTCAATATTTTGAGCTGAAATTTTGAGACAAGGTAAATACACCATTCCTCTGTATTTTGGCATTTAAATTTCATACATACACAGACTTTTATTTCTGAGACTATGTTAAAATCAGTATGGTCCCTTTAATACATTCTGCTTTAGTTTCTAATATTTGAAGTAAAATTACCTTCTGCAGTACAACTAAGCTCTAATTGCTGGCCTTCAACTACTGTAATCCTTTCTGGTCCACCAATATTAACAAATGGTTCTCCTGACGGTCTACGGTCGTTAACTAAGAACAAAAAAAAATAAAGACAAGTTAAAGAGTTGAGATGACTTTGTAAATATGCAGTAATGGAATCATTTCTATTAAACAACGAAGAACATTTGGTAAGGGGAAAAGATTAGCAGTCAGAAAATCTACTAACCACTTAAATCAACAGTATCTTCTGTTTTGCCTTTCTCGTTTGTAGCTATACAGATATATCGACCAGCATCTTGTCTCTGTACATCTTCAAAGACAAGTAATGCAGATCCATCTTGTGGTTCATATGCTTCTGGCAGGATGTCGCTTCTTCTTGGTGTCTCACTACGCCAAAACACATTGGGTGTTGGTGCTCCCTCACCAGTACATTCTAAGGTAACAGTTTCACCAACTAAAGCTGTTACTCTTCGGCCAGGTTTAATATTGATCTTTGGAGGACCTGAAATGCAAAGTAATTTATTACATACATCTGCACAAAATGACTGAATTTGAAATGAAATGGGGTTTAGCGTCCTATTTCTTCGGCACAAACCGGGCTAGTGAACCTTTTGAAAGTCTGCAAGATCACTCAAAGTGATCAAAGACAATAACTCTGAAACTAAATTTGTGTTCTCCATTCTAAACTAATAATAATTCCCCAGCATCAAAAAAAACAAAACAAACAAAAGAATGGATAGTGTATAATGTCATTTATCTATGACTAGGAAGATGGAATATGAGTTTAGTAACATATAAAAATAGTTAATATAATATAAATATATACATAATTCCATCTTAACACTTTAGTTGGCTTAATAAAATAAATAAAATATGACCAAACACATCACTTCTTGTGATGTTGTGCCCAAACCAAAATGTTGAAAATCAATAGTCTTTTATCATGAATTGTTGAAAATTCATCCAATTTTCTGCAAGGATTCTGACTGGAGTGATATACATTTGGTACATTTGCATTTCTAAAGAGAGTGCTTGAATCAATGAAACAGGTTATCATTACCTTCTATTCTAAGAGAAGCTGTTCCTGTAACAGTTCCCATTACATTAGTAGCAGTACATATATACTGTCCTTGTTCTTCACCAGTTACTTGTTTAAACATTATAACACCATTACCATCCATTACATCAGTTGTAGATGTAAATGGTTCATTACTAGCTCTAAAAATATACAATCATTCATATATTAACAAAATAAGGATATATTCAATTTGATTTATAACATACCTTAAAGATGAAGTCACATTAAAAATAATGCATACAAAACCTAAATGTATAAATATAAATATTTCCAAATTTCATAGCCATAGAATTAGAAATACTTTTTAATTCACAAGACAGAGAACTGAAATGTTAAAAAAGTATAGGCATACATCTAAATAATTTAATAAAGTCAACATGGGCTGGACGTCAACAGATTCAGGGACTAAAATATATGTCCTGAAGATAAAGATAACTTTTTTTTACATATGAGTTTCCTATTCACAGTGAAAAATTAAATGTTTTCTCTTCAATTTGATTTAATGATTATTTCGATTTTATGTGCTTGAGCAACATGAATTTTGAACAGTTTTACACAGTTTCCTTATTCTTTGTTAGCAAATGAGAAATAATTGCGTAGATAAATAGGACAAATATCAAAGAACATAAAAGGACAAAAGTTATCACTTTAAGGTGCAACTTGCAAAAAATTTGCAAGCAAGCAGTTATGGTACGCTGGTGTCTGAATGGACAGATCAACATGTATAAATACACATGTAACACATACCCACACACTTTCAGACTGGGGTATAGTTTTAAAAGTATCGAAGAGACAAGCTATGTATTGCAAAAATAAACCTATACTGTTAATAATGGGTCTTTTTCCGAACAGAATATCAACATAATCTGTTTAACTCAAATATAGAAAAATAAAAATGTTACAAATGTTTTTTTTATAAATACGAGATTATAATATCACTTTAACAAATTGAACAGATAATTGAAATGATAAAGAACACAGGAAATTAAATAAATAGCATGCAGCATACAGATATATTGTGTATAGAAGGAATAGACATTTATCATTATTTCAATTATATCATTAATTCTACGACATACCATTATAATTAATCTAACTACAGACAACACATTCACGATTTAATTATCCCAACTGTATCTAACAACATTTTGTTTTAAAATTTTGATAGTAACTGACTAAACCTTGAACTGTGGACATTATTTCTGTCAGAAACTTTTTGGGTTTCTTTGTCATACAATAAAATAAATAAAATGTTGTTAGATCGGAGTGGCTGGTTGTTAAAATTTAACTCAATACAATTATACACATTCCATATTTTTATAACATATATGTTAAATTTAAATATAAATTTAAATTTTAATGTCATATTCAAAATTATTAACTAATTCATAATTTTCAAAGATATACAAGTATAACATCGAATTAGAGTGAAGGAATAGATTACAACATTGACACACATAGAGTTAGGTATTGTTAGTGTTAGCGGGGAGCTGACACCACAAACCTTGTCCAAACAACTGTTGGAGCAGGGGATCCACCAGATATGCGACACTGAAATAATGCGCTTCCACCTAATGCAATAGTTTGACTTCCTTCAGGATAGATTTCGACGATTGGTAACTCTCGCCCTGTATTTATATAAGTATAAAATATTTATTAAAGCTGTAATTTATACGATTTTAGAATTATATATCCTAACTTACCGAGACCATGTGACATTAGGAGACGGACTTCCTCCCTGAACTCGACATTGGAACATTCCGTTACCACCAATAGGCAAGGTAATCGATTCCTGAGGGTAAATTTCTAAAGTTGGCAATTCTCGCCCTAATTATTTAACACAACAAACAAAAAGATACTTTTTAAACATTCAATTAACATTAAGAAATTCATTAGTCAAAAATCTACAGGTATGCTCATTTCATTTAAAACCGTTTATCAATAAATGTTCAGTAGCACATGTCTTATCACTTTATTTACTGCTTAAAACTACATAAAACTGTGTTCAATTGTACCATGTCATGTATGAGATTTGTGCTCACTTGGTACGTAAATGATTTATAAGCTATAAAATACTAAAAATAAAATATAATTGTATATGTAAGTAAAGTAAATAAATCATACGTTCAACATCAATAATGGCCGAGGCCTGGGCACGTCCAGCAACATTTTCAACCATACAAACATAGATACCACGATCAGACATTGTAGCCTGTGTTATTCTCAGTGTTTCTCCATTTACCTGAAATTAAATATATTTTGTTTTCTAAAAGATAATGAAACCAAATCTTATCCAAATCAAAATAATTTGACAATATCTATAAATATATTGCTTCTGAGTTTTTGATAGTCTAGAGATACAAAGTACAAAAAATAGTTTTGTCCCATTCAGCTCAGTGTGTCCTTTTCCTTTTTCATTATTATTCCAACATTACTTTCTTTACGTGTGTTTTGTTTTTACAACATATTAAGATACCAATTATTGTGTTCATTTTTACATATGCTGCTTCATTATATTCTTTATACACATGCTTCATTATATTCTTTATACATATACTTGCTCAGTGGTTCTGGCACAAATATAGTTACTGTCTTATACTGCCTGAGTGAACATAACTTTTTCAGGTTGATAAATTGTTAAAGCGAGGTCTTTCAAAGTCATTGATTATATAAAAAAATTGTGACATCCATATTTTCCTATATCACCCAGCACTACTGTAACATCTACATCCTTTTAGAACTATATATCGGTGCTACAAAATCTTGAAACATTTGTCAACTTACAACATGATTGTCTGAAAGTTCACCACGAGCTCGAGACCATGTAACAGTAGGCTTAGGTTTTCCTGATGTTATACATCGGAGGGTGCCTGTTAATCCAGTTCCAATTGTTTGCATATCTGGATCAATTCTGGCTGTTGGTGTTTCACCTATATAAATAGAAAAACAATCATGAGAACTGACCATACTTCAACAATCTATGCTTCCATTTTGTTTAATTTGGAATATATGCTTTTTCCAATTTTAAGTCAAAATCATTGGGCAGTAATTTATCAGTTTATTAGACAGATTAAATCATTTCAATATGTAAATAGTTATAGATGGCACTTATAACTTATATGTCCGTAATCAATACAACGGGAACTCACTATTACTGACTTTCCATCAAATTTAACAAAAGGAGCAAGCTGGCATGGCTTTAAAATCACTTCAGTGAAATCCTAGTGCACAATTAAGTGACCTCAACGTTGGTGAAGTCCTAGATTTAAATTCAATACTTACGCTCTACGTCAGGTCGCACTTCAACTACAACTCGTCCAGTGCCACTATTTCCCGAAGGTGTGGTACCAGTACATGTATATGTACCAGCATATGAAGGCTGTAAATTAGGAATTGTCAGGACACCATTTTGGTCACTAGTACCTGAATTATAACAAATACATCTATAGCTATTTTTGACTCAAAAACCATTACAGCTAGAGAGCTACATTTGACTCATAACCCACATAACTGTTAACCATATAAACCACACTTTAGGCATAGACCCAGTAATTTCTTTTTTTGAACTAAACATATTTTACAGGTAGAATATTTGCTAATTTGTCTATATAACCACTGAATCTGATATAACTTTATCTTGGATTATTCACATTTGGATATCTTTTCTTAAATCACTAAATGAGTTCATGGTTCTTAAGCAGAACAGTAATTTGAAACACTCAGTCCCATATTTAAATAGTTATTTTTAGCCATATTTAATGAATCCTACTTTTCTCAGCAAATCTGATCACACTGTCAGCAACATAAGCCAAGTGTTAAAGTAGAGATACCCTGCTCTTTACATGACATTTATCACAATTTGTAGAGAAATGGAATACATCTTGTAACTCAGAAAATTATAGTGTCTTCACTTGAATATTGTGCATATTGATAAGTTCATTTACCTGTTGGTAATCCACCTTGTCGACTCCATACCAAGAAAACATTGCCATCTCGGGAGTAACATTCTAATTTTACAGTTGAACCAATAACACCAACAACTGTAGCTTGACGGATGATAATCTGTACTTCTGGTTCCACTAAAATATATCATGTATTGTGTAGAATCTTCTCTTTTTAAAAAAAACAGATTATTTTGAAATATACTCTTCATTAGGAATAAAATTTAAAAATCAATTGTCAATAATACGTATCATATACTTTCTATATTGCCCTACATAGTCTTTTAATGCTAGGTTCCCACTGTCGTGCGATGAGTTATGAAAGGGTTGTCCCTATTGAGTCCACGATCTGGTACGTGAAGATACATTCGGATACGTTTCGATACGATTAACACGATTGCCATGACTGACCTCAATATATGATAAGACTTGATAGGATCACCACCATTACTCCAAGATTAAAACCACGACTTAATTGTAGTGGGAATTGTGATAGTGGGAACCTAGCATAACAGAAATTAAGATTATTTTTTCTATGACCTGTTTTTTGATAAAAAACAAAATATTTGTCAATAATTTTACCTGGTTGACCAGTAACATACACAATTGTCCTCACTTGAGCCATACCAGCTGAGTTTGTAGCTTTACAATAATATTCCGATTCATCATTCTTTGTTGCAGAGGCAATCTTAAATAATCCATTTACAACTGATACACTGCTCTGCAGTGCCTCACCATTACCACGGAACCATTCAACAACAGGTTGTGGGTTACCAGATGCAGTACAAAGCAATTCAACAGCTTCACCATATTGTACCTGGACATATCTAGGTTCAATTCTGACAACAGGGCTTTCGTCACCGGCTATTAAATGGATAAAAAGTTTATCAAGTATCTTCACACTAAACATTCTAAACATTACATTCACATTTGATCATTTTTTTTTACTTTATAACACATAAAAATGAATTGGCTGTATTTAATTATTGGTGAGTTGTCAATTAAAGAGAATAGTTTACCTCCAACACGAACAACTGCTGTAGCTCTATCAACACTAAATTGATCTGATCCAGTACATGTGTAGGTACCTTCATCTTCAGGTTGTATATTAGGTATTACTAAAACACCATTCTGATCTATACCTTTAACAGGTAAACCTGCACCATTCTTTGTCCATGATAATACATAGTTGGCCTATTCAAGCATAAAAAAAATTTCTTACATGTTTGTCAGAATGACTTTAGTTTAAAAAAGTTACAAAGTGGTATTAATCACATTTGTTCAGCTTCATACATAAACATATTAATCTGTGCATGTATGAGATTTTGGACTTCAGTCCATACTTACTAACCTCACTATTATAAGACACAGCTCTACACACAAATCTTACAGAGGTACCAACATCAACATCAACTTCTGTTGGTGATTCAATAATAACACGAAGAGGTTGCTCTGGTCCTTTGAAAAAGTAAAGAATAATTATATAATTTTAGAATAAACCCAAAATAACACTGAAATAATATTACATGTTGGACATTATATGAACATGTACATATTTCCAAATTGTTTCAGAAGAAAAATACTTATTAATGTCAATCATTATAATAATCCCAACTTACTGGTTACTGTCAACTGTACATTAGCTCGGGTACTACCATATTGGTTGGAAGCAGTACAAACATATCTTCCTTCATCATTATACTGAATATCATTTATTATCAACTCATATCTTTGAGTCCTAATACGATCTGGTAATGGTCGACCATCATTTCGACTCCAAACAACATTAAATGGTCCACGGCCTTGAACTGAACATTGAAACATAACCATTGATCCAACTGGCTCGGAAACTCGGACAGGTGAGACAGTGACTCTTGGTCGATAATCCACTATAAAAAACAAAAAAACTCTATGTCATAAATACATAAGCCGATCATATACAAAGATTTTTTCAGCAACAAATCACCCAATATAACATTTTTTCAAGTGCTTTCCAAAGTTATAACAGTAAATCAACGTTGCACATTTTAAGTCATTCACACAATTGAACAATTACATTTCTTAAATGTATATATTTGACATTTCCATGTTTTTTCCATACAAAATGTTACCTCTTACATGTTAATTCTTTCTAAAGCACTCATTAAACAAGTACACCTCTTAATAACAGGTATATATCTAAGGAGTGAAACAATTAATGATTGGCATAATACTTTCAGATATGTTGCTTAATGTAATGGTGGCATATCATAACATGCCTCTTGTGACATTCAGGTATTATTTTCACAACTTCTGAACTAATATCTCTTGATGGTTATGTATTTGCATACGAATTTGTCATTAACTTTGACTTATCTTTGTTGTATTCATGTAATAAGAAATTTTTACCCTCTTCTCTCTGACATGATCCTCCTGGTTCTCTTGGATTTCCAACATATCCTTGTGCACACCTAAATAAAAGAAAAAGATGGATATCAAAAATTAAAGATCTATTGCTGTGGTGAATCAGCCTTATTAAAAAAATTCTTAAAATTTGAACTTGGGACTTGAAAGAAACAAATAGCCATCAGTACTTACTCTCCACAATCTCTTCCAGTATATCCCATACGACATCTGTCACAGGTCACTTGGTTATCAAGGTCAAGTCGGCATGTTGGTGAGAACCTATAAGAGAAAAACTCTATCTTATTTTCTTAAAACATTATAAAATCTTGGGGTATTGACTAAACGATAACAACATTTGTATTTGTACATCTGTTTAGATTTCACTATCTCTGGGGTACCATTAGTCATACCATACATCAATATCAGTAAGTATAGGGCTGTTGCCTTTTTTACACAGCATAATTTTTTATCATTGTCTGTACAATTACATATAAAATCAAAATAAATCAAGCCCAGTTGGCTACACACTCGCACCTTATAATTCGCTAGTTTCAAAGCTTAACAGAAGGCTACCTACTGATTAGACTATTTAGTTTAGTATATATGTCAAAGGAATATATCCCAGCATGAAAATGCGTCAAAATAAATTAACTGATTAACAAATTATATCCATGTCTAAAAACAAGAAGAAGTATCCAGTTCCACATGAATTTGTCATCCAAATCTTATAAAATAATAATAATTCACATTAATATTGACTTTCCTCAAGAGTAGTTAACAATGACTAAGCCTACAAAGTATAGGATAGAAAGAATATGTGAACATTATATAGTAAAGCTATATGTTTATATTTGCAGACAAGGTGTAAGATTGCTCAAAATATTTATCTACTTCAATGTTTTACATGTACTTGATAAATAATTCCTGGAACACAATTTATATGCATACTTACACAATAACTCTTTGATACGTAATTACAACTTCAAGTAATAAAAGTTCCACTAAAATAATCCACTTTTCATTTAACATTATCTATCATAATTATTTTTAACATTTAGCGCAAAGCTCCAAGAATCTCTTTTTTAATCCTTTCCCACAGCAGAAAAAAATACCACCTTTGTCTCCAAACACAGACAGATAATAGTGTGCATAAGAAATCTGAGCAGGTCACAAAAAGATTAGACAGTAACTGGTGGGTAAAACCTGTATATCCAGGTTAAATCGTCAGTGACAACCTCCTTTTCTTCTTAAATGTCAAATTGATAAACACTACACTTGTAACCTAAAAAATACTTTTCTCATATATCTGACCCCTCCCTACACATTACATTCTCAACGTAATAATGTCCTCATTTCCATAAATATCAGTAATCTCACTCAATATGGGAATTTAATATATGAATCACATTATTCGCCCATTCAATTAACATTTAACAACACCTACACACAAACATATAACAGTGTGTTGTTACGACAATAAACCTAATGTTTAGAATTTTGTCTACACTTAATTATGGTCATCTGAAACTAACGGTAACTTTTCCATGACTTAATACACTACAGCTAAAATGACAAATTTTCATCCTGAACACACTTTCTATGAATATCAGAGCTCAAATGAACCGTACACAAAGTCCCACAATAATATTGTATATAATAAACAGATATTAAACCAATTACATGTACATCACAATAAATATACCCTGCTTGACTGCTCCTCATCTTATATCACACACAGTCCATTAAAGGGACATCTGGAGCAGCTTGATATATCCACTATTTCATCTCCATACATTGAGATGTACATTTCAATAAGCTGAGATTGAGACACAAAACTGGTAAAACAACGATTGACAGTTGGAATTCAAAATAAGAGTAGACCAGAGCGCCACTGTCAGGCAAAATATCCCTCACAGCACACTGCATGGCATATGCCCGTCTTCATTAACCCAGTAGGAGCAGAACAGTAGGACGTTAAACCCCATTTCATTTCTTAATGACCTCTCGTATTAATAAAATATTTATTCAGTTGTCCTCTTCTCTTCTTGAATATACATTGAATTCCTTGGATTTTTCAAATTCTCAATGCCTATTTCAATTAACAAAAGGCAGCTGTTTCTGACTTCTTTAATCATATTATACTAATAAAGTGTAAAATGTGTATGTGTACCCAACATTAAACATTGCCACAACATCTGATAAAATATCCTTTTTTTAACAGAACTTTATCATAACAATATCTAATGTATGAATCGAACCAGTATATTTTAATTTCACTCTTTGAAGAGATAAAACTGCACTTAACATTTATATGTATACATGTTTTTGGCAAAGTACAGTGATACTGACAAAAAATCCAATAAGCCTACATTTTACTAATGCTGCCTCCATTCAGTTTTTATATAAGATTCATCAGTTGCCACATTTTACCCAATAGAAATGAGTGATAATCTTTAATTTTAAAAGCAAACTTTGGACAAATTTCATACCTTGGGTGAAAATAGGGAGCTAAAATTGTCAGACATGACACCTCTCATTCAAGCACAACTAAAAACATTTAATATAAAAAAATAACTACATGAAAGAGACTAATACAGTAAGACTAATTGTTCATGTTATTTTTAATGACCAAACACACAGACATATCTATGTGATTCCTTTGACGCTTAACATTCCCTAGCTTTTATACATGAATTAAACATGTATAAAGTACCTAATATAAGGAGTATTGGGTGTAACAAATTCAGTTTGTGATGTATTATCAAGCATGATGTTTTACTATGATGTTTAAAGAGTCATTTAATTTCTCATTAATCACATCTTTTCGTGTGCAGGAATTTGCTATGGGACAGCACAGAAGTAAATAAAAGTTGAAATTTTCAAAGGTAAAAATGGTCATTTGCAATGAAAATGACTTTCACAAGTAACAGACCTTAGTATATATAAATGAGTTCTTTACACTAAATAGTGAATAGAAATTCTTATCATTCTTCTCATCATAGCTTTGATTGACGAATTATCTATATTGAGGAAATGCAATGTAGGATGATCTTGGTATACAATAAAACTACTGTTCTTTTAGATAATATCTTACATAGTAGAGGAAATGTTATCTGTGTTGTGTCACATTTCTGTGTAGCCTACACTGTATAAACACTGTACTAGTTTTTATACCCACTCACTCTTCATCTGCATAGCTTAACACTACATAATATTTTAGTATGGAATGGATTCAGAGGATATTTCAGAAAAGTAAGCTATGGAATGGATTCAAAGAGTATTTTAGAGAGGCTAAGAGAAGAAATTATATGACAGTTGGCCAGATACACCCCTATTAAAGTTTCTGAATGAATATGATATGGTGTTTTAACATCTCTGAATGGCAGCAGAATAACATGGACCAGTTTAAAGGAAAATATTGGGTTCAGAACTCAAGAACTGGTTAAACACATTCCAAAAAGAATAATTAAATGTCACTTAATAAAAACATGGTAATACACAAACTTTTTCTATTTTTTTTGTTTTCTCTATCTAGTGACACTCAATTATTTTTTTGAATTGTCAGATATCCTCTCACAGTCTCATATAACAACTTTTCGTCTTCGAAGGAATTAACAGTGAGCTGAAAATCAACAGTGTATCTGTTATCGCTCTTTACTTCATTCAGTTATATACTGTTTCTTCAAATCTTTGTTACGCATCTATCATAGCAATGATCTCTGTGTTAAAATTATATTTGGAACATGTTTAACTAGTTCTATCAAATATGTGATAATGGCTGACACCAATATTGTCATTTAAGGTGTTTGCTTTTTAAGTGAAAGCCAATACAATTGAATTTTTCTTGAATATCATATACATCATATTTGTTTCTGAAATATCTTCATGAAGTCAATGGCAATTACTGAGAATTAAATATTTTATGAATCAAGTTAAGATTCAATGGATTATCTAGACTTAGTCTCGTTTCTCCAGTACCGTTGCTACAATAATAAACAATCTAAGCTATATCTTCCGACGCTCAGAATAAAGTAATTTGAATGGAATTTTCAATATAATCATTTTTCATTATTTATTTTTGAATTATTATAGCAAAAACAGCCAGCTCTTTATGTAAACCTTACATAGTGCATCTTTAACATTTGCTCAAACTTGAAACAGTGATATCTCTGATCTCTAATATAATGTATTGTACTTTATAACAAAGTTCAAAAGAAATGGCAAAGTAGGTAATAAAGTAGAAAGAAAGGACTAGACTATTATTCTACATGTTTACAAATAGACAAATAATAAGAAGCTTTAATAAATGAAAATTTAAGTTTTAAACTCTTGTTGGCAAAGGTATTGCCTGAAAAATCTTTGATTATTGGCCCCTAATTCTTTGCACCCCCTCCCCCCCCCTCCATCCCCTTCCTGTAAGTGCCCTTTTTTCTTAAAAAAAAGACATCTTACACATTTCAAAATGTAGTAGATTATGGATGGATGTAAGATTTGTTATGTTAGCTGGTACAAGGCATAAAATAGGTATATTTTCAAATGAAAATTGTCTATGATGTTGTAAGCTGATTATCCCAGTATTAAAGCTCTTTCCCTTGTTTTACTTGTTCTGTTTTATATGATTTTAGTTGTCTACTTGAAACAGTAGTACTTACTCTTTAAGCAGTCTACATACATTATTACATGTATTATAGCTAGGACTAAATAAATAAGAAAATATAATACTTATTACAAAGCCAACACCAAAGCTGAATATATATTGCTTACAGTTTTTAAAGATAGGTTGCCAGGCAACGAAACATACGCCCACAGCAACTAAATGGTCCGGGCAGTCAACAAGGGTTGTCGCATATTTTAACTTTTTTCGGTAATGAAACATTTATAATACACTAAAATCTGATTAAGAGCAACAACTCACGAAGTAATTATCAGAAAACTATTAGAATTTGTTTGGTTTTTATAAAGTTCTGCCCCATGCTAATGTTTTGTATGCAAAGCTTTTAATATCATGGATTTAACTGTTCAAGTCATAAAAATTCATTGAAAATCAATATACTTGTTCGTCTCAAGATCTTAAACTCTGTGTATCAATCTGAAGTCAATCGGATTATAACTTTAGCCTTTAGAGCATCACAAGAATTTGCAAAGTGATCAAGGGCCATAACTTTGGCAGTAATTATCAGAAAACGTTGAAAATCAATAGGAATCTCCGTCTCATGACCTCAAACACTGTGTATAAATTTAAACTCAATCGGATATTAACTTTAGCCTTTAGAGCATCCACAAGATTTTTTGAAGTGATCAAGGGCCATAACTCTGGCAGTAATATCGGAAATCGCTGAAAATAAATAGGCTTCTTTGTCTCATGACCTTAAACACTGTGTATAAATTGAAAGTCAATTGGATATTAACTTTGGCCTCTAGAGCGTCCACAAGATTTTTCAAAGTGATCAAGGGCCATAACTCTGGCAGCAAATATTGGAAATCGCTGAAAATCAATAGGCTTCTTCGTCTCATGACCTTAAACACTGTGTATAAATTTAAAGTCAATCGAATATTAACTTTCGCTTCTAGAGCATCCACAAGATTTTTTGAAGTGATCAATAGCCATAACTCTGGAATTAATTATCAGAAATTGCTGAAAACCAATAGGCTTCATCATCTTATGACCTTAAACACTGTGTATAAATTTAATGTCAATCGGATGTTAACTTTAGCCTCTAGATCATCCACAAGATTTTTTGAAGTGATCAAGGGCCATAACTCTGGCAGTAATTATTGGAAATCGTTGAAAATCAATAGGTTTCTTCGTCTCATGACCTTAAACATTGTGTATAAATTTAAAGTCAATCGGATATTAACTTTGGTTTTTAGAGCCTCCACAAGATTTTTTGAAGTGATCAAGGGCCATAACTCTGGCAGTAATTATCGGAAATCGCTGAAAATCAATAGGCTTCTTTGTCTCATGACCTTAAACACTGTGTATAAATTTAAAGTCAATCGGATATTAACTTTGGCCTTTAGAGCGTCCACAAGATTTCTTGAAGTGATCAAGGGCCGTAACTCTGGCAGTAATTATCGGAAATCGTTGAAAATCAAAAGGCTTCTTCGTCTCATGACCTCAAACACTGTGTATAAATTTAAGGTCAATTGGATATTAACTTTGGCCTCTAGAGCGTCCACAAGATTTTTCTAAGTGATCAAGGGCCATAACTCTGGCAGTAATTATCGGAAATTGCTGAAAATCAATAGGCTTCTTCGTTTCAAGACCTTAAACACTGTGTATAAATTTAAAGTCAATCAGATATTAACTTTAGCCTCTAGAGCGCTCACAAGCAATTGTGGACGCCGGGCCAACGGACGGGGGCGACGACAATATACGACCACATTTCAATGTGGGCGTATAAAAAGTAAATGTTGCAAAAGGAATTTATCAAATCATAGAAGACTTTAACTTAAAAGAAATTAATGTGTGCAAAATTTACAATGACATAATGATTTTAACACGTATCTTTCTAGAAACACATTTTGTATTCAAAGACCAATAAATTGGTATGTGACATGTATGCTAATCTTATAAAATGGCCCAGATATTTAGCATTGAAGTCCTATTAATTATACGAAAATTCAATTTAAAATTACTAAAACAAAGAAAGCAAGACTACATAGCAACCAAAAAGGAGCAAATTTCATGCCTTTCTGATATGTATTGATCTTTCGGAATTTGGAAAATAAAAACAATATTATTTTTTAGGAGAAATATTCTGGAAACTCAAAATTGGTGTTAAAAAAATTATTATTTTACAGGTTTTCTGTGGTATTGCAAATAAGGAGCTTGCACATGTGTCTCATTTAGCTGGAGCTGGTCACATCTTCTATGAATATTGTACTAGATGTACAATTAATATTAGTATATCTGCGCAAATTCTAATAGAGGATAACTTTCACGAGTGATGAATGCAAAATAAATGTAGATTTTCTTCTCCTGTATCTTAGGTACAGCTCAGTTCCACAAAACATAGAAGAGTTCTGACTTCAATAATGTATGAATATTCTATATATGTATATGTTATATACATGACCATTCAAAATTGTGCCCCACTAAATAGTTAAGACTTACTGGTTACTTTGTAGGGTGAGTGGACAGGCACATTGTCTACAATCATTGGGTGTTCCTGATGTTGGGTCACCATAGTAACCATCAATACATCGTTCACATCTATCACCTTCAGTATTGTCTCGGCAATTCTAGAAATAAGAAAAAAACATCATGATTACCAATGTATTCAAAATACATGTACAAAGATAAAAAGAGAATTGTGGTTATAAGCCAGGGCCCTTATTCACGAAAACTTAAACTAAGTTACAACCGAAATTTTAAGAAATACTGCAACTTCATTGGATATATCCAAATTGATTTTACTGGTCAGCCAATCGAATTGCAGTATTTCTTAAAATTTTGATTGTATCTTAGTTTAAGTTTTCGTGAATAAGGGCCCAGGGATTACGTTTCAAAATATTGTTTGTCAGACCTTTTTCAATGGGATTCACTTGGGCCAGAACTATGTCCCAAGGAAATACGGTCGATAAGCTTCCATTCCCTATAATAGAATATTTCTCGATAATTTCTTATGTAGCATATACTTTTCTGCTGAATAATATTTATGATTATCTACAAAAAATAACCTAAAATAGGTACACCTGCTTGATATTTTCCATATTTAACTAAAGGCACAACAGATTTCAATGCATTATAAGGTTTTGTTATTCAGGTTTTGTAAAAGTTTGTATTTTTTTATAAACCACAATTAACCTTTTCACTTCACTTTTGCTGTAAATTTCAGAATGAAGTCTTATCAACAGCTAATAATAAGGAATGCTTTCGGAAGGATATACTTTTCTTATGTACAGAATATTATGTTGCCAATCCACGTAGGACATGAAATAGAATCCGTAATAAAACCATATTAGAAATATTCCTTGGAGCCTAATAAGGTCACCAAAAAATCGAGTTTAACCCCAAAATCTTATTAGGTCTACTAATGAAAAAAAATAAAAACATAAATTGGAGGTGTTATTTTCCTGTATTTAATAAAATATATATTACTATTCATCATTCATTAATATGTTCATACAATTCTGTCTAGTTCTAGATTAAATTATATTTCAGGCTCAAATACATTTCAATTATTAAAGGGAAATTTTGAAGCCAATTTGATGTTTATTAAAAATTTTGCTTCCTACTTCTTCAGCAAAAAAATATACTTTTAAACAAAAAGTACTTGGTTGCTCTTTTCAAAAGAATTTAGTGCTAATCTTTAAGTGTTGAAATTAAAAAAAAAAAAAAACCTTCATTTATTTGACTTGAGTGGCTACTTATTTATCAAAGACGGCAAAGAACTAAAGATAGGTTGCCAGGCAACAAAACATACGCCCACAGCAGCTAAGTCGTTCGAGCAGTCAACAAGAGTTGTCGCATATTTTTTCTATTGTCGGTAATGAAACATCTATAATACACTAAAATCTGTAAAAGTAACAACTCATTAAGTAATTATTAGAGAATCATTAGAATTTGTTTGGCTTTTAGTTTAGTATACAAAACATTTAATATCATGGATTTAGCTGTTCAAGTTATCAAAATTTATCAATAGGCTTCTTCGTCTCATGACCTCAAACACTGTGTATAAATTTCAAGTCAATCGGATATTAATTTTAGCCTCTAGAGCGTCAGACCGACGGGAGCGATGACAATATACGACCACATTTCAATGTGGGCGTATAAAAATTATCCAAGATGAACTTAATAATAATCATTTCACACTTACCAAGCATTTACCAGAGTCTGGGTCACATGACGTAGCATGGCCATTACAACTACATCGAACACAACGACCTAATGAAGTTCCTGAATCTTGCACACGAAGATAGCCAACAGCACATTCCTGAATTAAAAAAAAACAAAAACATTCTGATGATAAATATAAAGATAGGATTTAATGACCTAATTTATTCCGTGTGCTATAAACAGGCTTTTTGAAAGTATAAGTAGTAGCAGACCAATTTAGTAAATTATTGTAATAAATCATTTATCTTACCTGACATGATAACCCAGTATAACCTTCAGGACAACGACAGCTTTCTACTTCAGGTGCACGTCGATATCCATTAGGTCCAGGAACAGCAACTTCTAATGATAAATCTCTTAAAGTAGTACTGGCCATGATAGTATGATGAGTAGCTCGGATCAGCATGCCATCAATACTAGCTAACATAGTGAGGAATGAATCGCGACTAGGTGTTGAACCATCCAACATTCTGAAGGTTTCCTGTTATAAAAAGGTTTCAAAACTTAAAGCATAATATCAAAGACTGAAAGGTCACAACAGATTTTCAGACTATTTACATTAAAAAGCAGTCTTGTCAAAAAGCATATCTGTCAAAAATTATTATAAAAAATCAATCCTAATGCAAGTTATTGCCTTTCAACCCTTCTATCGATTTCATATCATCATTTTCTAGCCAGCTAAAAATGAACAATCTATGTCTCTTCGTGAACTTCAAGCTCAAGATTCATTTAATTGTGTAGCGAAATACGGCTGTAACCCATAAAATTAAAGTAATTATGAATACATCAGTCATCAAAAGATTATTGGATTAGGTAAACATGAACTTGGCTAGTAAAGTTATCAACCTAATCATTTATATGTACCGTAATTTTTTGGGGGTATAAGTCTTACTCCACACCGACTTAAAAATGGATGAAGACAAAAATAAATTACATTATGAAAAAAATAATTCTGTCGAGTGACATCATCTGCTACATAATAGTACTTGTACGATAAAGTCAAACTTTTGCTATCGTCAAAAACTACTTATGGTATTCCATTGCAAATACTTGTTAACATTTGTAAAAAAATATAGCTTGTACAACTTTTATTTAAAAACATAACCCCCATTCAAAATATAATCATAAACGCTAGAAAATTCCATCAAAACACAACCCTTCTTCCGACATTATTCATATTGGAAATTTTCACGTGCCATCTCTTGCATCTCACAAGAGTTCTATTTTAGATTTCAGTTAAATTAACCAGTCATACATAGCCGCCATCTATTTTATTTTATTTTTAGTAACATTCATGTAATATTATCATGTGCGATCGCAACCATTGTGTGTATTGTCTAGATAGTATTTATCGGATATACTGATATAAAAACAAAACTTGGAATATTACAGGCCTTCACGTGAATAAATTCCTGGAGAGTCAAAAAAAGCTCTCCTGAGATTGGAAAAAGGGTAAATCGCTCTCCTGAATCTCTCGAGGAGAGCTTTTTTAGCATTTGTGATAAGAACAGGGATTTTAATTCATTTTGAATCCAACCATCCAGAATTAGGTCAAATTGAGGTCCCAGTGGGAAATAGGGTAATTAGAAGCTCCTTTTAACTTTAATATCCCCCAGACTTCAACAAAAATATTTTTGGGTAATTTGTTATGGAGAATGTCGTATTCTGAATAGCCTAAGATATGACTTGAAGTTCAGGTCAGTAATATTCCTGAATAAATTACTATCTTCGTTTATTCGATGGATAAACGGATGTCATCAGTCAATCGAAATTAGGATTTTTCTACTAAGATCAGTATCAGAAAATTCAGTAGCCAAAATAAGCTGATACAACACCATAGCATTTCTTTCATATTTAAAACACAAATTATTGTTTTTGTCTATCACGTAACTTACAAAGTGTTTATTCCTTCGTGGATGATAGACAAGCGGCACAATGATCACGTAACAACCATAATTGAAATTGCTTTATATAAAATAAAATTCCATAAGACTATGCCATAGCCTTTAATAATAAGAATAATATTTTAAAAAATAACTCCGTGTTAGCATGTGTATAAAATAAAAATGAATAAAACTAAAATGCTATTTAAAACTTAATCTAGTAATGCTGGTTTATTGGCCTAATTCAAACCGATGCATGTCACATGTTATCGGGAATAGGAAAGCATTGGAAATCCTGACAGAAAAATATATTATTAATGTCTGTTTCTCGGGATATCCAGTGTTCTATCCGGGATTATTCAATGATTATTTAAATTTAACTAACAACGGGTCAGTGAAACTATAAAATGTATTATCCAATTATTATTTTAATATCTATCTGGAATTCGTACTGATCGAGCGTCAAAGACAGGGCACGAATCCCGAGATTCACAATCCATGCCGAGTGTGATATCTTCTTTTGCCACGTGGCTTATTATTACAAAGAGAACTTACTGGACCTGTTATGAATAACCAGCAAGCTTGGGGTTTTTTTTACCGAATTATCAAAATTACTGTTAAATGTGCTAATAACTCAGATTATGAACAACCAGATGGCTGATTCTTACTAAGGTATGACTGGTATTGTTGCCAAAAAGCAAGTTGATTGTCGATATTGACAGTATTTTTCGTTACCGGTATATTTTCCTGATTATTTTCTTTGAGGGGAGTCAATTTAGACATTTAGGCGAGCTACAAAAAGTGCACCTCGACTTACATCCAAGCGAGTCCAGGAGAGCGAGGACGATCGCTCTCCTTTTACATGAAGGCCTGATATTAGGGCCTACTCAAGTTAGTCATACATTTATAAACTGATTATTTTACATTCATTAATATTATGGAGCTTTTTGTTGACGTACATCGGCACAGTATTAGACTAGTATAAAACTCATATAAATACAGTAGAAGCATGAACAGACTTACCTCTCGCATCAAGACTTCATAATTATTGGTTTCATCCGGATTGGCTGATGGGTTCAGTATTAAGTACATTCTCTGATTGTTACTCTAAAAGAAAAAAACAAAACATCTGGTAAATATCAAAACAATGACTACAACAAAGTAAGTAGAATGGAGAGAGAGAGAGAGAGAGAGAGAGAGAGAAAGAGAGAGAGAGAGTTTAAGTCCACTCAACACAAACTAGGTCATTTGGAAGACTTGGAGAAAACCCATGAGGCTGGACAGGCGACCCTACTCCATGTCACGTACAACCGGGGAATCGAAACCATGTCAGTTGACTCAACAGGGCTAGAAATTCGTCATTTTTTGCAAGAATCTAAGAGGATTCTCATATGTGCAATCTGCGCGAATCTTTCAAATCTTAATAATACTGACTAAAAAACAAAATTGTGTTTATTGTTTATTGCCAGTATGAGAAAATGCCGTAGCCAAAATAAGCTGATACGCCGCCGTGGCATTTCTTTATAACACAATTTGTAGTCCTTTGTCCATCACGTAACAGTCATGTAACTTGCAAAAGTTTTTATTCATTCGTCGATGACAGACAAACGGCACAATGATCACGTGACAACCCTAACTGAAATTGCTATAAAATAAAATTCTGTACGACTATATAGCCTTCAATAATATTTTTAAAATAAAGGCTCTGTCAGTAGTGTATAAAATAAAGATAGGTTGCCAGGCAACGAAACATACGGCCACAGCAACTAAATCGTCTGGGCAGTCAACAAGGGTTGTCACATATTTTTACTTTTTTCGGTAATTAAACATTTATAATTACACTAAAATCTGATTAAGAGCAACAACTCACAAAGTAATTATCAGAAAACTATTAGAATTTGTTTGGTTTTTATAAAGTTCTGCCCCATGCTAATGTTTTGTATGCAAAGCTTTTAATATCATGGATTTAACTGTTCAAGTCATAAAAATTCATTGAAAATCAATATACTTGTTCGTCTCAAGATCTTAAACTCTGTGTATCAATCTGAAGTCAATCGGATGATAACTTTAGGCTTTAGAGCGTCACAAGATTTTGCAAAGTGATCAAGGGCCATAACTTTGGCAGTAATTATCGGAAATTGTTGAAAATCAATAGGAATCTTCGTCTCATGACTTCAAACAATGTGTATAAATTTAAACTCAATCGGATATTAACTTTAGCCTCTAGAGCATCCACAAGATTTTTTGAAGTGATCAAGGGCCATAACTCTGGCAGTAATTATCGGAAATCGTTGAAAATCAATAGGCTTCTTCGTCTCATGACCTCAAACACTGTGTATAACTCTGGCAGTAATTATCGGAAATCGCTGAAAATCAATAGGCTTCTTCGTCTCATGACCTTAAACACTGTGTATAAATTGAAAGTCAATCGGATATTAACTTTGGCCTCTAGAGCGTCCACAAGATTTTTCAAAGTGATCAAGGGCCATAACTCTGGCAGTAATTATCGGAAATCGTTGAAAATCAATAGGCTTCTTCGTCTCATGACCTCAAACACTGTGTATAAATTTAAGGTCTATTGGATATTAACTTTGGCCTCTAGAGCGTCCACAAGATTTTTCAAAGTGATCAAGAGCCATAACTCTGGCAGTAATTATTGGAAATCGCTGAAAATCAATAGTGGTAAACTGGTTTATTGACATAATTCCAACCGATATGTCACGTGTCATTGGAATTCAACAATGGAGATTCCGTCGGGAAGTTATCCACTCTTTCTCTCTCCGTGTATTCGATGTTCTGTCAGGGGATTATATTCAATGAAGATTTAAATTTACCTAACAACTGGTCAGTGAATCCATCAATGTATTATCCAGTTATTATTTTAATATCTACCGGTACCTGGAATTCACACGGACGGGTCGTGGAAGACGCGCAATTCAGAAACCACGCTGAGACTGTCTTTAATGGCCACGTGGCTTATTTTACTCAACCTATTATGAATAATCAGCAAGCTTGTTTTGTTTATTTTACCGGATTATCAAAATCACCGTTAAATGTGCTAATTACTCGGATTATGAACCACATATGGCCGATTCTCACTAAGGTATGACTGTTGTTGTAGCCGACAAGCAAGTTGATTGTCTTCTTAATTAACACGTTGTAATTTAGCCAAAAGTAGATTGATTATTTACGATACCTTAGTGGCCGATTAATTGTTTTAAATATCAATTGGCTAAAGCCGACAAAATACAGCCCCCTGATGAATACTGACCCTTACTTATTTTTTAGAAAAATTTTATGCGAATCCTTATTGATTCGCAGCGTAAGCTCTTGCGAGAATCCTTGCGCGAATTAGATTCAGAGATTTGCGTGAATTTCTAGCCCTGCTCGATGACAGGCCTTATGATACAGCTCACACATAATAACCATTTGGCCATCCAACCCCCCATAGAATGAATAGCTCAGAAATTTACTATCAACAATCCAATAGAACTGCTGTATAATACTCACAAAATTTAAATCAAAAACTTTAACAATTAAATTCTGCTACAAATTCCTGATTTTGATACGTTTCTACTTTATGAAATGAGGAAATGGATAGCCATAGTCTGATAATGTGATTGTTCTGACTGGTGTATGTGACAAGCAGCAGGGTATCTGTCAAATGTTCCAGATTTTCCTGGTTTCCTCCCATTGCTAAAGATATACCTTTTGTTAGTCACACAAATGATTTAGTTGTTGTCAAGTGGCCATATAACCCTATTCCCCCACCCCCCACCCCACTTTTCTTATCCCAGTCCTCACTCTTGATAATGAAAAATACCACACACATCTAAAACTCTGCTCTGTATAGTGCTCAGAGGATTTATATTAACCATACTAATTATCAGGGTATAAAAATATATACTTACAATTATTTCCAAATCCACATCCATATATTTATTACCAGAGTCAGCAGCTACAGAATACTCCAATGTAAACTTTAGTAATCCACCATAAGCTGTAACCTGTAAATTAAACACCATCCTTATAAAACTGTGCTAAAATTCTGTTTGATTAATAGTACAGTAGAAAGATTTTCTGAAAATTCAGACAATTAAAAATGTATATCATTTATATCAATAGGTATAATAATGTGTGAAGCACAAAAGTTTAAGCAAATCTAAAATCAGTAGCTTCATTTTTACATTTTTTCAAAAGAAATATTCTAAATTAATTGAGAGAGAAAAAAAAAAGTGAGGAAAAGAAAAATATTGAAAAAATAAAATTAGTTAAAAAAAAAAAAATCATTTAACTTCCAAGAATAAAACAAAAATATAAACAAAAATAATTCACAGCAAGAAATAATAAAGCCACCACCTAATTTTCCCTTCACATTAAAACGATTTTGTTTGCGGGGGAATGTAACCATAGCATTAACATTGTGACAAAACCATATACCCAACAATTAACCATAAAATCTTACCATACATAAATATTATTCACTTCCTTTCTGTCAAATTAATCAATAGATATTTATTCTATAATCAATACAATAAACATTGCAAATGCAAAAGATTTTCTTTTGTGTCATTCACTTGCTTTGCTAATTTTTTGTAAAGGTTTCTCCTTGAATATCTATGCGGGGAGCAGCCATCCTGCACTTTTTATATCAGATTATGATTGTAGTACCAAATAATCTATTCAATTTCTATTTTATTATTCTAACAGTCTCAATTAGTTAGTTATTATATTTGAAAGTAATCCAATGACAAGCAAACCTAATACCTGTAAAAACATATTCCACAAGATGGGCCTAATACACGTAAATATACACTCCATATATATGATGACATGTAATAAAAGTATTTTTATTCTACCTTATCTCCCCTGAATTTTGCAGGGACTTGGAAGAACAAACTTTCTCTTTCTCTCTGGACACTATTAAAGTTATTGAATGTAATCTGATTACGGCTCGCATCAACAACAAAACCATCCTTAATCATACGACTCAATCTACGATTAGTTAGACCAAAGTTATGAGATCCATCTGAAGGGAATGTGGGAGTTATCTGAAAGATAAATATATTCCATAATTCATTTAAATGGACAACAAATCAGAATATAAATAAAATATAGACCTTGCAAAGTACTCTTGTAGCCATTTGAAGTTTATATTAGTTTCTACTGATTTCAGAATTTGTCCGTAGTTTTACAAAAAAGCATTACAAAATAATGCACATATTAGCATAAATTTCCTAAATATTTAAAATGACTATGTGAAAAGATAAATTATATAATTCCTTTTGGCATGTTTTGTAAAATAACTTACCACATCTCTATAGTAAGAAGAACTTGAGCACTGATTAGTTATACCCATACAGGAACATGCAAGACAACCTTCTTTATTAGATTGGTCCAAATAGAAGTAACCATTTTTACATGAAGAACATCTAAGTCCTTGGACACTAGTCTACAAATAAAATAATGAATGGGATTAACCTCTCACCTGCATTTTAACTGAGGAAAATTTTAAACCACAATATCTTAACGCTTATTTGTGCAATGCATGGGTTTGTAAAGGATACCATTAATATTTACTAAATTTGTTGAAATATCCACTGAAAGCATCAATGTTGATTAAAGCTTATTCAAGTTTATACTTAAAGATTATTAAAGAAAATTGTGATTGTACAACGGATATATTGGAAATAATATACTTACACGGCAAGGGCATTGTTTGGTAATGGGATCACATTGAGTGTTTGGTACACTTCCTCTAGGATCACAATCACATAACGGCTCTAGAAATAGAACATTAGTTATCAATTACCTGCAACATTTCACACTACTACTAGTCTTCCTGGCCCTAAGAAGTAGATTGTAGGAGCACAGACTTTTGAATGGGATATTGCCCAGTTAGGTTGGGATATAGGTAGCCAAGAATCTCATTGCTCCGATGAAGGTTAAGGAGGCGAAGCCCCTGACAATTTTAATGCAAGAGATGCTTAAAATGTGAACCATAGCAAATTACTGGGATTGGGCCAGTATTCCAATTTCAAAATTTTTCTTGTCAGACACTTTTACCGAAACTAAAGGTTCACAACTCTTATCGTTATTTAAGCAGACAGATGCAGACCACAATTAAAAATCATGTGTCAACAAAATATTCAAAGGTGCACCTCTCTATTTTTCATATTTAATTCCTGGATGGTATTCAGAGTTATGTTAGTAATATTCCTACAAAATTACGTGTTTTCATAACACGATAGAAAGAAAGCATGCCGACCTGTACCTGCTTCAAATTCACGTTTATACGGCAGCAAAGGAAAGCAAAATGTCCGAAATAAGAAAGGTTGTGAAGTCGCAACATCGTTTTCTTCCTTATAAAATCACATTGGTAGTTTAATCACTCGTAAAAAGGCATAACCAACTTTCGTGTATTATCACGTCTGTTTTTGGCCTACTTGTGGTAAGCACTGCTTTATATGGTAAGCAGGAATTTCTATACGTAGTCTCAAGACATAGTTACGTTACGGAAAATAAGTTAAAGGTTTAATAGCTAATAATAGACACAGGTGTATCAGCATCGTCACGGTTCCTTGGTAGAGAACTAAGCAGTAGATACGAATTGAAACATTTTCAAAGTAATAATGACTGTCCATTGATTTGGGATGTTATATTATGTGACATCTATGTTTTTGGCCTACTTGACCAGTTAAACACAATTTGAGCCAAAATCAACCCTATTAAAAGTTTTGTTGTAAGCACTGCGTTATATGGTAAGCGGGAATTTCTATACGTAGTCTCAAGACATAGTTACTTTACGGAAAATAAGTTAAAGGTTTAATAGCTAATAATAGACACAGGTGTATCAGCATCGTCACGGTTCCTTGGTAGAGAACTAAGCAGTAGATACGAATTGAAACATTTTCAAAGTAATAATGACTGTCCATTGATTTGGGATGTTATATTATGTGACATCTATGACTAGTTGCTACATACTGTCGGCTGACATCAAGGAGAATAAAATGTCTGACAATGGAGAAACCGAGAGGTAATCACGTAGATTAAGTTTATAATCACTCATTGGATTGATAAATAGTCCGACAAAGGAGAAGCAATGACTTCTGTTCAGGATTCGATTGGATTAAGTCAGTTAATCAAGGTAGGTGTATAGACGGTATAACACGATAAATACTTTCATCACTTAATTACCTAATCAATCCAGCTCATTATCAACGATAATCAGGATGAGTAGTAGTTATACACTTGGTACAGTCAATTAGTTTTGGAATTTGAATATTATTCACCATATCTTGATGTCTGATTGGGCATATTACTGGTCGGATGGTTGGAAAATAGTGTAGGACATATCCAGAATATACATGCGAAATAGCATCAATGGATGGGGCGGAGCAGTCAAATGCCTTCTGCCCCCCTACAGGCCTGTTAGTGCTTTGTCAATTCATTTCATTTATACTGTCAAAAATCCAAAATAAGGCACCAATATGTAATAAGAAAATAAACACAAGTTCGGACAAAATACTAACCAGATCTTCTGCAAGAATCTCCAGGTTGTAATGGGTTTCCAGAATAACCAGGTTCACAGCTAAAAACAAAACACATACTCTTTGTCATGTAAATTAATAGAAATAATATTATCTAATACAAATTTCTATTTTTTAAAATGCAATAAAATTACAGTAGACTATTCAGATTTTCCATTAGTAAGCATTTATATCTGAGAGCCAGGTGACCAAACTTACATTTCACATCGTCGACCAGTGTGTCCAGTTGGACAGGCAGTACAAGTTACTTGACCATCTGTATCTAAAATACATGTAGGACTGAACCTGTGAATATATTACAAATAAATATTAAAGATTAGAAATGTTAATACTTCCACCCATGCCGATGAAAAAAATACAATTTCAATGGCTTTCAAATTTATGTATGTTGAAATCTCAAAATACAGACCTTCATTAACACTTTTAATTTATCTAACATTTCCAAACCTGTACATAGAAACATTTGCTACGGTATGAAACTTACTGATTTGGGTACTCTGTAAGTGGACATGGACATTTCTGACAATCATTAATGGTTCCTCGGCTAGCATCACCATAGTAACCAGCAACACATCTTTCACAGTTAGCACCTTCAGTATTGTGTTGACAATTCTGCAATGAAACAGATTCAATATTAAATACATCAAGAATGTCTCATAATATTTTCGCCATATATAATTATTAAGTTGTAAGGAGTTATAAGTCAGAGGCTAAGTGAGAGGGATGCAAGGACGAGCTTTGTGTCATGGTTTTGAGTTTTTGTGCCCCCTCGCAAATGGCAAAAAATCATGCGGTTTCAATGCGGTTTTCAACATTATAATCATAATGCTCAACCAGTGTCAAACATATACCGTGGGTCAGATATGCTACACATCGACTCTAGCATGTCCCACATAGTCCAATATTACTTGGTGGCACTGGGAGGGACTGCCACACCACCCCCTCCCCTGTACACACATATAAATAATGTTTTTTTAGGGGTCTGGATGGGACCTTGTTCCTCATGCAAAATTATAGGTCACCACGCTCCTGTTCTAAGTAAAGACTTGTGGAATGAAATGAAATGGGGTTTAACGTCCTATTGTTCTGCTCCTACTGGGCTAATGAAGATGGGCATATACCATACAGTGTGCTATGAGGTAAATTTTGCCCGGGCAGTAGCACTATGGCATACTGTTATATCGAATTCCATCTGCCAAGGGATATTTTACGTGCACGCCAATATATACATGGGTCCTCGGTTTTTCGTACCATCCGAATGTCTAGAGAACTGTCCTTGTTAGGCCCTCCATCCTGCACCACTGACAAGGGAAAACTACGCCGGAAAATCCTGATGAAGTAAAGACTTATCTGAGAGTGCTTATTTTGATACAGCATGAAGTTATCACTAGTCAACATTCTATAGATCATTTCACTACCATCCCCAAGTCATTGCTTTCTTTGTTACAAGGAGCGTCATAGGTCAATAAGAAACCCATGTATATTATCTCTGACAAGAAATCTTGCTTGGAAATAAAGGAATAGATGAATTAATTGCAACAAAGCTGTTTACTGAAATAATATTAAACTTACTCTACAAACTCCGGTTTCAGGGTCACATTCATTGGAATGTCCATTACAATTACATCTACCACACAGACCTAGATATAGTCCACCTTTTGTTCTGGTATATCCAGTATCACAGTCCTACAATAATAATACCTAGAATTATATACACTGACCAATCTTACTTATTTTAGTATGTTGCCTTTTACAATATCAAAATATCAAAGATGCCACATAATTCACAATTTCTCTTTTTCTTTCTTAAGCATTCCTCCATAATACAAAAGGAAACTCAGCCTACAATAGGGTGGCCCACGATAAAAAAACAGATCTATGAATTACATAGTCATATCACCACCAAAATACCAGTATATTTGAGTTAGATTAAAGATCACTGGAAAAGTTTTATAATTTTTCTAGATAATGCGAGTAATTATAAGTATGTCAACATATCCTTTCCATAAATATAACACAATCCCAAATGTCAATGTTACCTGCCACAGGTAAATTTCAACGTTAGCGATTTCCGCCGTTCGCCGTGAGTAGTCATAATATTCTGCCAATAAACAAGCTGTGACATAATTTTAGCCCTTCTCACAGAAATATAGACTAGAATATGAACAGAAGGACTAAAATCATGTCACACCTTGTTTATTGGCGGAAAGTTACGACTACTCTACCTGTTGAAATTTACCTTTGGCAGGTATTGATTGACATTGACATTGGGGATCGTGTTATACTTATGGAAAGGATATGATGACATAATTCTTTGCATTATTTAAAAAATTTATGAAGCTTTTCCGGTGACCTTAAACTATGTAGAGGTATCCTTTTGTAAATATTCTCTGGCCTGCTGGCATCAAGCAGATATGTGAATGCTGTCCACTGATGATTTAGATGATTTTTTTTGACGATTAGGGAATCAAGGTTTCCTGAACCTTTCCTAAGCTATTTGTCATCCAATGTAACTATCCGCTGAAAATGTCCAAAGGTATTAAATAAAGAAGTATGGTACCTCACAAGAAAGACCTTTATATCCTCTTGGACAGACACACTGTTCAACAGCCATAGCTCTATCTTGTCCAGTGAATCTAACTTCTGCTACATCTAACGTCACATCACTTAATCTGTTGATAAAATTCAAATGTATTTAATTTTCTGTTCATTTGCAGTTGTGGTTGAAATCTTGACCTTGGCTTGCAAAATTCTTTTGAACAAGTAATATTCAATAAATTGACTTGGAAAATATATTTACAGGATGGCTAAAATGTTATTGTAGACCAAAAGCCAGGCATGATATCATCAAAGTGCTCAAATTACAAAAATGTATAGGCACCATTTAATACACCATTTTTTTCTTTGTTATCTGACTATTGTGCTCTTTACTCAAATATAGTAGTTTTTTGTGAAAATATTATCTTTTCTTCAAGTTGTAAAATATGTTTATATTAAGAATATATCTTGCGATGTTAATCATGCAACAGAATTTATAAGTCATCTCTACTTACGCAGCTTCATCAGTTGTTTCTGTGTAAGTAGCTCTAATCAAGATTGCATCAAGGTCAGCCAAGGCCATCAATAAATGTTCACGTGTAGCTTGTTGACCATCCATACGGAACCAATTTCGCTAGAAAATTTTTTTATAATCCTTAAAGCCTTATCATTTTAATTAGTCATTGAAAAAATTGCAAAGTTATTACAGATCATCAGGTAGGAAGATCATGGTTATGTTGATAAACTAAAACCTAGCATGACAAGATCGTATGTCGGGCTGCAACAATGTATTATTGTTTCACCATCCACATTACAAAGATAGTAAATGTTAAAAAACTTTTTCCAATACATCCCAAATTTTAAAACTAATTTTACACTACAGTTATATAATTAAATCACTTACCTCAAATAACTGTATTTGAAATGATTCCTGAGAAATAGCTGGCACTTGTCTAATGTTTCTATAGATCAAATCAATTTCATTTCCCTGAAATGTGCATGTGCATTACATATTCTTATTTTATCATTACAAAATAAGCTTTCTTTGGGGAAATCAATTAAAAATAAGTGCATTAAAAATTAACGTAACCTTATTTTGTTCACACAAAACAGTAAAAACCTATATGCCCAATGTTTTAGGATAATCAGTGTGGATATATATACGCTGAACAGACACAGATTATTCATTATAAATTTCACATATATAATTACCAACAGACTGGCCCTACTTATAACCATCAACTATATACTTACAGTTAATTCAACAATTGGTTCACCAGTACTTATAGGACTGTTATCTTGACCTGGTCGATATCTCAAGGTAAACCGTAAATATCCACCATATGCAGAAACCTATCATAAAAATTTTTATTATTTTAAAAATATATCACATTTCATGAAAGTAGCTGTCCATACTTCAAAATTTACCGATTAACAGCATTTAGTAATAATTAAATACCCACCTTATCCCCAAGGAAACGCGATGGAAGGCTCCAGTAGTAAATCTCTTTAGGTTGGTTCTGGAAGCCACGGTAAACTAGTTCTCTATTATTTGAGTTAACAGTAAAGCCATCATTGATGACCAATGTCTTCATCATATCACTTAATCCTACACCCATTCTATCACTATTGAACGATACTCCAATCTGTAACAAAAACAAAGATCAGACCAATCAAAATCTGTGACTGATAATTTAATAATAACAGCACTTCAGAATCAATTATACAGAATGACATTTCATGGATTGTATTTAATTTCGGGGATCACGTGGCTAAGTGGGTAAGCTGTCTAGTCATTCGGATGGGACGAAAAACCGAGGTCCCGTGTACACATTGGCATGCACGTAAAAGATCCTTGGCAGTTGGAATTCGATATAAGAGTAGGACGTAGTGCCGCTCTCCGGGCATAATTTCCCTCATAGCACACTGTATGGCGTATGCCCGTCTTCATTAGCCCAGGTTAGGAGCAGAACAGTAGGACGTTAAACTCCATTTCATTTTATTTCATTTTGTATTTAATTTATAAATAATCAATGGCCATTCTAGGAATCAATTATCAATTCGTACTTACAAATAACCAAGGGTGTTTAACGCATGACAATTGTTTCACTGACTGTACATTCATAATTTTTTTAGTCTCATTTACTGATCAAGTCAGATTTATTTAGTGCATACTTCAGTGAGGCACATACATACCTGGGCCCTGTTTTGTGATGTACTCTGACATAAATCAGTTACACCCATACAGAAACAACTCAAACAGCCATAAGGGTATTCAGCTGACAAATAGAATGTTTCATTTTTACATGTGTCACAAATCTTACCCTGAACATTAGCCTGTAATGAAATAAACAATAAGTTATGTTTTAAAATGCTGACACAAATAAAAACAGACAAAATCTTATTGTGTTGCTGAATATCATACTTTAATATAAAATATTACTAATTATCAAGATGATATTTTGATATAAAATCATATTGTGTTACTGAATATCATACTTTAATATAAAATATTACTAATTATCAAGATGATATTTTGATATAAAATCATATTGTGTTGCTGAATATCATACTTTAATACAAAATATTACTAATTATCAAGATGATATTTTGATATAAAATCATATTGTGTTGCTCAATATCATACTTTAATATAAAATATTACTAATTATCAAGATGATATTTTGATATAAAATCTGTGTAAATAGTACTAATATCTTACCCGACAAGTACAGGTACCAGTAATAGGATTTGGTTCTGAAGATAAACTTCCTCTAGGATCACAGATATCAGTTACTACAAAAATATCAAAACTTTTTAAGTGATCAGCTACTTTATAGCTACTTTCAATGCTACTTTACAATATAAAATTTTATTAAACAGCATGCTTTCTCAATTTCAAGAATTTCAGTTATGGCCTTGTTGGGGGGAATATATTGGTGTACTGAAGTAAAATAACATTTTTGGAAGCTTAGAGAAAGGGGATTCTTACTTATGTATAGAATATGCGATCATTGCACAATTTACATGATGCTTTTCAATTACTTACCATCTATTCTGGTACACCTGTCACCTATTTCCCTTGGATTACCTTGGAATCCTTCAGCACATATGTCACACTGACGTCCCTCATAACCCTCTGGACAGTTAGTACAAGTTATCAATCCATCGTTCTCTAGTATACAAGTTCGACTAAATCTGTATTAATAAATAAGTATGATTCAAGGTACTAGAATATAAACCCACTGGTAGACATTGTTTAGAATGTCAAAAACTAATGATGTGTGTTAACACAAGTTCAACAAGCCAACAGTGAGGCTGATGTCCCCCGCCGAAATAGGAAAATAATTAGAGGACACATATAAATTTATCACAAATTATCTTTTACAAAGTATTGAACAATCAAACAGTATATCTTTACTTATAGTCTAAGCATACAATGTTTTTGATGGAATAATTATAGCATATTAAGGGGAAAACATGCTCTATGCCTACAGATCTAGAGTTTGGTTGTATCAACGGGTCTATTTTCCATCTTGCTGCAAGTTGTGCAAAGTTCACTGTTTTCTTTCTGTCATTAAATGTCAATTCATTATTGCATACTACATATTTAATTAATTTATAATAGTTTCTTTTTCAATTTGTTTTTTCCATTTATTTGTTTATTTACCTTGCCTATATTCATTGTATTGGATTGTATTGGAATTGCTCAATTGATGCTTTTATCAATACCTGGTTATAATATTATGACATGTAATGTGGCAAGTTGAGTCGGGACATGTAGGCTATAATGTAACCTAAATGTATACATAAGTGGATTTCGTTTCATTTTTTTCGAAAATATTGTACAGATAAAAGAGGAGGAATTACAGGGGTAATACATTGGAAAGCTTCTTCAAGAACTAAAGCATAAACTATATAAACGAGCTTATAAAAAGGAAAAGTTTGTATAAAGACGTTTCGTTTGCACAACTGGGTGATGATAAATCACGTTTTGTCTTTCTAGCAGACGACACCGTTTTACGGCGAAAGCACGCGCTCTATTTGTGACGCTTAATTTATTTTATTATTCACTCGACGTCATCACTTAGTAGACTTACTATTTTTAATATGTTGTCTTCGGTATAAAGCTGTTTATGCACAAAACCAAATACTATGACATAGAATATTTTGTTTCATGGTTTATCGGCATTCTATTTGTCACTCATTCTATCGCTATTTATAGAATAGGCTACCTTGGTTACACAACTAAAGTTATCGTGTCCCAAAGCATCAACCAATCAAATTGCTTATCTCTGCTTACCCTAAGCGGAAAATGCTCATCTTCGAACTCCATCAAGGCATTGACCTAATCAACACATACACCAAGTTTGAACATTCTAGCTCAATTAGGAAGAGAGTTATCGTGCCCCAAAGTATCAACCAATCAAATTGCTTATCTCTGCTTACCCTAAGCGGAAAATGCTCATCTTCGAACTCCATCAAGGCATTGACCTAATAAACACATACACCAAGTTTGAACATTCTAGCTCAATTAAAAGTTATCGTGTCCCAAAGCATCAACCAATCAAATTGCTTATCTCTGCTTACCCTAAGCGGAAAATGCTCATCTTCGAACTCCATCAAGGCATTGACCTAATCAACACATACACCAAGTTTGAACATTCTAGCCCAATTAGGAAGAGAGTTATCGTGTCCCAAAGCATCAACCAATCAAATTGCTTATCTCTGCTTACCCTAAGCGGAAAATGCTCATCTTCGAACTCCATCAAGGCATTGACCTAATAAACACATACACCAAGTTTGAACATTCTAGCTCAATTAGGAAGAGAGTTATTGTGTCCCAAAAAGTGTGACGGACAGACAGACGGACAGACAGACGGACAGACAGAAGGACAGACAGACGGACAGACAGACAGACAGACAGACAGACAGACGGACGAACCCATTTTAATAGTCCCCTGCTTTCTTCGAAAGGCGGGGGACAATAAAAAGTACTAATAATAGCAACAAAACTAATCCATGTCAGTATGATCCTATTTGGGTCAAAACATCATATTCAAATAACATTACGAATTAAGACTTAAAATGGAACATTTTGATAATGATAAATATTTCTTAAAATACTCACTGATTGGATGCAACGGTAAGAGGACATGGACAAGCTTGACAGTCGTTGGGCGTTCCTCGTCGAGGATTACCAGCATAACCTTCCTTACATTGATCACAGTAGGGTCCAGTAGTGTAGTCACGGCAATTCTATAAAACAATTTATAATATCAGTACCAACTGGTCTTTTTTACTGATGTAACCAATATCATATGGTCATTTGACCAGGAAATTCCTGTAAACTCGATATGGTAGATTGATTTAACTTTTAAAAACTTTCTAGATGCCTTTATTCAAATGGTACACTAAAAAGCTTTTCTAAATGTTGATCTATGTAACTGTTATCATTGAACATCTCTATTCATATCTACTTAAGCATGAATCTATACGAAGGTCTGTATATATCGCAGATTGTAGCAATTTGATAGGCTTTCAAAGATTATATTCTTTCATTATGATTTAGCTAAATAATGTATTCTTACCTGACACTGTCCACTGATTGGGTTACAGTCATTAGAATGTCCGTTACAATTGCATGGTACACATTCACCCAAATATCGTCCACGGTTTACTCTGTAGAATCCAGCCGCACATTGCTACAATAATAAAATCAAGCGTAAATTATCATATCTACAATTCAATCTTCCATTCCTAGAAAGTTTTAGAATAAATTCACATTTGGAAACACATTAGACATAAAAATAGAACTTGTTTTACCCTCTTACTTATACATATTTTTTACTTGGACAACAAAAGGATTAAAAACAAATTTAAATATCTTAATGTCTTCCACCCACCCACTTATCATTTTGCTCAATCAACAGGAATGAAAAAAGTAAAATAAAACCATGTGCCATTTATTCCGGCAAGGTCGTTTGCCTCATTCTGATAATCTACTACTATTGAACCAATCAGTGAGTGGGAATATACGTGACCTAGGTCGTTATGAATAAATTTCATTGTGGGAAGTCATAACACAGTCTAAACTCGTATGCCGTAAACTAGCGCAGGGAATGAATGAATATTTTTTTTATTTAGACTACTGTTTTCGTTGCACTGCATTAATAATTTTATTAGTTACTATCACTAAATAATACACATAATGTTGACATTTATGCTCATGGAGCTGCTTACGTGATCAATTGCATTGGGGAAAATTTCAAAGTGATCAGACGTAAAAATGGCTAAATATAGAGCATACGGAATGTAAGAATATATTGTAACGAATAGTAAACGGATAGTAAAATGATTCGGATAACCCTTATTTTGTATCCGTTAACGAATATCCGAATAGTAGTTTCAACACTAGTGTTCACCAGGTTTAACAAAGTGAAACAAGGGCCATAACTCTAGAAATCAACAAACAGAATTGTTTTACTAATTTATATAATAAATGTAAATTTAATATAGATCAGATGATAACTTTAGTCATTAGAACATTCACAAGCTTCAACAAAGTGAAACAAGGACCATAACTCTAGAAGTAATTAACGGAAATAAGCTTCTTAGTCCTACTGGTGTAAACAATATATATAAATTTCAAACTGATCAGATAATGTGGACGGCGCACGGAGGCGACGGCAATTTACAACCACATTTCCTTGTGGGCGTACGCAAAGTAATTTTGAGTATTTCTTGGATTATGATTTGATTCCCAGATTAAAACGATTTACTAGAAATCACATTTATCAACAAATATTAAAACATGTACTTACTTCACAAGATAACCCAGTATATCCTGTTGGACAAGAACAATCTTCAACTAAAACAGCTTGGCCCATACCACGATCTTGTGTTGCAGTTGTAGTTAATAAAACATTGCTAATTCTGTAAATAAAAAAATCAAAACAATATTAATATCCTTATTACTCAAAGAAAAAAAAACATATTTGAGAATATTATTATAATCTTATATACCTTTAGACACCTTCACAAAACACAGTATATTACCGCCTACTTTCCAATTCAAATTTAGAGTTAATTTTATATGAACAGAAACTTCTACTTGACATTGGTTGCAAGGTCATGAAAAAGATATTGTGTTTACAGTATGACCACATTCTACATGCCCCATGTTCGGCATATTATTAACCAGGCCAGTCCTTTGTCAATCATCTGCAAATCTACGAATCCAAACAATACTTTTTGAATTATCTAAAACTATGAATCCAAACAATAGTTTTTAAATTCATCTACTACAATAAAACAAAATTCTGAAACATGTTCCAATCAGTTTTGCTGATACATTATGTTTTCTTTTTCCAATTCTGCCAGGTTTGTGTATATAATTACAATTATAAAAGGTAGAACAAGCTATCTTCTACTAATGTTCGTCCGATCATGTACAGAATATGGGGAATGTAGAATGTGGTTGTACATGTATGTGGTTATACAGTTATTAATTGTGAATATCCTCTATCGTCATAAGTAACCATAGTTGTTCTCAAAATTGATGTTTCAAACCTCTGGCGGTAGTGATCCTGGAAGTAATTCTGTGAGTGATTATTTATACATCCCAAAATCTTAATAAGAATCTTGCTTATATATAACTAAACAATATTTTTTTCACTCCAGACTGCAGAGTATAAACATACTATGGATGGTCTGATAAACCAACCAACCTGTGTATAAACATATGTCTATCATTAAGTTACAGGAAGTTTTAAAATTAATTCTGACAAACCTCGTTGAAGTTTGTGTATTATCATATGTTGCTCTAATTAAAATACTTGTAACATTTTCAAGAACCATCATAAGATCTTCTCGAGAAGCATATTCTGATATTGGTGTATCTCCTCGTCTTGGTGCTTCACTTCTATCCCAAGCAGACTACAATTATAACCACAACTCTATATCAATTCACAAATAACAGATTTCTTTTATAGCTGAAAAATACCCTCTTTTAAAGTAACAAGTGTGAGTTGGACATATTCAAAAGTTGATAGGAAGCAATTGTTTTCCCCCTCAACTGTCTTCCTCGTTTCTGCAAAATTTTGTTGTTGAATATCTGACACTAAGTCTGCTAAAACTTTTTATGCTAAATTAGTACAGTTACATACCTCTGTTAAAGGTACATCAATAGATGTTTGACTACTTGGTCGTAGTTGTTCACGTCCTCTGTGATATAATGTAATACCATTACCCTACAAAATAAAACGTATCAAAATCACTACCTTCTACATTGTCTTTTATAAAAAAAAATAACCATTCCTAGACATGTTATATATAAAAGGACATCTGAGTTAAAAAGATTAAAACAATACTTCTATCATTTTGAGACTAACATATTCATTTCAATTTCTATGGTTAAACTGCTGCTGACCCTCATTTGAGTTAAATTCAAAAATGATTACCATGTCATCTGAAGGTGAAAATATAAAACATAAATATAAAACTTAAATAATGGCTCTTACAGAAATAATAACATCAGGATCAGTTGTTGGATCAGCTGTAAATCCACGGATATCATAGTAGACTCTGTATGTTAAATCACCACCATAACTGCTTATCTGAAGTAAAGTTTGATACTTATAAAACCTATGCTAAAAACTGTCAAATAGTATAACATATGACCATTATCTCAATTCCTTCTATGTTTGATACTTATACAACTAAATTTTGTATTTCTTACTCTTAATGGAACACAGTCATATACTTTAGTCAATAAAACTGTGTATTGGTTGTTATAACACTTTCACAAAGCAAATGGTCCCAAAAATGGCTTGATTCAGCAACTTTGGCAAGCTCAGAGATATTGTTAACCCTTGAAAAAGTACCTTATACTCAATGATAGTTATACATTAAGATCATTTTAAATATTGTCAACGGTGAGAGGGCATGATATAAATAGAGGTTATAAAACATACTCTGTTGCCTAGGTATTGTGCTGGTAGTTTCCAATAATAACTGTCTCCTCGTAGAACACGGTTAAAATCTTGAACTGAGAATTCCCTGGTTGATGGCAAGAACTGAATTAATCCAGATTCTACAGGCAAGAGACTTCCTTCCCTCACTAATTCTAATCTATTACCCAAAGTGATCTACATTAAAAAAACAAAACAAATGAAGACAAATTAAGCAAGTATTGTTTGTGAAGGTTTCTATCATATCGGTAACTGAGATGAAGTTTTCAGAAAAACTGAGATCTTTATCAATTATAACCTTGTTTATTTAGGAGAAATAAATTGTACACATGCCATTTATAAATCTTAATCAAATTTATTTTGAAGAAATTACTACTACACATGGAGGATAAACTGAGAAATTTATAAATCTTAACCAGGTTTTATTTGGGATAAATCACTTATACATGTAGAGAGTAATCTATGAAAATTTAAAGTTTTAACAAACTGAATTGGGAAAAATTGCTTATGAAATTTATCTGATCTTTTGGGGGTGAAACATTTAAAGAAGAATAATGACCTGTGTGGTTTGTAGGTTACTACTGATACACTGTACAGTTTGTCCAAAACAGAAACACCTAATACAATCAGCTTCACTCTTGGCATTTATGTTAAAAGTTGGTGGTCTGCAGATTCCAGTTTGATCTGCAAAAGAACACAAAATATTTTCTTTGTCTACCTAAAAATTTTAACATGACAAATGATGTTTTTAATATGCTTTACTGGTAATCAACACAAATTAATTGTCTTTGAATAACAATTTTATATTACTATTATGATAATTTTCTATATAACACCTGAAATTTAATGCTAAAATCACTTTTTGAGAATTAGGCTTTGTATCAAATAGCTTTGATCAAATAAGCAGTACACATTATCTTTAATGTTCTGTAAACTTACGTCTGACAATTACTATGGCATCTGGAACAGCAAAGATACTGCCCTTATTGTTAATAGCTTCACATGTGTATGCACCAGCATCATCACGTATAGCATCTGTTATAGTAAGAGAACCACGACCATCGATACTGGTTGTCGTTACTCTCTGTCCTGTTGGGATATGACCCCAGTTTAATCGCCATACTATAAGAGGTGTTGGTACACCAACAGCTTCACAGAAAATACTAAATTCACCTCCAACCTCAACCTCAACATCTGCCCTTGGTGGTTTGCGAACTGTGGGAGCAGCTGAAAATACAAATAACACAAAATTTAGTATTTATTGATGAAAGCCATTTTCTAATACGACCCACATAAAATGTACAATTATAACAAAAGTGAAATTGAGCTTGAAACTTACAACAGCCGATTTCATCTGATCTATCTTGGCAATCTAATTCACCATCACACTGATAACTTGCAGGAACACATTGATCTCCACTAAGACAATTATATTCATCAGCTCGACATGGATCTCCAGGGCGTCTTGTTGCTACAAATATAAAAGTATTGTTTTTTAGGGTGTTTTTTTTTTTAAAAAAAAGAAAGAAAAGGGCGTCTTGTTGCTACAAATATAAAAGTGTTGTTTTTTTAAAAAAAAAAAAAAGAAAGAAAAGTACACACTTAATATTTGAAAATAAATAATAGACTTGCCACGTTTAAACATTCATAGTATCACAACTTTATGAATTTACTACTTCTTGGTTTATTACATGCAACGTTTCAATACCCTTACAGGTATCTTTATCAAGCAATGTAAGGGTATTGAAATGCTACATGTAATAAAATAAAAACTAGTAAATCAATAAAGTTGTGTTATCATGAATGTTATACCTCAACTTCTAAATGCCATTCAATGATATAATGTTTAAATAGGTTAACAAATGTAATTGCCCATACATGTTTACAGGTGATCATTTCACATCAAATATATATATATATAACCTTCATTACAGTTTATTTTCCAAAAATACTGATTAGTCAAGCATTTGATTTAATATACTATATGACAACATAAAATAGAGCATGTATATAGGTGAAATATGGAAATAAACCACTGCATAAACTCAAAGATGTTATGAGGTTTACATTGTCAATATATAATTCAACTTACGACAGTTAGTTTCATCAGATCCATCACCACAATCATTATCACCATCACATCGCCAAATCTTCATAGCACATCGTCCATTATTACATCTAAACTCGTTAGGTTCACAAGGCAGTGGTTCAGCTGCAATTCAAAATTGTAATATTCAAATAAATGGATCTCTAGAAATTGTATGAAAACACATGATAAAAGTTTTATAGTTGAATGTGGCAATTAACTGATGATAGTACTAGGTAGATTGCCAACCATTAAAAAAAAACACACTTTTAAAGTATTAATTTAAATTAAAATAACATTAAGACAGTTTTGATTGAATAGTAGGATTAAAATCTGATATTCCACAGTTTGTTTCACCATTTCACTTAAGATCGACTATTATCTGCTTCAAACTTCAAATACTGAGCATTTTGTTCTTAGGCTATTTCAATCATACTTCTGTTTTTCATATTTATTTTCATTTTAATTTCCACTTCATCAGTCTTAATACAAGACAATATTATTCATGTAGAGGTGGTGGGTTTACCATGAAGATACAGGTGATACTTACCACATTGTTCATCTGAACCATCAGCACAATCTTTCTCACCATCACAGATATAATCTCTAGGTATACATTGTCCATTACCACATGTAGATTCATCTCTTCCACAGGGTCCAGTAGGTAAATCGGTCGGACTGGGACCAACTACAAATAAAACAGTAAACCAGATTCACCAATAACTCAAATCCAAACAACTTTCAAATCCCCAAAAAGTTTTTTGACAAATGAAAATGTAATCATATTAGTCAGGTAGCAACCATTAAGTAGGTGTTATGTCACTAAGGTGTTAAGACAGTGACTACTGAATTATACACCACTAGTGGTTGGGTATGTGTATTCAAAGGTGATATGTATTAGAATTAATCAATCTTTTACACTAGAAGTAGCAACTTTTACAGCAAGTTACACACTGGCTAATAAATGACTACTGTATAATTAGTTTAAAGAAATGATGACTTGTATGATCTATGACAGTATCAGTTTTACAGTGAATCACATTACATATGTTGAATGTTCAAAGCTGTTTTGTGCTTTTATCATACTCTTGCTGGCTTGACAGTTCCAGAAAATAAAAAAATAGCCTTATTCTAAGTACTAGATGTGTTAGTGTCCTACCTGTTGTGTAAATTATCCATTAAATCCTATTTTACTTGTCCAGAGGGTTCAAAAATATTTTTAAATCCATGTCACATTTGAAAAGCTTTACATCAGGCTTTTCAAATCATTTAGTTGAATTTTTCCAATTTTTTAAATCAGGTGTGTTAAGATAAAATTTGTATCATCAATTAATTGGAATATTGTAAAATAGTACAATTTGTTGACCAGAATAAAGATTGGGACATATTATTCAGTTACAACAAGAGTGGTATTGAGCCTTTAATCGCCATTGTTATTGTAAACCACTAACGAACAGTCAAACTGACTCAATGTTCAACACTAAGGAAATTATTATCATTATTATTTACTAGAGTGAAATTAAGCAAATTCTGGTTTGAAGTGATCCACTAAGTGGAGATGCTGATAAAAAGTCATTAATTGATCAAAAGGAATGTGTCGGAAAACACAATAATATTAAGAGCAAAAAATTGATAAGCATGGTCTAATTCTGCACTATAGATTTGGTTGTGAAACCATTTGATCGCAAGAAATTGACAAAACTTGACTGGCTAGCAGATTCTTTATGAAAATTATTTTTCCTAAATATAGACTACCTACCGAAGTCAACTGATACTCTGGCTGTAGACTGATAGGATCCTCTTACACCTACAGCTGAACAGGTATAATCACCACCATCTTCAGCCCGAACACTTCGAATAGTTAATCGACCATTACTATCAGTTGCTGAAGCAGGTAAACCCTGTAATAAATTCAGAAGTATACTCATATGTACCTGATCATTTCTTTGTATCAATAATATCATAGCAGAAGATTTTTGTAATGAAGTGACAACTGTGGGAGGTATTTCTGGAAATTATTGTAAAGCCAAAAAATACCTGTGTCTACGATTACTAGCGCGACCCATATTACAGGTCTTATGAATCCAGTTTTGGCATGGAAATGGTAGGAAATAATCATAAACAACTTAACACATTTAAAATGACATGACAATGAAATGGGGCTTAACGTCCCACTGTTCTGCTCCAACTGCTATTTAAAATGACATGACAATGAAATGCAAGCATCCATAACAAATCATATTCGTGTGACTCAGTTCTATTAACAATATAGCTTAGAATATATACAGAACATTTTCAGATTTTATAAAACCATTTTAAACATTCAAAGAAATGACAAACTATATTTTATGTATAATATTCTGGATCATTCAACAAGATTTTCTGACTGACTGACCCTATTTTGTTTTGCCAATTAACCATACGTCAGGTATTATTAACGTGACTGGCTAAAAACTAAAGAAGTAATTCAATCTATATTTATTAATTCCAACTGTAATATCTTCACATGCAAAATATGTCTATATACTTACTCTACCAGGTCGTTCCCAACGAACAGAGGGTCTTGGTGAACCTGTAACATCGCAAGTGAGAACAACATCTCTTCCCTCTCTAACACGAATATTCTGTGGTGAAACAGTCACAATGATTGGATCAGTTTCTGTAAAACAAAACAATAACATGTATACAGGTAGACATTAAAAGAGTAGAAATAAAAGACAAGCACAATCAGAATATTACATGCTTAGAATTATCCACTTTTGGTGGAATTAACAAAAAACACCAGACAAATAGTATAGCTTACCCACTTATTAAAATGGAGGGGGCTTGGAGGGGAGGGAGGGGCAGCCGAATGGTTAAGGTCTGTCATGGAGTCAAGTTGCATGGTTTCGAATCCCCACATGTATGTGACAAGGAGTAGGGTTGCCTGTCCAACCTCATGGGTTTTTTCTGTGTCCTCAGGTTTCTTCCCACTGCTAAAGACCCCTACGTGCAAGCGAATTAATAAAATAAAATTGAACCATGTTAGTCCCAAAATGACCTAGTTTGTGTGCACCTCTCTATTCTCTATTCAAATGGATTTTCCTAGAATTTCCAAAGATCAATGGTGCTTGCTCTGTTTAATGCACATAATAATTTCAATACTACCAAAATAGTGAAGTAAATAAGGAAGTATTAGTTATATTGTATTAAATATGCTTACTACATTCCCTTTCATCGCTACCATCCCTACATTCACGTCGACCATTACAACGATGAGATTCATAAATACACTGTCCATCACCACATGCATACTGACCCGGTGGACATGTTGCTGGATCTAGAAATAGTACATAATGGTTAATATAAATAATATTCAATTATAGACATGTACAAGACATGTTTGTACTCTTTGTCTATACCTAATGCAAACATCTTTTTTATGCATGTCTACATATAGAGTGTTCACAAGATTCTACAAAGTGAACAACAGACATAATCATAGAATTAATTAAAAAGAAACTGTTGAACAATGCTTATAAATTTCAGGTAGATTGGATGATAACTTTTTTTGTTCTTCAAAGTGATAAAGAGCACTAACTCCGGCGAAGTTATTATCAACAATTGCTGAAATGGAATAGGGGTTCTTCGTTTCACTATTCACAACAACTTTTAGTAGGTGTAGGATAAAGTACGAGACTGAGGTTATGCTGGGGAAAGAAAGACTGAAGAAAATAACCTGAGATAAAGAAAGATAGGTTGCCAGGCAACAAAACATACGCCCACAGCAGCTAAATTGTCCGAGCAGTTGACAAGGGTTGTCACATATTTATTCTTTTGTAGGTAATTAGGGGAATTTAATAGACAATTTCATACAGATGACATTATAATTTCCGTCTTTTGAGGGTTCACAAGGTTCTAAAAACTAAAACAAGGGCCGTAACTCTGGAAGTAATCTACAGAAATTGTTCAAATTCGACAAGCTTTTTCGTTTTACTAATTCAAATAATGCATATAAATTTCATACAGATCAGATGATAACTGTTGTCATTCGAACGTTCACAAAGTTCAACAAAGTAAATCAAGGGCCATAACTCTAGATGTAATTAATGGAAATTTGCTGAAACTCAATAGGCTTGTTCATTTTACTTATTTAAATGATACATATAAATTTCATACAGATCGGATAATAACTTTTGTTGTTAGAGCATTTACACAAGGTACAACAAAACGAAACAAGGGTCATAACTCACAGCGTAATTAACAGAAATTGCTGAAATTCAATAGACCTCTTCGTTTCACTAATTTAAATGATGCATATCAATTTCAAACAGATTGGATGATAACTGTTGTCATTAGAGTGTTCACAAGATTCAACAAAGTGAAACAAGGGCCATAACTCTAGATGTAATTAACGGAAATTGCTGAAATTCAATAGGCTTCTTCGTTTTACTAATTTAAATGAAGCATATAAATTTCATACAGATCGGTTGATAACTTTTGTCGTTAGAGCATTCACAAGGTGCAACAAAGTGAAACAAGGGTCATAACTCCAGAAGAAATTAAAGAAAGTTACTGAAATTAAATAGGCTTCTTCATCTCACTAATGCAAACAACATATATCAATTTCAAAACAATTAGATGATAAATGTAGTCTGTAGAGTGTTCACAAGAAATTGTGGACGATGGACGGACGGACGGGAGCGACAGCAATATACGACCACATTTCTATGTGGGTGTATAAAAGCCGAGGCCGGCAGGCCATGGTTTTTCTGTCAAGGGTTTTTTCTGAAGTCTTTCTTCCCCAGCATAACTGAAGTCGAGGACTTTATCTTGCTTACAAACCGTCTATGTTTACATGTACGCAAGATGAGAATATCCCAGAATTCCCACAAGAAAAACCTTATCTCATGTTTTCTTATGGGAAAAAAACCTACCCTGGAAGAATAACCCGTTACAGGTTTAAAGAAAACTTTCAGAAGAATAACCTCAAATTTCCTTGTATATATCCAAAACCTCCCCCGCAATTTATTTCGGGCATAGATCAAAGAGGTTTACAGTTACAGGTTTATAATTCACAAGAAAATGTCCACTTTCAGTATAAATTATAAAGAAACTCACCACAACCATTTTCATCTGAGCCATCAGTACAGTCTTGTCTACCATCACAGAATGAAGATTGAGGCAAACACTGACCACTTGATCGACAAGTAAATTCATCTGCACGACATTCTGAAAAATACAACAGATTAACACCAACATTAGATTTCTTATTTGCAGAGTCACTTTTAACAAACCTTGCAGTAAACAGCTAGTGAAGCCTGGCAGTATTGAAAAATGTTGAGACATTGGACAGCATTAAGTATATAAAGCAGCAAAACCTCAAATTCTAGCCAACTTTCTTTCCTAGAAAAGAAAGCCATATGTTTCTCTAGAATGTTTCTCTGACTGATAAATTCTCCATTTTATTTAAAGAAATTAGCAATCAAATGAGGCATAGGTTAGTAAAGCACGAGCTAAAGAGAATATATAAAAATGGTGAAAAACTATAATAAATTCAGGAAATGGGGGCTTGAAAAAGGTTTGAACAAAAAATAGAAGGGCTGATTATTCTACTCCAAATTAACTCATTTTGATCTTGGAATGGATACTTTTTTTATACTTAAAACTGCTGAGGAATTTACAAAATTAATATATCATGCAACTGAATTAAAGACTGGTATTAAAATTCAATGCCATGTAAACAGGCATTAGTAATATTTTGAATATTTTATACATCTACTATTGGTTGATGAAGAATAGAAAAAGCAAGGAAACAAGAAAGGTTTAACTGTCCAATTCTCAACATTCAAAAATTTCCTCTTTCAACACCACCATACGGGACAGGATCCCAGTTTGCTTTCGTTACTTACGACAGCCTTCCTCATCTGATCCATCAGGGCAATCAGAATAACGATCGCAGCGCCTACGCTTGTCAAGGCAATGGCCAGTCCCACAAAGAAATTGGGACTCTCGACATCGCTGACGAGCTGAAATAAATTTATTTTTAATTAATTTTGCCAAAAGTATATAGCTGTTAAAACACTTCATTAAAACAGTAATGATATATAAATTCATAAGTTCAATTTTTCAGTAAATTCTATTAGTAAGTTCATTATTATTTTGGAATTAAAGTTTTAAAATCTTTTCTTTTACATTTTTGGAAACCAAAATACAAAATTTTAACTAAGCATCTTTAACAACTATATACTTGATAAATATTTGTAATTTACTTATATGCAGATGTAAATCTTGTCTGATAAAATTAACAGCCTCAGCTTACAACACAATGAACCTGGGAGGTGAAAATAAAAAGCTAAAATATTTTCAAAAAGCATGCAAAGAAGCTCTGAAAAAGATACAAATTCGCAAGCAGAGAAAAACTATTAATCAGAATCTGAAAACTGAAGATCAACTTTTATGTTTATGAGGATTATTCAAGTTTTTAGTGTTCTCTCTACAGATTATACAATAAATTAATGCTATATTCCACAGATAAAAGACAGTGATCATGTACATCTCCTTGAGCTATTATATACTCTTAAGTCTACTATTATGCAGGAGACTTTAGAAACATGCAAATTAAGTTAAAACTACAAACAAGTTTAATTGGGTGTCTATTTCTACTATTTAATTGCTACAGTTCAGAATTATATATTATGAATTCTATTTTAATTACAGATTTTCTTGTGGGTTACAAATTTCTAATCTATCTACCTTAATCCATTCCAGTCACTTATTTTAGAAAACTTCAATTAACTTAGTGTCTAGTTAGCAATGGAAAGTTTCTAAGAAAAAATAAATTAATTTGCAGTGTGATATATCTGACTTTTTTCTGACCTTCTTTGGCCTTCAATTTGTTGACATCCGGGAATGGAAATGATAATAAAATCCAGAAAAAGAGATATTTTGGACTAATTAATTGCATACCAAAGATGAGATATTTGAGATTCTAAACAATCAATTTATCTTTCAATTATAAACTCTTATCTCATTCTGTCTTTAAATACCAGTTAGCAAAATGTTATGTCATCATACACTACATACGATCGTACTGCTTGCTGTTGTCTATTATAAGTGTTGGAATGTAATGAAAATTTAGAAAAGAGAATTGAAGAATAAGAGGGTATCTATGTTTAGCTTGCAAAGTTTTCAAGATCTTACTGAAGACCCCACTTACGACAATCAGATTCATCAGTTTTATCAGTGCAGTCAATACGACCATCACACCTTAACCCTGCATCTATACACTGGCCATTTTCACATTTAAATTGACCAGCTTTACAAATTTCTGTAGATTGAGTAGCTGAAATAATTTTAGTTGTGCATGAAATATAATCCACTAAATGATTTTTTTTTGTACTAAAAGTTAGTATCTGTATCCCATGCAAGAATTTATATTATGTTAACAACATTTAAAACAGTTTTTGTTTATATAAAAACAGATATTATAACTGTTTAAGCACTAGTACAACTTTTCCTATAACCAATACTGTGCACTATTTACTGATTGAAGGTTTTTAAGTCCTTCATATAAATACACCCATTTATGTTTGGTTAAAATCTAAGTAGCTCCAAAGAATATTGACATTTAGTCTAACTGCCATATCAAAATATAGCAAAATAAAGTTTGTAATTAAGGCCATATTCATTGTTCTGGAGCTGCTTCCTATTTTAACCTGATTTAAATTATTACAACATAAAGATGTTAAAATACAAACCAAATAAACACTGACTTTCAACTGCAGATAATAACAAGTGATTTTAAACGGTGACCTATGAAGTGTGGGTATAAAACAATGACCATAGGCACAATTACCAACTTTTTAAAGCATACTCATCATTAGTATAACTAATTAAAATATATGTATTTAAAAATCAAGCATTAACGGGGAACCTGTAACGATAGAGACCCGGCCATCTTAACGCACCAATATGTGATATATATGGCAATTCCAAAACTTAGTGAAGACAACTATAGGTATTTTTATCACTTCATGATAATATAACCCGACAGCACAATTGCCAAATAGCAGTTGAATACTTAGTTTGATTCTACGAGTTCCAAATTATGCCATCTAATACTAGAAAAAGTTAGTACATATCACACAATTCAACAACCCAGTCTGGTTATCCAAATAATTCCCACTTGTTTATATTATTTTAAACAACACGGTCAAATGGGTTGGGAGCCTTAGAGTCTATCCAAATAAGCATTTTATAACAGCAATTCTTTGGTCGTCTCTCTGTTCACCATTAAGCGGAAGCAGTTGCTTTGATGATACAGCACTGCGCAGGTCCATCTGAGATCCCTTTTTGTACTCCGGTCCCCGACGACTATATAAAGGGAACATCCACACAATTTCATTTACGCCTGATGAGTTCGAAATGAACGAAACTAGTCGCTTCATGAGAGAAATCTGGGACAGCTACTCGCCACTCATAGATTTCGAATTTTATTTACACTCACTGCGGAGTAACCTTACCAGCTAAGAATTACATAACTCGGGTCACCTCAAATGAGAAACCAAACCCAGAGTCAAACACTAACTAGGGAGAACTTGATCCTTTACCGAAACGACTCACATAGATTTTACGTCCAGAACATTATCGGAGTATATCTGCTGATCAGAAAGCAAGCGTTTGTTCTGCCATCAGCCATTATACCAGAGTACAAAATACTCCATAAATTGAACAACAAATTTATACCGTTGTCCGGAGTCAAAATTCTCTGGAATTTGAATAGCAAATTTAGACAATTTTGATTCCATGTAGATCACCATAATCGTATAGACTGTAAAAATATTCTGGTCCTTATATTCCTTATAAAAAATATGAACGCTCAAAGCCGAGTGAAAATTATTTTTACCTCACCGAAACGAAATTCAATCGTTTATATAACGGTTTATGACCCCACCATTGTTCAATTTAGTAAGCCCTCCCAAGAGAAATGGCATCTATTATTCTATTAAGAAATAGCCCATGCCATGCACCCTCCAAAAATGCCAATCAAATCATTTAGAAGGCTGATATGCAAGTAGAAATGTTATGATACAAATAATTGGGCTTTCCATGACTGATCCCGACTGAGACATAAATGTTATGTCACGTTGGATAATATTTGAACCATTTTATATCGAAATGGATTCACACTCCCGAAGCGTCCCCACATTCTTTATATTTATACCTACATAACCAATACAAATTTATAATGGTACAATCTAGCCAAGTGTCCATTTCTCTAACCTCTCAACCACTGTCCCCACCCCCATTAGAAAGTACACTGATGATGAATATGCTTCTATGTATGTGTCTGTTAGCATTGTTTTTTATTTTTAGATCTTTGTTTTATACACATCTATTATGATTGTGTTGGTATATAAATTTCTATCAAGATTTTAAATATCATAGCAAATAGTAAAATATATAGTGCAAGAATGCTATTTCATCTAAATAGTTCTTCAGCAATTACTTACGACATTGTGTTTCATCTGAACGATCCCTACAATCAGATTCTCCATCGCATTTGCGGAGAAGGTCAACACATTCACCACTATTACACTGAAACTGATCAGCGCTGCAGTCTTTACCTAAGTTTTTAAAATCTTAGTTGTTATTAAAATATACACTCAATACATAAAATTAATTCCATTCACTTAATTTCATTTAAGATAATGAACATTATTTATGTAATCATGCAAAAAATTAAATTCAATGCAAATTATTATATTGGTTATTATTGACACACATTAACATCCCTAAATATATCCTTGGGTGACTACTGTTAATTCTTCCTTATTTCTAGTTTCACTTCACACTCCAATATCTCTATAATTTCAACTGCAATAATCTCAACAATATCTCTCTCTATAATCCCAATAATCCCTATAAAATCTCAATATTTCTATAATTTCAACATATCTCTATATCTATCCAAACAATATCTATCCTATATCAATAATAATTGTATAAATTTTCTATAATCTCAACAATAGCTATATTTCTATAATATCAACAGGACCTAATTACAATCCAAACAATATCTATAAAATCTCAATAATAGCTACATAATCTCAACAATAACTATAGCCTAAAATCCCAATATCTCTATAATCTCAAAACCTATATTTTTTCAATTAATATATAAAAAATATATCTCTAGATTTACTCACTCCAAATCTGACACAAAAATCCAATGACAAATTAACAAATAAATAATGTTTTAGCTTACTAAAGAAATACATACCTTGTGACTACTGTAAGTATTTACTGATAGCATTGAAAGAAAATTGTACCAAACACTTTAATGCGCAAGAAGAGATATATTGCAAAGTAGGTCATTTTAACTTAGTGGGCAATTAAAGCCCTTTACAATCTTATTTCAAAAAGAGACAAATCTTTAGTTTAAGTAAGAACACCATCAAATAAAAATTAGTAATTCATTAATAAAAACACTTAGCAATCAAGAATAAAAAACATATACATATGTACACACATAAATGTATATCATTTTAACAACCATATAAAACTAAGTCTTTGTGATGAAATTAATGTATACTCTTCAAAAAAAGTAGGGGATATTCAGAAACAATACAAAACTGCGGAAATGCACTGCTGTTTTTATTAGAGGTAACCAATGTATGTTAATAACAGGCCAATTGCCTACACATGAACATAAACAGTTCATATGGGCGGCTTATTTGACGGCCCCATTTCACTCGCAAAGGGATACACCGACAAAAGTGAAAATGGACGTTTTTGATTTTTGTCTTAATAATGTGTAATTGCTCCACCAATCCTCAGACATTCAGCAATTCATCGTGGCATGCTCCTAATCAACTGCCCAATCACGATTTGGGGCAATCTGACCCACTCCTCTTGCAGTGCCACGGGCAATTCTTGCAGTGTTGTCGGTGAACGTTGACGTCGACGAACACATATCTCGATCAAATTAAACATAACACACTAAAGCAAAGATACGCTAAACAGTAAATCTTATGCAAGAACCGATAGGAATGCAAACATGGATAGATAAACCAGCACGCGGCAGTTTTCATTAAATGAAATGAAATGAAATGGGGTTTAACGTCCCACTGTTCTGCTCCTTAACTGGGCTAATGAAGACGGGCATACGCCATACAGTGTGCTATGAGGGAAATTTTGCCCGGGCAGCGGCACTATCACCTACTCTTATATCGAATTCCAACTGCCAAGGGATCTTTTACGTGCATTCCAATGTATACACGGGACCTCGGTTTTTCGTCTCATCCGAAGGACTAGACAGCTGTCCTGGTCAGGCCCTCCGTTCTGCTCAACTGACAAGGGGAAACCACGTCGGAAAATCCAGATGAACTTTCTCGGCCAATGCAGGGATCGAACACCCGACCTCCAGGCTAGCGAGCCAGCGTCTTAACCACCTAGACACTGTGGCACCCAGTTTTCATCAACCCTTCCTTGAAGTGTCAAGGGGGGTTGGATGGCTGAAGGGTTAGTGTGCGAGCACTGTATCATAAAGTCTGTCATTGAGTCGACTGGCGTGGTTTCGAATCCCTGGTTGTACGTGACAAGGAGTAGGGTCGCCTGTCCAACCTCGTGGGTTTTCTCCGGGTCCTCCGGTTTCCTCCCACTGCTAAAGACCCCTATGCGCAAGCGAATTATTGAAATAAAATTAACCCAAATGTTAGTCCCGAAATTACCTAGTTTGTGTCAAGTGGACGTTAAACCCCATTTCTTTCTCTCTTGAAGTGTCAAATTTGACAATGAACCCCTCCCACGTGTATGGCACTATTGCGTGTCGCATGTGCAGCTCAGTGGTTCTGTTGGGGCGATAAGTTCTGCATCTGTGAACATACGCTCAAAGCATGTCAAGTGTCCATGACTATTTATCATATCACAACCTGCATAGGTATTTGCATTTCAATATCCCCTACTTTTTTTGAAGAGTATATTAAATAATACACATTCAATCATTAATTAAAATCAATACAGAGCATTACAAGCTGAAAAATAATTAGTATATGATCAAATGAAGTTATCATATGACACCTACGACAATTTTCTTCATCACTGCCGTCTATACAGTCACGTTGATTATTACAGTATCTGGTTCCTGAGATACACTGACCATTACTACACCTATATTCGTCAGCAGAACAAGCTAAAACAAAAATCTATAGATTTTAGTACAACTGCTAGAAATCAATAAATCAGTATTGATAGATTTTGTCTGACACACAACCTTCTTCTTCTGAAAAAATTGCTATTTTTGGATCATTACAAATTAAAGACAGATATTTAAGTTCAGTTTGCTTTGACTGCCTGCCCAATATTATATAAATGAATAGGACTTTCCCAGGAAGGACAGATTAGAGTCGTGCAATATATGAACTACATTTACCAATCAGATTGAAGAATAATAATTAAATATGCACAAATGACATTGATGTCAGGATTTATTATCAATAATTATATATGTACTGAAGGCATTGGTGTTAGATCTAATGTGCAGGGCTATTTGAAGTTTTATCAAAATCGGCTACTAGCAAGTTCAGTTATTACATTTCAAATCATCAACCAATTAGATTACAGAAATTTAGTAAATATGGCGGCTACAAAACATAAGACAACTAATAACTTTGTTGTCAGGGCCAAAAAAACTCACAATATTACTATTTTTTTTAAAATAAATTCAAAAAGATTTGGTGATAACCACAGCATCTATAAGATTAACAAGTATTGGTTACTTAACCCCAAACTTATCATTAAAACATAAACAAAAATTGTGGACAGGCAACAGACAGACAGCAATGTCTGACCATTTTAAAACATGAATGCATGAAATAGGTAATAATTAAATATAATAATAGTTTGTACATACCACAATTAAATTCATCTGAACCATCAGGACAATCTGAATAACGATCACATTTTTTACGTCTATCGATACAAGTTGAATCAGAGCAAGTAAACTCATTGCTTCTACAATCAATAGCTATAGCTACAAAAAATATACTTGTATGCAATCATCAAGACAACATAGAAACATTATTTTGAAGATGACAAATTAATATGGAGTGGAAACTTTAGATTTTTGATATCTGTTTAAATAACAAATAATCTCTCTGTACAAAGGAAACAGTACCTCATAATGTTTTCAAATGCAAACTATTTGGGAGGATTGTGAAGCAATTCAGTATCTTACATTTCAACTATTATATTATTACAAACGTCGGTCATGTCATTCTTATGTCATCCAATAGCTTCGTCAATATTAATTTAAATAAAATAATCAGTGCTAAAATAGCTTCATACTGCTATACTTACTACAATTAGTTTCATCTGTACCATCACGACAATCTGGAGTTCCATCACATCTTCTACTTTGTGGGATACATCTACCACTTCCACATTTGAACTGACCACCAGGGCATGCTAAAATTGAATTACCATAAGTTAATTAAACACATCATAAGCTTTATTGAAAGCATAGACTAACAATAGTACTACTGTGTGAACCTTGTTATTTTATAAACGGATTTCTTCGATTATGAACAAACTATTTAACTTTGGTTATTATAAACTCACCTGTGTGTTTGAAATCAACTCCTGTTAAATAAAATCCATTGCACAATTAAATATCCCAACGAATAAAAAAGTTCTCTCTTGAAAAATTGAACTCAAACAAACTTTTGACATAGGGCAATACAAAAGTGGAAGCCGGTTACGTCACTCTTCGGGGGATATAATTTCGTTTAAAGGGGTTACAGTATGCTACATCAAAACGTTTTACGGTACATTTACGACAATTCGTGGTATTAGCCTCGTCTTGGTTTTGAGTTTGGGGGTTCGGCCCATATCTCTTTACACGTATTTTATTACGGTACCATCGTTTTACATTCTAGTAAAAGTCCCTGCAAAGTTTATACATTTTCTTTTGAAATAATATAATTTTGTTTTAACTATTGGCCCTTTCGATACAGACTGTGGATAGTTTCCCTAATTACGCTCCGGTCAAAACTGTCGAATTTGGAAGTAAATGTACGCTTCTTGCAAGGTCTTATAGGTTTTTTGGCATTATACACCAACAGAATTGGCAACTTCAGGGCTGCTGCAACACACTTGTATATATTGCTGAAACGGTTATCGTTTCCTCGAAAGAATGATATTAAGTTAACGATGCACTCGGAAACTTCGGTCGTGAGCTTCATGTTGTTTCTTTAAATTATTTATAATATGTATAAAGAAGATAGGGAAGGTTTAGTTTAAATACGATTTTATTTTTATGAGTATCCGTGCAATCATTGATATTTTCATTGTGAATAAAATTTAGTAAACTGGCCATCAATGGTTTCAATATATATCTTCTATGTAATTGGTCGACTGGCGTGGTTTCGAATCCCCGGTTGTACGTGACAAGGAGTAGGGTCGCCTGTCCAACCTCGTGGGTTTTCTCTGGGTCCTCCGGTTTCCTCCCACTGCTAATGACCCCTACGCGCAAGCGAATTATTGAAATAAAATTAAACCATATGTTAGTCCCGAAAGGACCTAGTTTGTGTCGAGTGGACGTTAAACCCCATTTCTCTCTCTCTCTCTCTCTATGTAATTGCCTTTAGTTAAAATTTTTCGTCGCCCAAACTCAAACGATCGAAACGACCGCGGTTTGTTTTCATAGCAACACGTGGTTGTCAAACTCGCTGTCAAAACTAAACACCCCCACAAAAATTTTAATGGTTTCGTCCAACACGTGACGAAAGCCATGTTGTCTCCCACTTAGTAGAAAATATAAGTAAACACGTCAAATTTTTCAAGAGAGAACTTTTTTATTCGTTGGGATATTTAATTGTGCAATGGATTTTATTTAACCGGAGTTGATTTCAAACACACAGGTGGGTTTATAATAACCAAAGTTAAATAGTTTGTTCATAATCGAAGAAATCCGTTTATAAAATAGCAAGGTTCACACAGTAGGCAACATAATCTCATAAAAACATGTGGTTTACTATATAATAATGTCTGCTAAAGTTAAACAATTTTTAAAGTTTACATGGAATACTTTGGAATTCACAAGTAGTATTAGAAAATACTCATACTCAAATAATGTCCTTAAAAACAGTATATGTATACATACAAATATTCAACAAATAAAACTTACGGCAATCCTGTTCATCACTGCCATCTCTACAATCATAACGTCTGTTACATCTGTCTTCCTGTCTAATACAGTCACCATTCCTGCACTGAAACTCATTGGCTTGACATTCTGTTAACACAATATCATTGTCTAATATAACTATATGTATTATTATGAACAGTGTTTGAGGATTCAGAAGGTTTGGTATTCATTTGTTATCAATCTAACGTTATATGTTCACTTTAAATAGCTCATTGTTCTAATGGTAAAGAAATTTAAATGATTTTCGACTTTCGTAACTGTCAAAGATCACTTTATAGGTTTTTTTTATCTATCCATGTGACATACCGGTTCAATCATATATATTTTAGAAACATACAAGTATCAAGTTATCAATAATAAAAGAAGAATACAAATATAAATTCCAAATACATAAATAGGAGTTTGCCACATGCAGCTAGTTCATTGTGAACCCTGTCCTGCACTAAGAATTTAGATACAGTATTCCTCATGGCCTAATGAGCTATCTTAAGAAGTAAGAAATCTTGCCAATAGTATCACACTCTCACATAATGAAAGTCACAATATAAACAGGGTGTAATTCTGAGAAGCAAAAATACACATGTTAATAAACTTTTAACACTTCAAACACCAAACTCTGTTAAGAGCAGTTAACCAGAAATTGTTGAAGACACAATATGTCCACAATAAATGTTGGCCAACGAAATCAAGTTTATATCTAACCTTGTCGACAATCTAGTTCATCAGATCCATCCGTACATTCAGGTGTACCATTACATTCACCTCTTCCATCAATACACTGTCCAGATTTACATCTAAACTCTCCAAATCTACAATCTCTACTTGCTGTACACAAAAAGTCATTCTTATGGTTAGAAACAGATGAAATAAATCTTTATCATCTTTCATGATCAATAACACAAGATTAAAAATAATGTGATCAGACAATCAAATCGAAGAAATATTATTCCAAATTTATAAGATAGGTTGCCAGGCAACGAAACATACGCCCACAGGAGCAAAGTCGTTCGGGCAGTCACATATTTTTTTCTTTTATAAGTAATCGAACATTGACAACCCATTAAGTAATCATCAGAAATAATTAGAATTTGTTTCGATTGTTGATCTTATAAGCTTAAACACTGTGTATAAAGTTATATTAACTTTAGCCTCTATGTACAACATCCACAAGATTTCTCAAGTGATCAAGGGTCATAACTCTGGTAGAAATTGTTGAAAAGCAATAGGCTTCTTCATCTCATGAAGTAAAGTGAATCGGATATTCTCTTCACTTCAGCCTCTAAAGCGTCCACAAGATTTTTCAAAGTGATCAAGGGCCATAACTCTAGCAGCAATTATCAAAAAATCGTTGAAAATCAATAGGAATCTTTGTCTCATAGCAATAAACACTGTGTATCAATTTAAAGTCAATCGGATATTAACTTTAACATCTAGAGAGTCCACAAGATTTTTCAAAGTGATCAACGGTTATAACTCTGGCAGTAATTATCGGAAATTGTTGAAAATCAATAGGCTTCTTCGTCTCATGACTGTAAACACTGTTTATAAAATTAAAGTCAATTGAATATTTAGTTTAGTCTCTACAGCATCCACAAGACGGACAGGGACTACAGCAATATATGGCCACATTTAAATGTGGGCAAATAAAAAAAGCACCTAACATGCAATTTGTTTATAATTAAACCCTGAATATTTGTCTGAAAATTAAACACTATAAATGTGGATAATTTCTGTAAAAATATCAATATCACCATTCATCTTCCTTTAATAAATAAACATGTGCAATGATTCAATGAACAAAATGGTTTTAATTCAATTAGAAAAATAACAAATATAATAAAATTTCAACAATAAATCACCAACCTGGTCGAGTTATTTGAACTTGCAATTGCTGAATTTGACCTAAAGCGCGACAGACAAACAAACCAACATCTGTTTCAGTAGCTCGATCAATAATGAGCTCACTAACATAGGATCTGGTAGCTTCATCTCTAGATCGTGTAATAATAACAGATCTGCGATTGTCATCAACTCTTTGTCCATTTCGAAACCATTCCAAACGATTGACAGGTCTTTCAGATTCCGATGCAGTACATTTCAGTGTTAAGCGACCTCCGCGTTGAACTTCAGTATTTCCAGAAAGTGTCAAAACTGCAAACATTTCATAAAGCACTGGGTACTTATATACGAACAATTTTTAGCCCTTAGGCACGTTTATTCATATAAAAACATTTCTGATAAAATCAAATACGTATAAGCATTTATTTACTGTATAGTAGGATTTTTTTGTAGGCCAGGATTGTGCATTATTAGACATATATTTAAATTCACAAAGAGAAATAGAAAATTCTCCCAATTCTTTATTATCAATGAAAGCTATCTTTTAATTCAATGGAATAGTTTTAGTACCAACTATGACGCGAGTGCAAAAATACAACTTTGAAAAGAACAATATTAGTTTTGATTATACTAAACATCTAACAATGGAACAAGATAGAAAAACAAAAAGCCCAGACACTGAAAGAGATTGATCGAGTAGCTAGTGAAGTGCAATGTTTGTTTTGTTTTTGGGGGTTTTTTTCAATCATATTGAGACTTACTTCTTAGTGTACTCAAACCATTTTAAAACTACATGAAAGTAGTATTTCCTAGAAAGAGAGGTCCCAAACAATAGATGATTTGAATTTATAACCTAACAATTGTGAAATAGACCATGAATGTGTTATCAAGTGTCTAATCTTAGTGTTACTCGTAAAAGCAACTGAATATCAAGAAACATCATGAAACTTTCTTTTAATAGCTACTACTGGCAGGCTAATAACGTTAACAGAATTCAATAAGGAAATAACTTATGTCTTTGTGAATCACTTGAGATTGCAGCACGGAAAAACAATTATATTTCTTTTTCACCTTCCAAATATAGCTAATTTAATAATAATTGAGTTTAGTTAAGATTTTGATTATTTGAAAGTTTTCAATTCTGAAAAGTAAACAATCTTAAACAGATTTCCACAAAGGATTTTAATGCAGCACTTTAAATAACAAGAAACAGATGTAATACTGTATGTAGGTAAAACATAATAATATTCATCTGTTTAATGTTTGTATAATCTAAACATAAAATTTAAACAATCCCTTATAAGAAATACCATAAAATACATAATAACATAAAGTAGCTGGCTATTTAAAAAGTTTCAAAAAACAAAAGATTACATAAAGAAAGATCACTGAAAACCAACAAGAATCAGGGCTGAATCCAAGGGTAGATTGTTGTCTGCCATATTACTGTCAAACTCATTACATAACTAACTGAACAAACATACACTTTACAATTTGTTTTTTTTTCTATGTGCACTCCCCATGCGAATGAATAAGGTTTAGACAAGAGTTCAAGTGTTTTGTTCACATATTTATAGCATTTTCAAACAATTTTTGAAATAATGGTTAAATTCTTTCTCTGTGTTTCAAAATTTAATCTCTTTTTCTGTAGGAATGTTGGTTATTTTCCACTATGATTTATGGATTAAGCCCTAATCTTTAACAATTACATACATGTATACAACATTTCTCATCTCATTTATTTAATTTAGTTAGGGCCATACTATATACCGGAAAAAACGGGAAAACAACCGGAAAGACACTAAATACCAGAAAACATCCTAAATACCAGAAAACACCCAAAATAGGTAACCCGGAGCCTGGTCCTCTGTGTGCGGTTTTGGACCAAGTGAGCGCCGATGAAAGAAGGTCAAGGTCATTACGATGTTCGTTTTACAAATAGCCCCCCCCCTCCCCCCCCCCCCCAAAAAAAAAATTCCGATTTTTTTTTTCTCCAAAATTTTGTTGATGCCTATTATGTTTTGAATGTTTTAAAAACGCAATCAGTCTACCTCCATCATTGATCATATTATATTTTGTAATTTAGTTTTCAGTAAATTTCAGTAGATTTCAGTGTTTCAGTAGATTAAACACTGCCCTCGGAGGGCCCCATTATATGCCGGTTGCGCCAGTCTCCTGATTCTTACCAGTAACGCTGGAATCAGGGTGGTACGAATTAGTAGAAGGCACGACTAGGCCAACTCCTCCCTAGGTAACAAAAAAATCGCATCACAAAACAGCAAGAATTATCAAAAGCGAGTTTAATAAATCTCTGAATAGTTTGAGTTGAAGTTCCAGGTTTAACCGCTATGTGTCCAAATCACCAAACGAAATGGATGCCACGCAATTCTCGGACAGGCTGTAATCTGAAAAGTGTCTATCCTTTCCAAGAGCTATCCATCTCGTTGGAAGGACTAAAAATCTACTTGTTTCTGAGCTTACTTTCATTCCAGGGTCAAATATACTATTCAAAAAAAGTAGGGGATATTTGATTTTGGGGGCATAATACTAAAATATGCAAATGACTACGAAAAAAGTCACTATAGAACCTAACAGAAGAAACATTTCCAGTTACATGTGACGCCCAAACGCACCAATAGCTACCGCATGGAATGCAGGTGATGCTTGGGATCATCATGGGGGTCCAACCCAAGATTTGCACGACTCTGACTTTGAATGTTACAGTCATTGTGGCATTGAATTCCAGGGTGGAAACATCAGTTTAATTGTTTTAGTGACCAGAAAACAAATTTTGATATGCGTCGGCTTACCCAAAATGAAAGGCTACAGATCGGCACAACACAGGCGGTTGTGGCGCGGACGATGAATGTTTCTCAGTCTGTCATAAGCAGGCTATGGTCCAGATACCGTGATACACAATCTGTACAGGACAGACCACGCTCAGGTCGACCAAGGGCGACAACTCAAGCCCAGGATCGATTTATCCGTACCTTGGCCTTGAGAAATCGTGTCATCACAGCAAATCAGATCAGCGCTCGTCTTCAAACAGACACTGGTGTGAGAGTGAGTGGCCAGACGATTCGGAATCGACTGCATAGGGGTCACCTTCGCTCACGCCCGACGTCCTCGCGTGATCCCTTGTTTGAGGGATCATCACATTCAGGCAAGACGTCGTTGGTGTAGGGATCGTCAATACTGGGATAATCGACGCTGGAGTAATGTGATGTTTTCAGATGAGTCAAGGTTCACTGTTGATTTTTTGGACAGACGTAGGAGGGTGTGGCGTCGTCGAAACGAGCGCTTCCAAGACGTTAACGTCATCAGACATGATCGATTTGGGGTGGTTCTGTTATGGTGTGGGGAGGCATCACTGTTGCTGGAAGAACGGCTTTACATGTTGTTGCAGGGCGTGTTACAGGCCAGTACTACCGGGACAACATCTTGGCAGTCCATGTTGTGCCGTTCGCACGACGTCATGGCCGCCGTTTCATCTTCCAGGATGACAACGCAAGATGTCACAGGGCCAGGATCGTTACAGGTTACCTCCAACAACAGAACATCACCACATTACCTTGGCCAGCACTGAGTCCCGACCTCTCCCCCATCGAGCATGTCTGGGACATGCTTGGATAGAGGTTACGTTAACGTCAACAACGTCCTGCCAATGTCCAAGAACTTGCTGCTGCGTTGCAACAGGAATGGGACAATCTGGACCAAAATGACCTTAGACGTCTCATTAGGAGTATGCCACGTCGGATCAATGCTTATTGGCAAACAGAGGAGGATTTACCCGTTACTGACTTGGTTGTGATGCTGTGGTAACTTTGCTGTTTGACCTCGGGTATCATTTTACCCTTATAATGGTCAGTCTGTGCCTTACTTAGTCTAACGATCATTTGGAATAAATCGATGAATGTGAACTTCATTTCATTTTGTCATTTGTTTCTTCGTCAGTTTCATTAGGTGACTTTAATAACACTTAAAAATCAAATATCCCCTACTTTTTTTGAATAGTATATAATCACTTGAACCATAATAATATTCAACATATTCCATCATATTCCGAGGGCCGCACTCAGGATTTTTTTTCTGGATTACTTTTTGAGCTTTTTTCCCCAACTTGTTGACCAGTTTTCCTTGAGAAAACCCCAACTTTCGCCCAATTGTCCATGAGAAAACTACATATTCTATCTTACTGCATTGACGGAAAGTGGTAATCTGGACGACTGTGAAAAGGGTTGATCGATAAATTTTCAAGGAAGCAATTGTTGTTTTTGTTTGTGAAATAGAGGACTCTAACCGATGAGGCTACTTTCCCCCGAGAACCTCAGGCAACCAATTTGTTTTATGTCCTACTATCGTAATAAAACATTACTATGTTAACCACTTCCTGGTGGCTGAAGACTTACACCGAATGCGTATTTGGAAAAAAATGTCCCCGAGAAAATGTTTTTTCCGACAATCGATATTCGAGATGTCTTCTGTTGCACAAATTATGCTGCACTGTGTAAGAACTTGCATCCTTTGATCTGAAGATTGTAGATGAAAAGTATCATTTCAAAGTAAACCTACATTTTCGTATATCATCCCGTAATTTGTGATTAATGACAATGACTGTGGAAATAATATGGGTTGAGGAACAGAAGATCTATGTTCGTCACGTGACTGGACAATTCGACCCCCGTCCCACCCTGACGATGATCCCTCCCGGAGCGGCGCGGCGCGCTCTCTAAAAAAATCTCGGGCACAGTTTACTCTTCTACGTTTTCCGGTAGCTATTTAGTAACCCGGAGTTTGGTCCTCATGAGTGGTTTTGGACCAGGTGAACACTCATGAAATAAATTCATTAACATACAAGCGAGCGATCGCCTCGGTCAAAGAAAAAATTTTTTTCAGATTTTTTTTTAACAATTTCTTCTACCAAATTTCTCTCAAAAAAAAAATTCAAATTTTTTTTCCAGTATTTTTCTCTGTAAAATTATTTTCTACGGAATGTTTTTTTGTAAAACCAATTATTCGGAAAAATTCAAATTTTTTTTTTGTGACAGAAATATTTTTTCGTCAAAAAAATTTTGGAGAAAAAAAAATCGGAAATTTTTTTGGGGGGGTGGAGGGTGGGGGCTATTTGTAAAACGAACATTGTAATGACCTTGACCTTCCTTCATCGGCGCTCACTTGGTCCAAAACCACACACAGAGGACCAGGCTCCGGGTTACCTATTTAGTGTGTTTTCCGGTATTTAGTGTTTTTCCGGTGTTTTCCGGTATTCAGTATAAAATGGTGTTTTCCGGTGTTTTCCTGTGTTTTCCGGTATATAGTATTGCCGATTTAGTTACTGGTAATGCGTCATGTCTTTTTTCTAAATTTATTTTATTTTGCTTTAACTAAAAGTAAAATCTATCTTAAATACAAACAAGAAATTACCTTGATTAAAAATAATTGATTTAGATATTTTTCAATTCGAAATAGTTTAATAAATGAGATGAATATGAAGAAATGAATATAAAAAAAGTCCCAAAACCACATATAGAAAATATCATTATATTATGTATTTTACCTGGTCTAGCTGATGCTGCAAGAAAAATAACAAATTAAATATTAATGCAATCAATAATCCGTGTCATGCTAAATATATTCATTTTAGTTTGTGCGATTAAAAATAAGCTTGAAAAATTTAGGTAGATAGGCTGTAAAAACTGTTGACAATTCCCAGTTTATTCAATTTGTTTCTGAATAATAACAATCACCTTGATCTGTAATAACTTAGTATATCATATAAAAAAAGAAAAACATGTCACTTTAATTATCATTTTATCCATGGTCGGTAAATAATATCTAGAAGTGTATATCATTTGACATCAATGTCCTAGTTTGATGAATAACAAACAGCAGGACTGATCAACAGATCATAATGGATTCTAATTATAGAAAGATGACATGAAATGTTAAAATGAATATATAACACAGAAATGTAAATCAAACATAACCAATTTACCAAATTTTTGTTCATTGAAATCATTGCATTATCATTTCATGCAAGAAATCTTCAACCACCATCCTGCTAGTAAAATATGGTTAAGAAAAATACATGACTTTACAAACAGTCATTTAATGTGAATAAATTTATTATACACATCAATACATGCATATCATCAATGATAATGAAAAGCAATAGGCAATTATACCAATACCGGGGTATTTACCATTACTATAACTTGTTTTAAGCTTTATCATGTGCTTCTTTCATTCAATTACTAAACAATAAGAAAATAACACTTACGACAGCCAACTTCATCAGAACCATCTTGACAGTCTGGTAGACCATCACAACGATATTGGGCATCAATACATGTAACTCGATCTCCACACTGGAAATCACCAACTGGACATGTCTTTACTCCTGTCAAAACAATATATCAAAAACATGAGAATGTAATATAACAGAACAATCGTTTTAAATTTAAAATTAAAATCAAGGGCAAAACATCAGGTTTAAACACCAAACTGTTCGATTCATTTTGGTAAAAAAAATGTTCCTTTGTATATTATCTTAGTTGTAGTAATGAAGTACAATGCTGTTTGTAACATAACCATTACATATTAATCAAGAATCTGTTTATCATAAACCTTTTTCAATAACACAAAGAAGACTCATATAAATCAAACATTTTACTATAAAACATTATTTAACTTCTTCATACTTTACCCCAGCTTTGTGAAACAGACCCAATGATGTGAATAAAAAGTGTATGAAAAAACTTCTACATTTACCACATTCCACAGTTGACTCGTCTGAACCGTCTGGACAATCCCGGTTTCCATTGCAACGATACCTTGGATCAATACATGTACCATCTTCACAACGGAACTGACCTTCTGGACATAATGGTGGTATTGTTGGTACTGAACAATAATAAAACACAATCATTATAATTTGACAGTTTATAGTAGCAAATTTATCAACACATACAACCCACTTTACTGTATCCGAAACCCCCAGCATGGTCTCAAATAATCTCAAATCCAAACTTTTATATAGTGGAAAAACATAATATATTATGACCCATTACAGCTTATCGATCGAGAAGAACCTTCAAGAGTTTTCAAGCCCTGTTCTAACTTGTCAGGGTTGGCATTTCTGACAAGGAAAGTATGACTATTGGTTTGGATGGGACAAATGGTCGACCCATGTACACATTGGCAGTTTGAATTCGACAAAGTACTGTACCAAAAGTTTGAAGGGATTCCGATATAAGCTACTAACACTTAAATGTTTCCAACAAAAGTAGACTATCCTTTGTAAGGTAAATGAAACATGAGACTTATTATATATCAAATACTTACAGCAACGTAATTCATCAGAGTTATCCTGACAATTTGGATAGCCATTGCAGACATCTGATTGAGGTATACACTGTCCATCCCCACAAACAAAGTCATTCCGAGAACAATTTCTACTAGGTGCTATAATAAATATTTTTATTTTTTTAAAAAATATAATTTTTTTATGAATATGTGCAAATCGTGTAATTAGCATATTAGTTGTGTGTTAGAAAATCAATCAAAAAGCCATTCGTTAAATCCAAAAATTGTTAAAAAAAAAAAAAAAATTAAAAAAGCAACCATATCCATTCTTATGTGTCAACATGATAACATGAATTAAATGTATGTTAGAAATTATACGTGAAAAAATGACAAAGTATTATTCATTATTTTTTAATAGTATCAACCAATTTTCTGAACATTAAGGAACATTAATGAAAAATTGCTTCTTTATAAAATGAAGTTGAAAATGAATGATGCAGCAAAGCAGAGAAACTGTGAAGTAGTTGCTGATACAACAATATTATTTCTGAGGAAAGTTTTATAAACAATTTGACAGATCAATAAGTACAAATGACACACATTTCAGAATAACACATCTGAAGATAAAACATACTTAGAAACAAAAATTGACATAACATGACACAAAAATATATTCCAATTTTAAAGATTCCAATTTTAAAGGGGCACTGCACTACCATTTTCTATACAGTCATCAATCAGTTAAAAAACTATCTTTTTTAATTTAAAGTGATTTGGCTATATAGTTAATTTGCAAATTCAGATACTGGCAAGTGAGTTTTAAGACTCATCACTGTGTATTTCAGGCAGCCCAACGTTTACTAAATGTAAGGTTTATATTTCATGTTTATTTTAAACTTTTATAAAATTATTTTATTATTGTAGTAAATGTGACAGTGTCCCTTTACAATCATTGAGCATAGGCTACCTGCTTTATATACATAAAGAGAAGGGTCGACCATAACCCTCCCGCATCTCTCCCCTCATTTTTACAAGCCATGGGCACATGCCAGATTGCTGTTTGACCTATCATCTACCCTTATCTCAAGGATGATTACCCACTAACATCATGTCTAGGAGAATAATTTAAAGGAGAAGATGCCAGGTGTTTTACTACCTTCAATTCAAGGAAAAGCTCATAAACAAACTTCAATAACTTTCCAGGCTTTTGGCGGCAGAGACAGGTACATATTACATCAAACATAAATACTGAATGCCCATTCCCTTGTTTAAGCATGTGGTGCATGAATGTATGTTATTTCTTTTACATTCTCAGAAATTTCATTATTGAAGAGTGTTAAACCAAAGTTGGTGGGCTATTATTCTTAAATAAATTATTCGAATATTGCAAAAAAATCAATACTTTTACTACAATTTACTAAAAATTTAAAACAAATTAGTAAATTAAAACTAAATTTACAACTAAAAATTAAAACTAAATCTGTAACTGAAATTCTTAATAAAAAAAAAAGAATTTGGATGCCGAACTTGAAGACACTCTCTTAGTCTACAGATCCATGGAAGGTCATCTACAGCATCATAGCATAAGGCAGCCCAGGCATATACAAAGATTAATAAATGGGGAGGATGGGTATATACCGGTACACATCACCCTTTGACTGGGACCAATATTGTACAAAAACAAAGAACCAACTGATTCTTTCCACAGCTAACATCTGTCAGCATAAAATACAACAACAATACAGCTATAACATGGCAGCCACATTGGACACTATTCTGCCACAGACAAAACAAAAAAGGGTTTCTGGAGGGATGATGACAGATCTTTTAAAACAAAGAACTAATTCAAGATGTCAGTCTAGGCTAACAAAATGTGCTACAATAATTACTGCTGAGATTATTTCTGAAAACTACATGAATTTACTTGTTTCTAGTGTACAAGAGAAATTTCAGATAGTAATCAGAACTAACCAAGTCAGCTGGACCAAGCTTAAAACTCGGATTATTGTTAACTGTTGTAAGTAAGAGAGACTATTGTCAAGAAGAGAGCAATTTTAGTCACAATGACTTAACAGTTCATTTGTTTACTAACAAAGGAATAAAATGGAATTATTAAATATTACTCTAATGATAATAAGAAAACAAGTTTGGGAATCTTTTGTTTTGATCAATGATTTGAATAGTTCTATATTTTGGTCTCAGTATTAATAAACTAATGTTGGCTCAGGAACAAGTTCTTTGTTTTAAAAATGAATGCTTGATATGTATCCATTTTGAGTTTGGGTTCTCTTAAAGCTTTCTAGTGACATTAAGAACAGGAAGTAATACAGTGCGTCTCCTAGCTGCACTTACGACAATCTATTTCATCAGTACGATCTGGACAGTCACTTTTTCCGTCACAACGCAGACTCTCATCGATACATCGACCTCGCTCACAACGGAACTCTCCAGGTGGACATGGTATGGAGGCTAGGATGTTAATTAAATAGTTAATACGATAGTTGCATACAAAATCTATGTTATCATTATCAGTAATTAGTATAATTCATAAGTAATATTAATATAACATATACAATCTCTGATAAGGTTTAGGTCAGAAAAATTTAATTAAGATATAATTTATTGAAAAAAAAAAATCAAAAACAAAGAATTGTATTCTCATTACTGGATAATTGGAGGTTATCAATGTTTTTAATTTGTTATCAATAAATAAAAAATATTGAATAAAATAATTAGTAATTAGATACTGGTAGTGTACAAATATATGTATAAAAGGGCTCTTATATCAAAGTCTGGCACACCCACTTTAAAAACAGAGTTTATGGAAATACTGCTTTAAGTAGCCTTTACAGTTGAAGAAAGCAACAATAATTCTGGTATTAAGGTCAGGTTAAACCTTATTTTACCATTCTTAAGGAGGAAGAGCCTCTAATATTAAGTGTGTCATTACATGTAATCATTTGTACATCTGATAAAGAATAACTATCTTTATACTCAATATACACATGATATGAGCGCCCCTATATAATAAAATAAAATATTATATATACAGATCCATTATATGGTCCATTAAAATTACCGTAACCGCTTAAATATGAATAGCATTTTTTTATGTTGATTATGGAATACCACATAACACAAACCAATGATCCTGTGAATCTATTTCAACACAGGTCCAGTTATCAATGATAATTATGCATTACGCATTATTGAGATAATGTACTTATAAAAGCACTGCACAATCCATCAAAAGCATTATACACAAATCCATAATGTTGAAATTAACAACAATTGCACTTAACACACATTTCACATTTTAAAATTTTACACAATTGGTTATCTTACATTTTACATGACACATTTTTCACATGCCATTATGTTAATTCACACTGCACAATATTCATGATATTTTACAGGACATAATGTTTACTGGCAATACCGTGCCACCAATTATAAATAGTATGGATAAACTGAATAGACAATGGTGTCTTAAAAAGCTTTCTCATTTTGGACATGGGGATAGATCTGGTAAATAAGGAGAGCTATATATCATAATAAAGGGAGTGATTTCTTTCATTCAGAAGGCAGAGTACAAAAGGTATATATATATATAGCCAGGACTTCATACTATACAAAATTACACAGTGACTTTTGACCAGTTGTAAATAAAATAAAATATAAACACTGTGTGAAGCAACTTAAAAATCAATGACTGGGACTATGATACAATGTTTTGACTTGGTCTTTTAGAAGAGAATGAAATTTATGATATACAGTGGACTCTGTAACATCCGACATCGTACGGGATTGTTCAAATATGCCGGATTACACAGCATGATGAAATACTCAATAGCAGAAGTATTAATGTATCTTCAAATACCAGAAGTATAATCTTCTTCAGTTGTATGTATTTGGTGGCAAAATTTTAATATACATGTTGCTATAGTGCTCATATTTTTATCTCACAATGATCGGTCAGGTAATGCTCTAAAAAGCAAAACGGTTTCATCACAGTTCAAAATGTTTTCAGGTGAATACCCTTCAATAACAGACACTCGCACTTTTGCCACTAACTTTAAAGGCTCATTCGACAAACCTCTGCAGACTCCGATACCCTAAATTCGTGGAATTGGCCTAGGTGCGACAAATGGTTAAAGGCTTTGATGTTGAAACCACTTGTGCGTCATTGCGTTGATATCAAGGTAATCAACCAAGACCGATAAAGTATTAATCTCACAGATAATTGATTGCTGATTGCTTGTCAATCTTTTGTGCATGAACACTGACGGATTAAAGGCCGGATCATACAATGTTAATTCAATGCAAATCATGTGACGGGACCGTTGATTGATGTTGTAATTTGTAATATTCAGAATACCGATTACACAAAACTTTTCTGGTTGAAGTAATAAGGAAATAAATCGGGACATGAAAATGATAACGGATTTCACAGAATGCCGTTGAATTGTATTCAGAAGCCGGATGTGACAGAGTCCACTGTATTTAGAAACCTCTAAGCGCAAATCAAGCCAATTAACCTCCTAGAACCATAAAATTTAGCCATATTATTCATAAAACAATTTCAAAAGTTCAACAATTAATTGACTTTGTATATAAAAATTTTATTTTAATTCACTGATTGTGTTTCCCTTAAGAAAAAAACCGAGGTTTTCAATGCAATCTTATATGTGACAAGAAGAAGAGGTAAGCATGCCCAAACTCTGGGTCCTCCAGTTTCCTACCATTGCTAAAGACCTTAATGCACATGTGGATTATTGAAACAAAAATATATTTTTTTCTTATCATGACCTAGTCTGTGTCGAGTGGAGATTAAAACCCATTTATCTCTTTGTAATTTAACATTTTTTAAGTGAACTAAATAATTAATTGTAGAATTATAAATCTGCCCACAATCCAATGTGGTGTTGCAAGATTAACTTTGTAAGACTACTGAAGCATTGTTTCTTAAAGTTGAAGTAGATAAATAAGCCCAGAATAATAGCTATATTGTCCAAGAAATCTTCCACCATATATATAATAGCAATACATAATATGAGACCAAATACATGATAAATACACCCAAATGCTTCCTACCAATATATAAATACACCAAAACTCTCCCTCCAATGTAAGTTCAAGAAATCTTCATAGCAATACATAATATTAGGCCAAATATATGATAAATACACCCAAACACTCCTCCAATACCGTATATAAAGGTAAACCGAAAATACAATTTTCAGAACCCATTGTCTATATCACTAAGTTATAGCTCTACAACACGTTTTTTCTTTATAATTTAAATATAGTCTAAGATACACACAAACTTTTCAACACCATACTTGTTCCATGTGTAAAATAACCCAGAGGACACATAACAGTCCGACGTTTATTGTATAATAATGAAGATACAAGCAGAAAGAAAAGAACTATTTAAAAATTATAGCAAATGAGAAGGTTTCCCCAACCTAGATCAGTTCTTGAATAACCATCATGCTTGACTTCAGCAAGTTTCACACTGGATCATTGACGTTTATCTATATATGATGTCAGACAGAATTCCCTCTCTAAGACGCGATTATCCACATCTACCATCTATCGCACATGGAACATCACCGAATTTCTATTTTTGATTGTAGAAGACTACCATTTTTGGATGTATAATATGATTTTGAGACCGGCGAAGTTGTGCACTCAAGCAAATATTTACTTTTTACATCCGAATTGTTGTATTTTAAAACCTGTGGACGTATCCAAGAATTTACCGAAAATCACATCTTGTTTTAAGATATTTTGAGTACATATTTTTTAACGTTGTTGGTGACGAAATGTTGCTTATAACCTCTCCTTTTGATGTATGGGAGGGATTATCGATATCTCTTTTTAGCATGAACTTATAGAATTTCCAAGTTTCCATGGATACCAGACTAACCACGGTCTATAGCCAAAAAGTGTCCCTTAAATTTCTTGGACTTGCAATTAGCACTGTTTATGCCAAATTTGATGAAAATCAATTGCAAGCATAACTGAGAAAATTTGACTTTTGTTGTCATCAGCACCCTTTATTATAATGCTTTTGGGCCAGGTTGGGAACATAGTTGGTAAATAACTAGTATTAGTTGGATGATTAATATGTAGTTTATCACCCCAAATAACCAAAAAAATCATATCTTATCAACAAAATTTACAGTGCTAGCTTTAAAATGTGCATTTTAGAGTACTCAATGCCCTTAAATCAATTTTCAGTGTTTTAATATAATACAAGGCATTTTATTCACTATTTGGTGTAATCTGGAGCTAAATGGACTTACAGACAACAACATTATGTGCAGTAAACTACAAATACCCAAATATTAACAATCACCATACAGAAATGAAGTGAAACATAAAACTTACGACATCCAAATTCATCATCTCCATCAGGACAATCTGATCGACTGTCACATTGTAGTTCAAAATTAATACAGGTACCATCAATACATCGAAATTCGCCTGGTCTACATGCTACTCCCCCTACTAAAAGTATAAGAGGTCAGGAGAGGTAGCTGTTAGAAGGTTTGAAAGCACATTCAAATTCTCAAGATTCTACAAAATTCTTAAGTGATATTATTCACTGTAATGAATCAATTTCTATAAATTTCATATACATCTGATAACTGTTCCCACATATTCAATAAAAATATCAAGAGCAGTAGCTTTTGTTATTGTAGGACTGCAGAACAATCCTTATTCTCAGGAAATATTATATTTAGTTCTTGAAAAAATGATCTGTTTGTTTACTATGCCAGGATATTAATCTGTTTCATAAGCAAAATGTTCCACAAATATATCATCACTAGCAGGATACCCGGCTTCGCTCGGGGGTCATAACTCCGAAACCGGAAGTGGTAGACTAACGCCACCTGGCCTATGTTACTCCCCAGTCCGAGCTACCCCTATACCCCAAATTTCAGACTCGGGGCAGACCTAGTGTAGCCGCCAACCCCGAACAGACAGACTTCGCTCGGGGGTCATAACTCCAAAACCGGAAGTGGTAGACAAACGCCACCTGGCCTATGTTACTCCCCGGTCCGAGCTACCCCTATTCCCCAAATTTCAGACTCGGGGCAGACCTAGTGTAGCCGCCAACCCTGAACAGACCGGCTTTGCTCGGGGGTCATAACTCCAAAAACCGGAAGTGGTAGACTAACGCCACCTGGCCTATGTTACTCCCCGGTCCGAGCTACCCCTATACCCCAAATTTCAGACTCGGGGCAGATGTAGCCGCCAACCCCGAACAGACAGACTTCGCTCGGGGGTCATAACTCCGAAACCGGAAGTGGTAGACTAATGCCACCTGGCCTATGTTACTTCCCGGTCCGAGCTACAACTATACCCCAAATTTCGGACTCGGGGCAGGCCTAGTGTAGCCGCCAACCCCGAACAGACAGACAGACAGACAGATAAATGACAGTCAGAAACATATAGATAGATTTAGTACATATCATGTCAGTTATTATATTTAGTAAAAACATAATATTATCTTGTATACAAGTTCACCTATCATATAATGTCACGTATATCTTCACCTTAATTACCTCATTAACCTTAATTCATTTGAATATGCATATACATGTATACAACTACATCTATTATAAATTTCATAGAGAGTAGTTTAAACATCACCAATCTTTGAAATATTGTACTTAAAGCTAAATGAACCCATTAAAGGGAAGTGGTATTGGGTGTTCTAGAAGCAGAAATTAAATTCATTAAAACTGAAACTGATCCAGAGTGTAATACTGACATTGCTAAAATGATTGTATTCCATATTAAATAATTAAACAATCATTCATTCAAATTAAATGAATTAAAGTCTGTAAATAACCCAACTCTTCAAAAGAAAACAAATCAAAAAAACCCATGCAAAATCTTGGTAGTTAACAGCCATCTAAATGATCTGTCAGAACATTTACTTTTATTACATTTAATGAGCTCAAAATCTAAATCTTTAAAGAACATCATGTTCAAATTAATTGCATTTATATATCTCTGAAAATATACCTATATCATTTTATTGCAAAAAATGAGTAGTCCTAAATTTCTATGGAAACATTAAAAGAAATGTTGGTAAGCTGTTAAAAAAAAATACATACCTGGTGGACAATCCTGTTCATCACTGCCATCAGGGCAATCAACACGTTGATTACATATCAAAAAGATGTCAATACAATCACCAGATAGACACTTAAATTCTTCATCTTTACAGTCCTTGTCTGCAGTAATAGAAGGACATAAGAGTATTATAAACAGAAAGAAAAGACAAAGATCAGTTGATGATTGAATGACCAACACCTCCATTGTCTTCACAACTCTATCCTAGGTTTATTGGATATTAAGACAACCTCAATCCTCAGCTCTGTCCTACTGACTGACTCGCTGATAAAACATTCAATTCAAGCAAGTGGACACAGCTTCATCAGTGCCTTTGACATACACATTAGTTCATATAGAAATTCATAAGCTGATGAATATAGCATGAATTGCTTATTCAGATACATGTATTTTAGTTCAACTGAGTTGCAGAGAATGATGTTAATCTCATTTATACCACTGTTAAAACTCAAGTTTATTATTAAATAAAATGATGAACAAAATGGTTCACAATCAAATCATCAGACTATGTTATTACTTTGTGTCTTTCTAAAGATTTCCTTTGACAGTTCACACAATGAAAACTTAGAAACCAATCAAGTGTCTTTGTGTTCAAGATATTTATTTAGGGAGGTTGTGACGACAAATCTTAAAAAAAGCAGTAGTCTCTTATTCTTCAGGGAGGATATGAACAGTATTTTAACTGTAAGGCAGATGTTCTTCTTGCTTTTAAATAATTATCTAACCATCTGTTATGCAATAACCATATCACAGTAATATAAATATAGGTAGCTTAATGCATTATATATTTCATAATATATTAAAGTTTAACAAATATAAGGTGTGACCCATTTTACTTATTTCTCAAAACAAGATATAATAATATACATGTAAGGTCGTGTAAGAAGTTAATAGGTTTAAAAATACATGAAGATAGTCATTTTAATTAGATTATCTTTTCTTTCAATCATTCTTCTATTTTCAAACACAGAGAAAATGTAACATAATCTGCTATAAGCCACAGGCATTCATCAATTCACCAAATTTAATCCAAGTAATATCTGTACATCTCTAATAGATTCACCACCAATTACAAATTTGTCTAGCAAATTGGGAGTATCCTGACCTTTCATCATAACATTTACAATTTGTTAACTTAATGGCCTTAACTTTTTAAAATTTTGCATTTGATAACTAATCTCTAAATAGTGAAACAAATAATTAATGTGTCATGGAAATAATTCGACCCTAATGGATTTGACATAATGTATAAGATAAGTTTATTGAATTTAATGTGAAACCTCATAAAATATTTGAATAGGAGTGTAGCAAACTGCTTCATGATAAAGAGAGATAACTTCCAGAACAACATAATAGTAAATAAAACCTTTAACATCAATATTTCTGAAGGGGTCATAAAATTATGCATCGTTGACTAAATGAATTAGTGACGTAAACAATGCCAAACTAAACGGAAAAATTCCCAAATAATGTATTTACGTGAATCCATCCACCTAAATGGCATATATTACGCTACTCACACAAAACTATAGTATAAAATGTCATGTTTGAAAAAAAAAATTCCCTGTTATGTGTATGTTGGCCTAAGAAATTGAGAGAGCTTGTTACAAAGATTTTGATATTTCAAAATATATTTTTGATTGTCATACAAATAATATTAGTTGAACAGTTGGTAAGAAGTTATCGGAAGCATAGTTTTATCTTTTGGATTGGTAAAAGAGAAGGTGAGTTTGTTTCAGAAATACTTATAAATTTTTGAATTATGAAATGTTAAGGTGATCTATTGAACTTAAAAGTGTTTTCTGACAATCAGAATTCTGCAAAATCTTCGCCCATAGCCCAGGAAATGGCATTTCACAGACTTTTAAGATTCAAAATCTACCCCCCTTCTCTAAAAAAAACCTGCATCTGCGGTGCTCTGCTCCAGACTACATCACTCGTGTTAGAGGCATGTGCATCAATCGGTCGCATTTTTGCTAAACACCCCCTTCAAACAAAATCATTATGCCCCTGGTCTTGACCACCTTATTCACTCAATTTATGAAAAGCACATAAAAGATGGGCCAAGTTCATGTAAAATCCAAGAATATGTGTTTTTCACATGCAGCATATTTGACCGTGTTTTCCAATTTTTCTAACCTTCAACCTCAGATTAGACAAAAATATAGCATAAATATTAGATAAATAAAACAAAAGGCTTCTGTTCATTGTACAATTATAGGAAATAGTTGAAAGTAGAATTCTTTAAATTGTAGGAAAGAAATGTGAGAAACTATGGGTGTGGAACATACTCATATATTCACTAAATCTGAAAAATGCATATAAATTTCTACCAGATCACAGGAGCAATTAACTCTAAATCTAATTTAAGGAAATTATTGAAATATGATAGACTTCTTTGTCCCACTAATCTGAACATTGCATATAAATTTCAAGCAGATTGAATAAAACAACTGGTTGTAAAAGCATTCACAATATTATATTAAGTGAGCGAGGGCCACAACTCTAGACGTAATTAATAGAAATTGTTTGAATTCAATAGAGTTCTTTGTTTCACTAAGCTGAACAATGCATATACATTTTTAAAACGATCGGAAGAAATTGTGGATGATGAATGCAGGTGATGGCCATATATGACATTTCAATACGAGTGTATAAAAGCTCAAATAATCTCCATATAAGATCCTTATACTCAAACTTGAAACAGAGAGAATATTGAAGAAGAATTGCCTGTCGAGACATTATACATTGCATATCATGGCTCAAGGTAAATTATGGCTATAAATCTATAAATATAAATCTATTTTGTAAATGAAAACTGTTCTCATTGTAACTTTTGTAAATAAAATAGATACTAAAATACTTTACATACCACAGCTAACTTCATCAGATTTATCAGCACAATCAATCTGGCCATCACATCTATATGATCCTTCAACACAATCACCATTATCACACTGAAATTCTGTATCCTGACATTCAAAAGTTGGTAACCCTAAGTAAAGGTACAAATTACATAGTTTTAAGAAATATTTATCAAACTGTACAATTACTGGCAGAGGTTCTCTTAATTATGGGGAGCCAAGTGTATTTTGATGTCATTAGTTAAAAATTGCCTTTCCACCATTCCACCATTTCCACCATTCAGCGCCTTAGAAACTGTTTTCTTCAGTATTAACGTGCTTTATAAATGACGATATTATTATTATTATTATATATAATCTTTACCCATATATTATACACTTATTTAGACTAATACAAGAGCTGGTAGTTCTCACTATAATAGTTAAATACTAGATAATGTAAAGGGAATTTGCTGAAAATTTCAGTCAAATTGATCCACTCTGAAACGAGTATTTAGCGACTAAATTTTGGGCTTAGCCTCGATCATCATTACAAAAGTATGATAAAAAACAGTCATCATTATCCATTTTTTGATTTCATCAGAAGCAGCAGAGCAGGTTCTAATCCAGCATTTATCGCAGGCTAGCAATGCTATGGAGAGTTGATTATGGTCTGGATAAGTTAATCAATGTCTAATTAATAATTTAGATAACCAAATGAGCAATGCCTGCAAATTTGAAATAAATCATGTCCAGAAATCTGAACTACTCAGTTTGCATAAGTTATTGTGACTGGACGCCAGCAGACCAGCAGATGGAGTGCGGAGGGAGGTGAGGAAAATCAACCCTCACATTAAATGCCAGCATATAAATATGTAAACAACTTGGCAGCAACTTCAATTGCAAATACGAATAAAACTTGTTTTACCTGTATATTCCATGACGGCTCTTAAAGCAAAGGTTCCATTAAAAAGATCTGTCTGTACACGATTGATGTCAAATGGGACACCCTCCTCGACCATATCGTCAAACAGTTGTACATCATACACTTGATAAAGTTCATTAGCAGGCACTTCTGCATCGTCTGATGTGGCACTACCAATGACATTAATAGCTGTGCTACGAGGGTAAAAAATACCAATAAAATCTCCAGGAGTAACAGGAATTGGGTCAGGTAGCTGTATAGTAATTCTGCCAACTGGGGCTTCTGGTAAAAGTGTTTTTCGCACCAATACAAATTCACCATCATCGGTTTGTTTCCAGACTCCAACATAAGCATCACCCTGTGCACTGATTCTAAAATATTCCCAACCAACAACATTTCCTTGACATTGGAAAACATTGTTTATCAGGAGACGTGCATGGTTGTTACCAAATCTTTGTAAACGGGTAGGTTCTCTGCCAACATATTCTGGACAGGTAACAGCTCCTTTAAATAAAAGAAATACACTATGCTATATTCCACACCTATAAAACCAAGACCAATGAATTGATTTCTCACAAGCATAAATTCAGTTTATAAATTTCCAATCAATAGTATACTATTCAAAAAAAGTAGGGGATATTTGATTTTTAAGTGTTATTAAAGTCACCTAATGAAACTGACGAAGAAACAAATGACAAAATGAAATGAAGTTCACATTCATCGATTTATTCCAAATGATCGTTAGACTAAGTAAGGCACAGACTGACCATTATAAGGGTAAAATGATACCCGGGGTCAAACAGCAAAGTTACCACAGCATCACAACCAAGTCAGTAACGGGTAAATCCTCCTCTGTTTGCCAAACAAGCATTGATCCGACGTGGCATACTCTAATGAGACGCCTAAGGTCATTTTGGTCCAGATTGTCCCATTCCTGTTGCAACGCAGCAGCAAGTCCTTGGACATTGGCAGGACGTTGTTGACGTTGACGTAACCTCTGTCCAAGCATGTCCCAGACATGCTCTATGGGGGAGAGGTCGGGACTCAGTGCTGGCCAAGGTAATGTGGTGATGTTCTGTTGTTGGAGGTAACCTGTAACGATCCTGGCCCTGTGACATCTTGCGTTGTCATCCTGGAAGATGAAACGGCGGCCATGATGTCGTGCGAACGGCACAACATGGACTGCCAAGATGTTGTCCCGGTAGTACTGGCCTGTAACACGCCCTGCAACAACATGTGTAGCCGTTCTTCCAGCAACAGTGATGCCTCCCCACACCATAACAGAACCACCCCCAAATCGATCATGTCTGATGATGTTAACGTCTTGGAAGCGCTCGTTTCGACGACGCCACACCCTCCTACGTCTGTCCAAAAAATCAACAGTGAACCTTGACTCATCTGAAAACATCACATTGCTCCAGCGTCGATTATCCCAGTGTTGACGATCCCTACACCAACGACGTCTTGCCTGAATGTGATGATCTCTCAAACAAGGGATCACGCGAGGACGTCGGGCGCGAAGGTGACCCCTATGCAGTCGATTCCGAATCGTCTGGCCACTCACTCTCACACCAGTGTCTGTTTGAAGACGAGCGCTGATCTGATTTGCTGTGATGACACGATTTCTCAAGGCCAAGGTACGGATAAATCGATCCTGGGCTTGAGTTGGCGCCCTTGGTCGACCTGAGCGTGGTCTGTCCTGTACAGATTGTGTATCACGGTATCTGGACCATAGCCTGCTTATGACAGACTGAGAAACATTCATCGTCCGCGCCACAACCGCCTGTGTTGTGCCGATCTGTAGCATGCCAAGGGCACGTAACCTTTCATTTTGGGTAAGCCGACGCATATCAAAATTTGTTTTCTGGTCACTAAAACAATTAAACTGATGTTTCCACCCTGGAATTCAATGCCACAATGACTGTAACATTCAAAGTCAGAGTCGTGCAAATCTTGGGTTGGACCCCCATGATGATCCCAAGCATCACCTGCATTCCATGCGGTAGCTATTGGTGCGTTTGGGCGTCACATGTGACTGGAAATGTTTCTTCTGTTAGGTTCTATAGTGACTTTTTTCGTAGTCATTTGCATATTTTAGTATTATGCCCCCAAAATCAAATATCCCCTACTTTTTTTGAATAGTATATAACAGCATAGCCTACGTTTCTTGAAGGCTCCACAGAGTTTTTCAAAGTTATCAAAGGCAAACATATCATCGCAATTTGTTAAAATTAACATGAACCACAAGATTTTTTCTAAATGATCAAGCACTAAAACAGTAATTATCAAAAATAGTTAAAGATAGGTTGCCAGGCAGTGAAACATACGCCCACAGCAGCTAAATCATCCGGGCAGTTAAATCTGATTAAGAATAACAACTCGTTAAGTAATTATCAGAAAATCATTAGAATTTGTTTGGCCCATGCTAACATTTACTATACAAAACATTTAATACCACGGATTTAGCTGTTCAAGTTACCAAAAATAATTGAAAATCAATATACTTGTTCGTCCAAAGACCTTAAACTCTGTGTATCAATCTAAAGTTATTTGAAACAATTATATATAGGCTTAACCACGGTGTATAAATATAAAATCAATCAGATGATAACTATGGTCTCTAAAGCATCCACAAGATTTTTCAAAGCGATCAAGGGCCATAACTCTAGCAGTAATTATCGGAAATTGTTGAAAATCAATAGGTTTCTTCGTCTGATGACCTTAAACACTGACACTGTGTATAAATTTAAGGTCAATCGGATATTAACTTTAGCCTCTAGACCATCCACAAGATTTTTCAAAGTGATCAAGGGCCATAACTCTGGCAGTAATTATTGGAAATCACTGAAAATCAATAGGGTTCTCCGTCTCATGCCCTTAAACACTGTGTATAAATATAAAGTCAATCAGATATTAACTTTAGTCTCTAGAGTGCCCACAATATTTTTCAAAGTGATCAAGGGCCATAACTCTGGCAGTAAAAATTTAAAGTCAATCGGGTATTAACTTTAGCCTCTAGAGCGTCCACAAGCTATTGTGTATGCAGGACGGACAAACGGACGGACGGGGGCGACGACAATATACGACCACATTTCAATGTGGCCGTATAAAAATCAAAATGCTTCTGCATCTCTTGAACATAAACACTGTTTATTTTTTCAAAGTCATGCAGATGATAATTTCAGCCTTTATAGAGCTTCTACAAGATTTTTCTAACTTATCAAGGGCCTGTACTCTGACAGTAATTATCGCAAAATGAACAGACTTCTTTGTCTTTTCAATGTGGGCATGTACAAATTTCTATTTAAAAAAAACAATATCCCGAGTTTCTTTGACAATTTAATAATCATGTTAATCCTACCAAGTCTTGAAAATTGCATTAAGAATCCTGGTCACAAGCTATACAAGTAAATGGGGGGAAGGGGACTTTGTTATATACAATAAAGATATAATTACTGTCGCAATGAACAATTTGCAAATTGTTTTAAAAAAAAAACAGAAATGTACACAAGGTGGCAACACTGCAATTTGGGGTCTACCTATTGACCTAGGAACTCCAATAACTCAATAACTATATATGTGTTTTATCATTAAATCAAATGTTATGATTTGAATTATACACGATGATAGCCTATAAAAACTTTGAATATCTTTAGAAAATACACTCTTCAGATACAGTTAATAATAACTGAATATAGAGGCTTCAGATGAATTTTGAGCAAAATTTTATTTCAATTTTATGTTTTGTTTACCATTATTATTATAAAACCTCAGTAAGTATGTGTACAACAAATTATATTTCATAGATTTTCATCGAAAGCAGGGGAACACAAGGAATCTAATTGGTTGAAATTAATACAAACAAAAAAAGCGAGTGACTGGTATGTGTTGACCACACCTTGTAATTTAGAGTAATTAGAAACTTATTATTGTCAAAAGTGGATGCTGGGTGTTATTTCTGTCGACTAACACAGCTTGATGAAACTTGGCATCAATACAAGATAACACTTCCACACTATCACTGCTCGCACATTTAATGAATGACTTATTTGTTATCTTAGGATTCAGATTACACAACGCTCACTTATTATCAGCATTAACTTCAAACACCTTAAGATGAGGCTAATCAATAAAATTTGGCTAATACTCAATCAAATTCCATTCAATTTTGTTCTTTTTAACTCGCTCTTCACCTAGTTCCATTGCCCACTTTAGTAAATCTTTATAACATTTTAAAACATTAACATATCTCATACTGTTAGATTGATAATTCTGTTACCAGTTTTGGCAACTTCAACAAATTAAGTTGTATTGATATATGAATAAATTAGAGCAAAGATGTTTGAATCTCTATTTAAGAACTGAAAGTATCTTTGAGACCTATTTCTCACAAAAATTATGTTAACAGTTCTTTGAAAATTATATATTTTACCTCCAAGTTGTCTGAAGGAAAAATCTTCAGTGGATACATCATATGGACCAATAATGCCAGTTCTTAAAGCTTCTTCCAAAATACGACGTAATTCCTGTTCATCAGAGAAACCATTAGAACTAAGGTCAAAAGTAACGTCAACAGATCCTTTACTAGAAACAAAAAAAAAAATAATACATTACTACCATTTTACATTTTAATGCGTCCATTACTAATGACATAATCAAAAATAATGCAGCCTATATTGAGTTTAATCTTGACACACAGATTAATTTGGATGTGAGTAATAAAGTAAAAACTCATTTTATAAAAATTTGTGTGCTTTTTGTTTCAAGATCAGATTAAGCTCACATTGAGTCGTACATATTACGTATATGTGCAAAACTGTACTTAGTGTGCAAAAAAATCAACTAATAAGCTTCTGTTTAGTCTTGTAACTAAGAAGCTGATTGGCTGCATCAATGAATTTAAAAGCAACTTTATGATCTGTAACAAAATCTTATTTTGATGCCTTTGAACATTACAGCTTTAAATGACTGTAATAAATGTATTATCCATCTTGACTTATTGTCAGATTATTAAGGGGAGGCAAGCGCCATGCTTACAGGAAAGAAATTTTTGAGTCATACTTTTTTTCCATTTTAGGCGGGAAAAGGCTACATTAAATGGAAGTCATCTTCCATACATGTTGGTATAGATATATATATATATATATATAATGTAGATTACATAAATATAATACACATGTAATAAACAAACCCATACCCTGACCGGATTATTTGAAAACAGAGACAAATGTGGCTTAAATAGTGAAAGAATAGATTATTTTTTTACATAACTAATATGCCCCAGTATTTCACATTCAGAGAAATTAAACAAATTTTGTAACTCAATCAATGCTCCCGATACTACCATATTTAAGATTACTTTTTTTTTTCTTGTAATTCTGTTTGCAAAGTTTTTCATGTTATACCTCACTGGTATATATACAGAAAACAACCTGTTAAAACTTTTTAAATGAATTCCTGAACCATGTTTAGTAGGGATCATACAAACAGGTTTTTTTTTGTTTACCCCAATGGATCCTTTTGCTACATCCTTGGCCCACTGAACATGTAGCAAAAATCTATGTCATTTGCTAAATCCTTAGCCCACTGACCAATCTATAGATATGGTACTGTTTTCTTAATCTTCATTATTATATCCTGATATTTTCAGCATTAGATAATAATTGAAAATTATCAACCACTCATTTTCTTAACAATATCATCGACCGACCAAGAGAGCATCAGGAAAATAAGACCCCCATTTTTATTTCATATTAGAAATTAGTAACTTCAGAGACACCCACATCATATCCTAAATCATTTTGTAATTATATTTTCCAGTATGGTATACAAATTAATAACATACATATCACATGCATTTATAAGGAGTGATAAATAAAGTATGGTCAACAGTTTGGAGAGGATATTACAGCCTGTGTGTGAACCATATTATTTTCAATCAATATGGATTTAAATATATAGAAATTGAAATGCATCCTGATAATATACCAAATCATAATAAACATCAAAAAGATAATATACATCATATCAAAATACAACCTTAATAAAATACAGATCATGTTTTATCACTGTAATAATAAGTATCCCCCATTTTGCAATCTGCTACAAGAAAAGTCCTAAACTTAAAAATTTGGATGAAATCATCTTCTCAAAGACTTTTCATAACAAAAGCAAAGTTATTGGGGTTGATCATGTACGTATGAGCCGCTGTTGTAAGAACAGTCTCTAAGGACTTTATCCAAATCATGTCTAACTCAATGTGTAAGGGCTGATACGATTTGCAAGATGGTATGCTGCAAAGCAAAGACATTTTTTTAAAACAAAACAAAGACCTTTTATGCTGCAAACCAAAGAAATTAATACATTACACACACATTCATGTTACCGATTTTCCTGGCAGCAGACCCCACAATTAAAAGGATGTGGAATAATGATCTGTATTCTATTATTCTGATTGATTTATATTACATGTATAAGCATCTTATTATAAGCCAGGTGATGGTTTAATAATATCTTATAAATTATACAATTTAAATGTACACTGAGAATCATAACACTGATGTAATTTTGAAATTTTTCCTTGAAAAATCTAACCACATGAACAAACCAATGCCTATCAGTTGATTTTGAATTAGAGTTTGCTTCAATTATATATTCTCAACTGTACATCTCATTTGTATTTTATAAATATAGTTCTTACATTTCTGTCTCAGATCCTGGTACACGTCTTTAAAAGACAATAAATTAATACAGCATTAACTTATTTATTGGAAATAATAATTCTATTAAGGTAAGATTAAAATAAGGAATAAGAAGAACGTGTGAAGAGTCTCGTAAGTGGCACACAGCAATCACAGTGTCTTGGAGGTTTCAGAAACAAGTTTGAGGTGTTGGCTTTCCGTGTATAACCGTTAATTTGAATATATGAAGAAATGGGAAATCTTTTGAAACCTTGTGCCAACATCACATGGATATGATGCTGCATTAAAATCAGCAAATAATTTAGAATCCAAAGCATTCATAACATATTTTTGAGTGAAAAGTTTGGATGGAAGATTGATCAACAACTATATGTCCACATATCATTCATTAGCAATGTGACTTAGCTAATGACTGGATTGAAAAGAGGCCATCGTCCAGGTAAATATACAAGGAACAAGGTCTCTTTATAAATATATTTCATATTACAAACGAGTATTTTTATGATAAAACAAACTATCATGGAATACTAACTTACACTGAGAGTGGAACAAGCCCACACAAGTTACTGCAATTTGTCTGTTGTAATGAACAACACTGTAGTGGTACAAACTTATTGTGTCCTTTATCTTGTTGTAGAGACCTATATTTCTTGCTGCACTGATCATTATAACCAATATTACTTGTTGCAGAGGCCTACATTACTTGCTGTAGAGACATTACTTACTTGCTGTATTGATCATTATAACCATTATTACTTGTTGTAGAGAACTACATTACTTGTTGTAGAGACCTTCAATACCTTCTCTAGAAACCACTATTACTTGCTGTGTTGATCATTATTATAACCATTGTTATTTGTTGTAGAGACCTACATTGCTTGTTGTGGAGACCTTTATTACTTGCTCTAGAAACCACTATTACTTGCTGTATTGATCATTATAACCATTATTATTTGTTGTAGAGACCTACATTACTTGTTGTGGAGACCTATATTACTTGCTGTATTGATCATTATAACCATTATTATTTGTTGTAGAGACCTACATTACTTGTCGTGGAGACCTTTATTACTTGTTTTAGAGACATTTATTACTTACAGTATTGATCATTATAACCATTATTATCTGTTGTAAAGACCTACATTACTTGTTGTAGAGACCTATATTACTTGCTGTATTGATCATTATATTTGCTACAGCTTTACTATGTATTGTCGAGACATATATTACTTGCTGTAACAACCTACATGCATATTACTTGTATTAATAAGATCTCACCAAAAGTATTTATCATAATAGCATTATGTTACTTGTTCCTGCTGTAGGGATCTAATTACTTGTTGTGAAGATCATTATAACCTACAGTGTATACTACTCATACATATATATATATATATATTATTTGTTGTATAGTATATATATATTATTTGTTGTATAGTATAGATTATAGATGTAATAAAGATCGGTATCACTATAGAGACAAAGTTGTCAATTACCTACTGTATCAAAATCTGATTTCTTGTGGTATTTAGAAATTGAAGAAATGTAATACTTAAGTTATTTATTTCAGATCATTTTTTTTTAGGAAAGTGCTTGGTGACCAGACAACATATTATTAGGGACTTACCATTGTTAGTGGTAGAAAAAAACCTTGATTTGTATCTATTATTTTAGACAAATCAAATTCACTGTATTTGACAATGTAGAAACCTGTGTTTAGACAGAAAACTACATGTATGCCTACAAATAAAAGTTTGTTTTAATGTCATCAAATATAATAAATAATGTACTTACTTGAAATATAAAACACTAACTAACTGATCACCAGGTACATTACGGAACAGATTTTGTAAAACTCCTTGTAATCGTGTTGCTAACGACTGGAATTCCTGACTATAACGATTACTTAATCCATCAGTGAACTGAAGACTAGTAAATTTTATTTTCACCCTATAATAAACTGAAAAAGAAAAGAAATAAACATTAAACCATTTGCATAAAACAATCTGAAGATTTCAAGCAGGTGTAAAATTGCTGAAATTAAAAACAAATCTTCTACTAATGAGTCAGGCACAAACTATACCACATATTAATTTAAATATCATAGTTCCATATTTTTACCATATCCTGTATTTATAGTAATTCTTTTTGGGTATCTTATTTTAGTATGAAGCCACCTTAAAAACATTTCTGTCCATCTTTAGATTTTGGAAAGACCGACAACTCAACATATATACTCTTCAAAAAAAGTAGGGGATATTGAAATGCAAATACCTATGTGGGTTGAGATATGATAAATAGTCTTGGACACTTGACATGCTTTGAGCGTATGTTCACAGATGAAGAACTTATCGCCCTCAACAGAACCACTGAATTGCATATGCGACACGCAATAGCGCCATACATGTGGGAGGGGTTCATTGTAAAAATTTGACACTTCAAGGAAGGGTTGATGAAAACTGCCGCGTGCTGGTTTATCTATCCATGTTTGCTTTCCTATCGGTTCTTGCATAAGATTTACTGTTTAGCGTATCTTTGCTTTCGTGTGTTGCGTTTAATTTGATCGGGAGACATGTTCGTCGACGTCAACGGACAACACTGCAAGAATTGGCCGTGGCACTGCAAGAGGAGTGGGTCAGATTGCCCCAAATCATGATTGGACGGTTGATTAGGAGCATGCCAGACGAATTGCTGAATGTCTGAGGATTGGTGGAGCAATTACTCATTATTAAGACAAAAATCAAAAACGTCCATTTTAACTTTCTCTTTGCGAGTGAAATGGGGCTGTCAGATAAGCCGTCCATATGAACTGTTTATGTTCATGTGTAGGCAATTGGCCTGTTATTAACATACACTGGTTACCTCTAATAAAAACAGCAGTGCATTTCCGCAGTTTTGTATTGTTCCTGAATATCCCCTACTTTTTTTTGAAGAATATATAATAAACTCACAGTCACCTAAGTAAACTATAAAAATTGTCTCAGTTTTATTCTTTTGTAGGAATAGGACCACTTAAAACACAATAAAAACTGATGAAGGCCAACAAACAATGAATAAATTATCAAAATTACTTACAATTTGATAAGCTTCTAGTACTAACATACATGTGCACTAATAATATACCAATAATCAGAAATTGTTTTATGAAAGGAAACACTGTGTATAAACTGACTACATTAAAAGATTTTTGAAAATGATCAAGGGCATAACATCAAAAGCACCTATCCCAAGAATATTTCATATTGCCATTTAGTGGTAAATAATAATCCTTTTTCAAACTGGTGCCGATCAAGTTCTTTTATCAGAAGCTTTCTGTTCACATGAAGAAATTCAAATATTTACCAAACCGCATCTCATTAATTCTTCCATTCACCAATATTTACAAAATCTTAGAAAGAATTTTGAGAAAGATTTATGAGCATTAAAATCAAGGTGTACAAAAAGTTATGAACATGTATAATATCTGAAATAATAAACTTACTTCATCAAATGAAACAGACATCATGGGGTTTAACGTCCTACTGTTATGCCCAAATAAAGATTTTTTTTTCTTCAGAAAATAGGCTGATAAATCATTTTGAGCATGTCAAATAATTAAAATTACATAACAGAAACTGTTGTAACTTCTATGAAGAAAAGGAATATTTAAGAAGAATGTTAAAATGTCAAGAATTTTGTACACACATACCAGTAACTTTATATTAGAGTAAACATGATAATAGCATCTGTTTATTTATCTCAAATTATCATGGATACATTTAGATAGCTGTAGGCATGTTCATGATTGGCTACAATTTGACCTGTACTCATATGATTTGTAAAGAGAGATGATATGAACATGTTAAAACTATCAAGCAACTCTACCAAAACTTCATCAAGCAGATCATGAACAGACCACCAACCAATCAAGTTATGAACATAACAAAAAAAGTGCACAGAATGCACTTTATATTTGATGAATAAAAGAAAATTTTGAGATTACGTCATGGCTTATGATAAAATGAAATGAAATGGGGTTTAACATCCTACCGATAAAGAAGAGTATCCTACCTATTTAATCAATCCCAACCTATGATTGAGGTGAATTTTTTTATGTCTTTAATTTAGGTCTTACAAAAAATATTGGTCCTTGAAGGATTACTGGACAAGTGTAACTCAGGTAAATTATTTAGTTTCAGGATTACAGGTTGTATATTTCTGGTGGGATTTTAAAAATACAACATTATATACACATGTCTAGTAGTCAGTCAACAATCAACTTCTTTTTACAAGACCTAAATAATGTTTATTCAATTGGCTACTTCATTAACATTTAAAGACAGTGAGGATCGTGACAGCATAATAGTATCCCTTTGACCTTGAATTGACAGCCAATCAAAAATCCGAACAATCAAAGTCTTTAAATTTTTTTTAGAGAAGTTTCTGTGTTGCGACTGAATGGCTGATCATTGACCCAACCAGTTGTTGACTCCAGAGTTCCAACAAGATTTTGTAACAATGGGAAAAAACTCACAATGTAACTTTGAAAATCAATGAAAATCAAAAGATTTCTTTCTTTTACACAGTTAGTCAAACAACATAACTTTCATATATATACAAATTTTGTTGATGTTCATGAAATGAAGAAGCAAGCAGTCTATTGATTTTTCACAACTTTGTATATATGAAATCTGGCTCGTTTGCTAACAATGCAAATAAATTTTAATTGTATGATAATTTTAGCCTCTGGAGTGTTCCACAGATTTTTCAAAGCGATCAAGGGCAATAACTATCAGTAGTTTTCAGAAATAATTAATAATCAATGTTAACATAAATAATACATTTAAAGTCAACATCCCCCAATAAACATTACAAAGTATCAATAATTCCTGTTACAATATACACTGTACATGTATAAACACATAGTACAGACCTAATGTTCTATGCATTATCGGACAGAAATACATCGTACTGAATTAACTGAAGTAAAATTCTGACTTGAGAGCTTATGGAATCCAGCTGATGATATTGTAGTTATGAATAAGATTTTAGTGACTATTAAAAATGGTACATTTAATATTAAATCTACTGAAGCCAGAGGTCTTTGACCGTTTTAACCCCACATACTTAGAGTTGACAGGTGGTTTTCCACATCTTATTTCCAGTTAGCACACTTAGAAAATTGTTGATATATTTTACCAGACACAATAACCATTGGTTACTGATCTAAAAAACATACTTCAACTAACTCCTCAAAACTCTGGGCTGATTATATAAAGTTCTGTAAGGATAGAAACCATCTCAAACCTGTTTATCAGAATTTTAGCCTAGCTTATGATATACAAAATTTGCTATGTTGATAAATAATCAAATAACTTTAAGAGTGGCTGATAGGTACAAAATGTTTAATAAATTCAGTACGGTACAGGTTTATTTTTTATGTTAGCATTGCACATTTTTGGTGCCTGCATTGATGGTGAACCCAAACAGGTTTTAACTAAAGAAGTATTAATGACTTCTTTGATTGGCATTTAGTAATTGAACTTATTAACACAAGGTACAATTTTATGGATACACAATTACTAAGTTTAATACTAAGCAATATTTCGATGAGGATACTCTCATTTTTATCATTTGCTTGAAAAGAGGAGAGTATCCTCCTGGAAACGTCGCTTAGTATTAAACTCGGTAAATGTGTATCCATAAAATTGTACAACCTTGTGTTAAATATTAATGAATCTCATCTTTCTCAGGAATAAACCTACATGAGTATAATTCTTTAATATGTAGAAAGGAAACCAAATTGTGGCAGCTGCAATGCAACATACAAATCTAACTAAAATGGTTTTATTGTAAATGATATACATTTTAGAAATGTCTGCTGGATGTTTAGATGCTAATATATCAAAGAGGTTAACCAAACAACATTTCAATGGATGTGATATTTAGAAAGAATCATTACATTTTCCTTATTGCTTCAAGGTATTTTTTTAGCTGGTGCCGTGCACATTTCAAACATCTGAAGATAGGAAATAAAGAGTTGGTATTTATGCCATCCAAACCAGTTCTTTGGTTCATAGATCTTTCGTGCAATAAATATAATAAATAAAATCAAATAATGTTTCATCCTGATCTAGTTAAATATACATGTAAAGTTTAAGATCATACATGATAAAAGAAAGTACTTTCATTAAAATTTATTTTATTCGAAATAGGTAAATTCTAACTTAAGTTATAGCCATTTGAAGTTTACATTGGTTTGTATTGATTTCACACCAGTATATATTTATGTATAATAATAATTCTGTTATCTCTTTTATATTTAGGTTTTTTTATATGTGTCAATGCTAAATTACATACCAGTAATATTAACCGTCTTTAATATAGTACATATTTTTGATTTTTCAGATATTTTCAAACAATCTGGCTGCGTCTTTAAGAATGGTATAGGCTATATTTATATAACATAAAATTGTCAAAGGACTTGAACTTTCTCAACAGTGTTTCCTTAAATTGATATCAGTTGTGATTTTATTCTAGGTCTGTCTGTCTTGGTGTATTTCACATAAAATTGTAAATTAAAACTTTAGCCTCATTACAACAAAATCTTACACCCAATAAGAAAGAAAGAAAGGGGGAGTCATAGTGAGTCATATTTATTCTGAGAAAGTGTCTGACCCTACACATGCAAGAGATTATATCACATACAAATGTCACATAAAAATTAAATGGGGGAAAAAGACCAAATATCTGTGCCATGAGTATGATGTCCCATGTTCATGATCTACAAATTAAGTAAAATAAAGTTAACTCAGAACAATTAATGATGATTACTTGTTTAATAATATTGTTACTTGAAAACTTGATACAGAATTAGCCACCAGGAGCCTGTTTTACAAAGATTTAGGTACACGAAAATGGAACACTTTATTATTTACTAATTGAAATTGTGTGCACATAACTTTTAAGTAAACGTCTTGAAGCAAGTCCCACATTACAACAATCTTGAAACCTACAGAACAGTTAAATCTGAATTACCACCACAATGTATTGCAACTTATGTGTAAAAGACCAACATAAATGTTATTCAGGTCATAGACCAGAACTGTAACAAGAACTTCAAAACTTATATTATTGCATCCTGTTGATTAAAGCACTCATTTGTTAGTACATCCTAATTTTTTCTTGAACACTCTCAATATCATTAAACAATCTCAAAGCCTGAAAGAGGTAACTCAATAGCATTAAATGTATGTTTTACTATAACTTCTCTGTAGGGTTGTGTTCAATTTGTCAGCCAAGATCTAACCTTATGGTTTCCAGATTAGAAAGTAGATTTTAAACATGTACCCAGCTCTTCCTGCCATAAATTCTCAGCAATTATTTCAAAGGGTATAAATAAGAAGGTGGTAGATTTGTCTGATTTAACATGAAATTTATACAACATGTGGTCTAACATACATATTCTAACATCTCTTCTCTTCTAGCTGGCATTTAGCCATTTTTATCATGAGAATCAATGTAGTTGTTTGACTGGAGGCCTTTCATGGCAGGCCTTCCTATAGAATATGTTTATATAAGAAATATTTTGCTTTGTCAGCATCAAATATTATGCTGAGTTATTATGATAAAGATTAATAAATGTATACATAATCATCAATGTAAAGATGTCCAGATTCATTCTTGCAAAATGTGTTAATATACATTCTTTGAATGGCATTTATAGTAATTGGAACATAATCACTTTTTATGGAATAACAATTACTATGGTTTATTTTACTGCAAAATTTCAATAAGTTTTCCCAAGTTGTTTTTAAACATATACACAAATAGATAAAATAAAATAGGTTGCCAGGCAACGAAACATACGTCCACAGCAACGGACGTGGGCGACGGCAATATATGACCACATTTCAATGTGGGTGTATAAAAATGAGAAAATATGAATATATATATATATATATAAATAAATAAGATGTTTGAAAAGAAAACAAACTACATATTTCAAACTAGCGCTTTCAGTTCCATCGGAACCTCTTCAGGCTTTAATATGATAGCGTAATATACATGTATGTAGCTATTAGCAGGGGATGGACTTGGGCTTAATGTCAACACAATACTTTGGTTATTTTAAGACAAAAATATAATCATTTTATTTCATTTGTGGTTATGTGTGCAGAGAGAGAGATAGAGAGACCTGAGGACCTGGAGAAAACTCACAAGGTTGGACATGCGACCCTACTCCTTGTGACATACAACAACCGAGGAATCGAAACCACGCCAGCCCAGTTGACTCAATGACAGACCTTACGATACAGTGTGCCAGCGCTAACCATTCAGCCATCCAACCCCCCCCCCCCCCTCGGTTATGTGTGCAAATGTTACGTAAGAGAATTTTTCCTAGACAGAGGCACATCCACCTGCTTTACTTTTTCTTGGCTTCCAATTGTCAGGCGGTCATTGAAATTGAAATGCAAGCCAATGTGAACACAGATGGACACTTTCCTTGTCAGTCTCCTAAGCATCACCTTTGACAGACAAAAAATTGAAAAATCACAAATTCCTTCTTTTTTAGATCTTAAATATTTTCTGAAATTCTTTTAATAACAGACTTTAACTAAATAAACATAATAATTGTCATCCAAGCCAAAAATGTTCATGAATTTCTGAAATATTCATATAATTAGAAAACTTGTTAACCTGTGTTAGTTATGTCGCTTTGAAAACGATTTTTTTTTTTTAATCCAAACGAACTAAAACTGAGATAAAGGCGACACAATTTGTAACAAATGCTCAAGTTGACCTTTTCTAGCAACATTTACAATGCTCAAATTACTTACGAAGAGCTAACAAATAGCAAGAATGAGGATGGACAGAGGGCTAACAATCTTTTTTTTTTTCTAACACAAGAGCACAAGTGGGCATAATTGCCCATCAGTTAGTTGCTTAGGCTATCATCATATTCATAGGTGGTGCAGAATGAAGTGACTGTCAAGGAATTCTACAGATTATATGATAAACCAAGGTCCTGTGTACATGTTAACATGCATGTAAAAACACCTTTAACAATTGGAATGCGAAATAAGAGTAAGCTATAGCGCAGTTGTCGGGGCAAAATTTCCCACATACAATGTAACACACTAGTTGGTGCAGCAAAGTAGGACATTAAACCCAACTTCACTTACCATTAAGCTGAACACCTCTCCCAAACACACTAAGTAATTTCACTCAAGACAATTTAAATGAGCTCTACCCAAGACACATGCATGTTGGTTGAAATCCATGCTGTGGTTCTTGAGAAGTCAAATGTGTGTGGCAATGTGCCCCTGCCTCACTCCTACGGGGTTGACCAAGTCTGAATAAGCCAATGTTCACTAAGTTTGCTAAAATACATTCAGTGGTTCTTGAGAAGAAGTTAAAAATGTTTTAAAATCATCAAATTTGCACCTGTAGGGCTGATATAGTCACAGAACGAATAAGAAAGAGCACTACCCAAGCAATATATCTACCAAATTAGATTGAAATCCATCAAGTGGATGGATGAAGAGCTGACAGAGGGCATGACATACACTAAAAAGCATTTGACTATGTGAAGGATAATGGTGTGTCCACACAAAACAGCTTGACACACTTTGATATTTGGAATTGTCAGTGTTCTTTTCTTGTACGTTTGTTGAGCAGTTAGGCTGCACTTTTAGGACCCGGAATTGGGTTCCCTGCGCTTTTCATCTTGTTGTTCTTGTTTTTTAGGGCAACGCTCTTCGAAAAAAGACTACAGCTCAGCCAATTCAAATACGACATGAAACTTGGCATGCTTATTCCTTGGACAAATGCCCATCGATTGACAGACATCACAATTCCATGATCCAGACGATGATGTTATACTTGGTATACTCGTACTTGTTAATATAAAACAACAATATTACCTGGATAACCTGTTATAGAAGGTGTTACAGCAGGTTCAACTGTAGTAGTAGCACTACCTTCAAAACTACCATCACCACTCTCATCATTGAGAAAATCTTCATCATCTACGCCTGTTTCTCGTATAGATCTTTGTAAAATATTATCACTATCGGCAAATTCAAAATCACGTTCCTGAAAACAAAATACAATATTTAAATATATATTTAATAGATCAGCTTGTTGAGTAGAAATTAAACATACACATGCCCACCAGCAGCAACATGTACCAAATGTGATGGAAATTTAGAACATATTTTGTCATTGTGAGAACACTAGTAAAGTTATGAAAATTGAGGGCAGGCAGCTTTTGTAGACTGTAAGATCACAATTTTTTTCTAACAGCTAGAGTAAACTCAACCCTAACCCATAATTGCTAGGTTATGTGATTGGTGACCAGGATTTGGATTTTCACCCAGCATTAAACATCTTTGAGTCTCAGAAAATTCAGTCATAAAATTCTGTTTGCTTGAACACACAATTTGTGAATGGTCAACGGTTGGGAGGACAGGGCTGACCACAATATTGAGTGGTAGTACAATAAAAGTAGATTCAGAATATAGGTGGTACTGGGACCTTGATTTATCATTGTTGACCACTGACCGATAAAAATCTCCATAGAAAAAAAATGATGTTGAATAAGCATGCTGGGTTAATGTCTAGATTACTCAGTAGGAGTTTACAAGGGCTATAATAATAGATAATAACAAGACTTAGTAGAGTGATTGATGTCTACCTTCATTAAGAAATAAGATAGCATTAATAAAACTAGAATGTAGTCATTTATCACCATCTTTTACCCTTACACTCACTTGCTTTCCTTTCTTAAAAGACTCAAGTGAAACCAGTAATAATTAGATGTCATTCTTCAAAATATGCACTTAACCCTTTAATCATGAATGAAATGTAATGGGATAAACTGTCTTTTGTAGTTAATGGTAACTGAACAAGGCCTTGTATACATTCATTTCTTATTACATGTAACTGTGTAAATCATATTAAAATGTCTATAAAAAAAACAGTACACCATAGGATAAACTATAGTTAGGTTGCTAAGATTTTGGAAAGCCAAACGTACTACTGCAATGTCAAAACAGAAAACTATTTGCATTTTATATTTGCTATACAAACCTGTATCATGTAAGTTTGATTTCATAAAATAAGTATAAAATAAAACCAAGTACGAACAATCCAAACCATTAGACAAAATTCGAAGTCCTAAAAAAACGGTATAGGCAAAATAGTGTAATCAGCATATGGACTGTTCACCGTGTACAAAATACACGACAAACAGTGGTAACAGGTGTCCGGAAGAGCAAGCTTACCCTGCCTGGCGCCACACCCACCTTAGCTGCATCCAAACTATTAGGCGAAATCTCAGTAAAACAGTGTGATTGGCCAATGGACTATGGGTATGCAAAATGCACGTGATAAACAGTGTTAACGATATAGTAGACAAACATTATCTGGGAGATAGTATATACATCAATTAAATATATCACTTTCCTAAATTCTAAACTATAGCGTAAATTTTGTGAAGCTTGACGGAGTGTATTTTTATTAGCTACATTTACTGTATTTAATAACCACCACATGGAACTTTGTAAACTTTGAAGCAAAGATACAATATTTATAAGCTATATGTACAGGTAGGCCTAACATATTTGATGTAATAACCATCCAGTTCCAGTAGGCACCTACAAACATTTTTCAGGGGTATGGTGACTGCCGATTTTGGACGAGGAACAAGATCCACTGGAGGCACAAAAAAAAAAAACAATATTACAGAGAAATTCTTGGCTGTCTGGCACATGCTATAGTTGATTTGTAACATAACGGTATATGGGCCACGAAAACGTTTGACATTGGTTGAGCAATATAATTATAAAGTAATGCAGAAGATCAGAATCTGAACATGAAAGTTCTAGTCAAAGACTCCTGAGGGGTGTAAAGAGGAGAAAATCTAATTTTGCAAGAGATAGGTACACTGTAAAAACAACTGGTAAGCAGTGTGATTAAGTATATTTTTAGAACATATAGAGATTGCATTAAAAAAACACACTGAAACCACTTAATTTTGTTTCTATTTTTGAGAGGAGGTGCAAAAACTCTAAACCCATGACCCAAAGTGTGTCATTTTGTCCCCTTTTCTGAGACCCTGAATCTTTTAAAAACAAACTGTATTAAGTAATGAGATATAATAAATGATCTCCTGTTGTTGAACATTTTTTAAGGTTCAAGGAGGCTATAATGGTATGTCAACTCCATTTGATTTCCGTGGGTTAAAGGTGAGAAGATGAGGTAAAATGTCCTGTCACACTTCATTCTTTTATGCTTGTTGCTAAATATACGTTACAAAGTTACAGGTATGGAAGATTGTTTAAATTAACTAGTAGGTGATTATAGTTTTAGTTAACAAACACAGGTGTCTAAATCACCATTATTTGTGTGTGATATCAATCACTTGTGTGTACTATTGGTCACTCTAAGGTCAGAATCGGGGCAATTATATTGTCAATGAATATTGAGCGCTTATGGGTTGTTAGCTTTGAAGAGAGTAAAGTGGTGAAATTATCAATGAATAAAGTTAAACCCACCAATTTCAACATTCTGTAAAGCAAAAACTGTTGACATATGTAATTACTATCAATGGTACACACATTAATCTAATTCGTGCCTAGAGTGCAGCTAGTTCTTTTGGGGAAGTAGGGTTAGACTGAAAATTAGTTTATCAATGAGATAACGCATGTTGCATCAAAAATCATTGTACCAAAATTCGCAGTAACATTTTTGCAGAATGAATTTAGACTGTTGGTGGTGGTGTAATCTTAATTAAAATGAGATTATCAATGTTTACCAGCCGTTGTTATTTGATTGGGTAATTTATAATCAGGTGCTTTTTCTGTCATTTTATAATTTTTTCCTAAAAATAATGCTCAAGTCACTTGCAAACTACAACATTCACCATAAAACCGTTTTAGAAGGAATACAGGTTTCTTCTCTGCACAATCCAGTGCAGCTTGTGCATTTGTTATCATAGTGTAATAGAAGACAACTACATGGAGGGTATCTATATATTATCACCCAATAATACATTTTACAGTAGATATCGCTTGTGTGATAAATTTCATAATCTCCTCAGGAGATATCGCTTTACATGAATTTGATTGGTCAGTTGAAAAGGAACTACTTTTTTTTATTTTCAAAGAACAGTTCATTATTTATTAAAAGTAACTTCTTTTTTTATTAAAAATGAACTATTTTTATTTTATTGACCTTGATGGAAATACTGGGTCAATATAAAGGACTTTGCAATGGTGGAATTGTTGTCAAAAAATGATGTATCACTATGGCGTAATGTGATCAGGTTCAGTAAAAGTGAAATCTACAGCAAAGAATTATATTTATTTATTTGTGCATGTAAGAAAGGATTGGGTGATAAATAAAATCTCCTACTCCTCTTTTTTGATATCAAAAAAGACTTGTAGGAGATTCTCTATATATGGTCTGTGAGAGAAGAACATCTTTATCTATTTGTATTAGGTCTGTGATGTATGAGTTATGTACCAGACTTGACATGTTTTATTAAATACCTTGTGGTCAACAAGATTCATGGATAAATGCTTGTCAAATTTATCACTTCAATCATTGACCAGTCATATACTATCACCATTCTTGTCTTACTATGGAATACAATTTCATCTTTAAACTGACTGGACCACAGCTTTATTGTATAAGATATACAAACACAAACCGTAATGATCCTTAAGTGCTAAAAAATAGGAAACTGCTTTGAAATGTTGCAACAAATGAAGCCCTTTAATAGAAAATGCTAATGTGAAATGAAATGAAATGGGGTTTAACGTCCTACTGTTCTGCTCCAAAATGCTAATGTAAAGGGCATAATTGATAACACAATTTAAATAAACAAGGGCATTTTCAAACTTTTAAGCACTTGAATTCCATTATAGAACGGTTTCCAGTCATCTGAAATGGACAACAATCATAAACCAGTGGTTGCCAGGCAAGATACGCCCACATTTTGCAAGAGATGGATAGAGAACAATCTAAAACCAAAATGTGATTTTTCGTACAATCAGGGACCATCATCCAGGAAGTTGCGGTCTGATATGCACGAATATCGAAAGGAACCGGGATCTTTGGGATATAAAGACATGTTTTAAGTTTCATCAAAATCGGATAAAAATTGTGACCTTTAGAGGGTCTACAACCTTGATATATTACATACTATAACACTATTTGCGTACAGGGAGCTGCCATTTTCACGAAATTCAAACTCGACTGTTATTATGGTGTAACGGTGATATATTCAAATGTTGTTTTTTTAAATTGAATAAAAATTGTGACCTCTAGAGGGACCACAAGCTAAAAACGCAATTTTTCATACAATCAGGGGCCATAATGCCAGAAGTTACGGTCCGATATGCACAAATATCGACAGGAATCAAGATCTTTGGGTTATAAACATACATTTCAAGTTTCATCAAAATCAGATAAAAATTGGGACCTCTATAGTGGCCACAAACAAAATGTGAATGGACACACAGATGGATGGACAGAGGCGACGACAATATACGTCCACATGAAAGTGTGGGCGTATAAAAATTATGCTGAAAGGACTCTTTTTGAGACTACTAAATGGATGGTAGCTATAACCTGTCATAATATTCTTCAATCAGCACAGTTTCGCACATTTGTAATGGGGAGCAACGCCTCAATTCATGCTCCCTTTTTTGGAACTTCGTTAGTTGTTCTATCACCAAGTTGACAATAATTGACAGAAATAATTAATAATTAACAAGACTGTGAATATTATACCTTATACATGTGTTTATCATATTTAAAATAGGAGCCACGTTGGGTCGCTAACCTGGAGGTCCTGTGTTCAGTCTGGAGGCCTGGCATGGGGCAAAGTAGTCTTTCGATGGGATGAAAAACCGAGGTCCTGTGTACACATCTGCATGCACGTTAAAGAATCTTTGGCAGCTAGAATTCGATATACATGTAAGAGTAGACTGTAGTGCCGCTGCCTGGGCAAAACTGCACTCATAGCACACTGTATGGCATAATGCCTGTGCTCATTAGCCCAGTCGGAGCAGAACAGTAGGACGTTA